CATTCATTTTTTAACTGTTTGTTTTATTTTATTTAAACAACAGAATTAGACGGACATGGCTAGATCGACTCGGCTATTGATCCTTTTACTCTACGATTAACGGGTATAACTATTGCGTATACGAAAAAAAGTTCAGCGTGGTTGGGTCCCTCGACATATATGTCTTTTTTTTCGTACAACTCAGAATGAGCTTAAATTACTGGCACTTTTTTGTATCAAAATGCACTTCAAAAGATTTTTTGTAATGCTTTAAAGTACTTCAAAAATCATTCACATTTGTATGTACATAGGTCACGGCAAACGCCAACCTTCAAGAGTGGAAATGGTAACATTGTACGTCGTAAGCAAAAATACAACATTTTGACATCTAAATGATAGGAAAAACGGAACTGCTATAGCGAACATTAGTCTCGTTATTATACCCTTGCAGAGAGATATTTCCGACTGTACAGTATATACACATTTCAGAGTTTTAATATCGTATAATATTGTTTTTTTATTCAGCAATTGCCTTAATCGCACGAAAAAAATTATAAGGAGCCGAACTCATACATATTTGGTTTGATCAAAATAACTGGTACAGCGTCCCAAACTCTTGTTTTTTTATTTTTATGATTGCTTAAAAAAAAGTCTTAAAAATAAAACGCTAATAAACCTATCGTGCGAAAGATGAAAAGAGCGACACAGAAATTCCCGACTTCTGGGTCAAATAGTCTATACTTCTTGACAAACAGTGCATGTCGGAGTCGGGAATTGCATGCGCACCTCGGTTCTCTAGCACACGCGTGCATGCCCCTCTTTAATTTTCGAGTACTTCTTCGACACCCTTTCTTTACCAAATCTACCTCTCTCTTTTTCTGTTTTTCGATTCGTTTTTTTGTAATACATATATCCAAAACTCGTAACAAAAATCCACTTTAAAGTCATCATCATCGTCGGCTGCTTCGAGTTTTGGGTGCTCTTGAAAATTGTAGTCAAGGGGATTGGGAGCTGTTCGTTCTTGCTTCTGTTGCTCCTGTAGACTTATTGTTCCCCTAAAATTGTAATTTTAGTGACTATACCAGAGTAGGAATTGCGACGGGAAGCTAAACTCAGATCCGATTTTTTCTCCGAACGTGAGACACTTGCAGAAAGGTTACAGATTTGACTCCCTCTTATTCATAAATTATTTTAACGCTAGGGCCGCAACCCCTTCCGTTCCTCTCTTGATGACGTTCCTCCCGACTTCAATTGAAGCTGCAACCAAGTTTCCTCCTACTGAAAGTCTTATTTTATTAATATGCACACGCAGATTCCCTTTCTATTCGCATACGTTATTCATTTCATTCGTGCGTTCAAAAACTCGCTCTTTCTACATATGTGGATAAGGCCGCTTTCAAATGGAAAAAGTGGCATTTACTTTAGCTTCCATTAATACCTATCAATACAATTTACGCATTTAATGCGTTCTTCATTTAATCATGCAAGAGTAATTTCGTTGACGACCGATCTATTCTAAACTCAGCAAAACAGTTTCTACTGAGTTATTTGAGTGGAGTTATCTATTCAGCAACATCCCCACACTGGTAACATGATAAGAATGCAATGCCCTTCTTTATACCCTTGCAGAGGGTATAATAATTTCAGTCAGAAGTTTGCAACGCAGTGAAGGAGACGTTTCTCTATAAAGTATGTATATATATTCTTGATCAGCATCACTAGGAGAGTCGATCTAGCCATGTCCGTCTGTCCGTCCGTTATATTTGTTATATAACTTTGTTGTTTTTTAATTTTTTTTTAGTTCTTCGACATATAGTAATGGTTAAACATTTCAGAATTAAGGTTTAAATTTCATCGAATTCGGACGACTATATCATATAGCTCCCATAGAAATAATAAAAATATCAAAATAACTATCTAATAATTGAGCTGCAAATCATCATAGCTTCAATGTTTTTAAACATATACGTAAGTAAATCATAATTTTTCTGTTTTCAAAAATGTTTAATTCTTGCAATAGCTGCAAGGGTATATGAACTTCGACTTGCCAAAGTTTGCTTTCTTTCTTGTTTTATGAAGGTTTTAGTTTTTCCCCTGCGCAGCTGACATTCGCACCAGTCGGCGTTTTGTGGAGAGGTCTGTGCCACTCTTCCTGTTTGATGTCGCTTGTCATGCAACTGTTGGGTGGCATGTTTACAGTACTGTTAGCTGAAAATGTATCCCAATGTTTTAATGTATTTTGTAGCCTTTACTCCTCATGGTTGTCATTTCATTAAAGACAAACATTAATAAGGAATGCCCTTAAGTTTTTCCAAGCGCCTGCCTTGTCCGTTTGAAAAATAGGCTCATTAAGTTTCAATTACTCTAGTTTGTTCAATATCAATTTTATGCTTTACACATACAATTTGACGTGGTCGTAAATTGAGCCAGTAGATCAGACTGTTTTGAAACGCTTCTTAAGCGGTTCTCAAAAAAGTGTAAGTGGTGAGGCTGGTCTTTTACCGCCATACCGAACAGCTTGTTGTTATAGCGTCTCTCCTGCCCATGAAGTGCCAGTGAATGACCGAAACTCGGCGCGTTACAAACCGACCTGTATTATCGCAACATTCGCTTGTTCGAGTTGCAGAAACCGGTTTGAATTTTAGTTTCATTTGTTGCAAATGCACCTTGCATTTCAAGCTCGCAGATTCCTGACAGTATATTAATAGCCGCGCAGACCAGATCACCCACCTTGGGATACATTTAAAAAAAGGGAATTTTTTCTATGCGCTGTTTTGCTTTGGAAACAAATTATAATTGGCTTTCCCGATTTTCGCAGGTTTTAACATTTCGTTTTATAAATTTGAGCACCTGCTTCTTAGCAAAGTAAACCAGCAGACCCGACCCTAAAACACCCAGAGCCTGAACTTCCTGTTTCATTTTCCACATTGTGTTGTGAAATGTATTTTCTTTTAAGTGGTGCCTCCCGTATTTCCGGTTGCATTTGAGCTCGCAGAGGCCTCCACGCTTAAACGGTTGTTGTGGAAAACCTCGATTTTAGCATAGTTTTTGTCATTCAATAAGGTTTTAAATTAGTAGTTAACGTTGGTGAAATTCGAAGATTTTTAAGTTTTCTGAGTGGTTTGTCAGGAAAACTGTGCAAAAAGCCTTTTAATTACGATTGTTTTCAATGACAGCTGATAGATCACGTTTGTAAAAAATTTTATGGTGTTGTTAGACACACGCCACTAGATAAGAGCGACATAGCACAAAAGAAGACCTGGCAGGACTCGAAAACTGGTTTCATTACAGCCGCGGCAGATGTTTCCTTGCTCCCTTCACTGACTCACCATTATCCTTCATAGCCTACCTGCCACATCTGAGACTTTTTTTTTGTTTTTATCAAAATCTGAGAGAACAGCAGCAGCTGAAATCGAGCATGTATCTCAAACATGATGCTGGCCGTTTAGGGATGGGCTTATAAGAAGCAGCTGTCGCTGAAATTGACGTACTCAAGTAGCACAGCATAACCATTCACACTGGAACTGTATCACTGTTATATGCAGTCCAAACTCACTCAAAGTCCTTCCCTTATTTTACTTTGTAACAGCAGCTAACTGCTCGGCTATTGAGTGAGGTTGATCCCAGTGAGCAGCTGGATAGCCAAGAGCCCTCAGCTAAGATCAGTCTGCCCCTACACAACGAAGCGAACAGACGCTCAGCGAAAGTTTTTTGACACTACATCGGCATATTATAGTATGCATTTCAGCTATTGGAGCTCGCTTATATTAAAAAGTGAAACAGTCTGATTATGGTTACATATCACGTGCGATCAAGCCTAACTAAGTTTAGTGTTCCGCAGTTCGAATCGCCCGGTGTGGCAACTGAAAGGTGCAGCAAAGTGAAAAAATTAAACAACAGCCTGAACATGAATATTAAAAAGCCGATTAATAGATACAGTGTAAAATCAGCACAGCTATACCAGCGCAGTACGCCCAGAAGTCGCTCAGTTGGCATAGAGGGTCGACGGGCCAAGCCTCTGCAACGGTGAGCTAATTTTGACAGAATACGTGGGTACAAAACCAGACTCTGCAGATAACCGACCGGTTCTACAATGAGCCTGACTTTAATTATGCTATCGAGCTCCAACATTAACCTTAAAATGTTTATCAAATAAACTGAAACTGTCTGGTAGAGCTATCGTCGTTCCAAGGGAGAGCTCTTTGGGCTTATCTGATCTTGGAGCTATAACTCTGCCAGGTCGCGCACTTTAAAGACAGTATATCTTCACGCATCCCAGAATTAATCCGTTTTCTGTAATGCAAACTAAAAATACCCAAGGGTTTCCCTGGCCTGCTGCTGCTCTGCAATTCATTCGAAGGAACAGCAAAAGAGAAGCAGCCAAAGGGAAGGAAAACTGCGCAAAGTAATGGTAAAGGAAGTCTTAAGACGCCGCAGTCGCAAACTATGCGCTTTTTACATCCATCCTTTTACCTTCGCCTTCTCCTTGTGCGAGCATGTCCTGTTGATTCTTTATAACCTACCACCAGACCTTTCCTGGCCTTCGAAGGTCGTTTCTTGGCCTGTTTTTTTTTCTTTGTATGTATGAAATTCCCAGAATTAGTGGTGTTTGCTTACAATAAGTATATGAAAATTGAATCGGCCAAGTTTGCTTTGGATTCAAAACCACTTGCTTTTCGAGTTGCAAAATTTACCTGCGCTAACCAGCGAGCACCTTTGCCGCCACATTTTCGGACGCAAGCAACTCTAGTGCCTGTTACGAGTGGCGTAACCTTAGGTCATTGAGGCACCAGTATTCTATGAAATCTTAAATTGCTATGTGAACGAACCCTTTTGCGGCGGTCAATGAGCGAATATTAAGCTTAAGGGACCTTTCGCGAGGTCGCCCTACCTGATCGACTGCAATTGACGGCGTTCAATTTTACACAATTCACCGCGGGATCCGCGTGGGCACGGCTACCGTTCTATTGTGAACAAAAAAAGAACTTTCACTAAACAGAGTTGTAATTTTATATTTTCAGAATCCAAAAAAATGGAAACCATGGAATACGGATAAACAGTGTCCCTGCTGTTGGATTGGTAAGTAATTAAAATTATTGTTTACGATAGGAACAAAATTCATAAGAACTTTCTAATATTGGTTGGTTACCGGAAAATAAAGAAACATCAAGAGTCATGCAGGGGGAATAGGACAAATATTGACATACGGGTGCGTGTTTTTTCTAACCCATCGGGTGTATCTATGCTTGTATGCACAAGAGCTACAGTCAGGAGGACTTGACATTGAAGGTAACGCATATCAAAGCCAGCTGTCACTTTTCCTGTTCGATACCATAAGCTAAGAGTTTAAATGTATTTATTTCGGTCGAGCGGTTGCGGCAGCTGCGCTTTTTGTACAAATTATTACTTTTGAACAAGAACAAAAAAGACTGAGGTTATGAACATGCTTTTGTGATGAAGGCCAAGAGCACCCTCGCCGGGACTGGAAGACATATGATGCACTCCAAATGTTTTTAGGAGTGCCAGTGCCTTAACTAAAAGTCAGTTTTCCTCGCCATGTGTAATAAAGAAAGGCCAGAGGTGTAAAGCTCTTCGCATAAAACGTACGTAGTTTTTATAGATCTGCATCGGCTGAAACTCAGTCAATGGCGGCGGGCGTTAAACTTGAACCCTTAAAAGTTTCATAGCCGAAGCTCAGATAATTAAACTGAAATTTATTACGGGTTTAATAAAGTTCGAAAACGAAACAGCAAAAGTAGTCCCTAGGGGAAGACAAAAACTTTCTCTGAAGTGCATTTGAGAGGCACTCTAAAGGCGCCCTCATGCACAATACCATCAGCAGAGTTCAATATACTGATTACGTTGTTGCCTAATATTTTTCTATGATTTTATATAAGACATTTTCAAATGACGGAGATCCCATTACAACTTATCAATGCCGACACCGCAGACATACCATCGTTCAAAAAAAAGGTACTTTCTTACTACTTCCCCTAATGCCCACTCTGCTCTTTTGAAGCCTTAAACGCAACCGCATCTAAAATCAGTTGGGTGTCACGGATGACTGGGCGCTACTGAAGCCCGTCAAAAGTCGTGGATGAACCGAAATGTGATCTCTGCAAGACGTGGGTATTTCCAGGCGCTGTGACAGACTCTCTAATTTTATTTTGTGGCTCCTTCAATGCGATAATAAAAGCAAAAGAACAAGAGCTCATTAAGTACAGTGGACATTAAATGGTTGATGTAGAGAATCACATGTTTCCGGCTGCTTTTGTTTTTGCCGAAATTTTTTAGTTTCCTTTATATCCTGTCACTAATTATTTCTGTATGCAAATTCTGTCGAAATGTTTTTTAAATCACTTCAGGACGGGTCTTGTCGTCTTGTACCATCAAGTGTATTCCCAATTTGGGCTTATCCGAGCCGCTAAATCGCAAGGCAGATTGTAGTTGAAGTAACCTTGAAAGAAACAACAAAATTAATCAAAAAGTCGGGCGGCGCAAATTAAATGAGTCCTTGCTGATGGCCTAATTCTAATTTTTAATTGTTTACGAGCCTAGTTAATTAAGTTTACCATTCTATACCACTGGTCTATACCTTCAGTTCCGTGTAGGTGATCTCGTGGCAAAACATAATCAGGCAACACAAAATATTCAAGTTGCAGATTGACATTGTCCAAGACATTGGGCGGTGGTCAGTTCGCAGACAATAGGTTCATGCAGCACGGCCACATGCAACAAAGACGGACTCAGATGCGCCAAGTGGCAGCGACTCGTGCTTTGCGCTAATCTAATCAGACCACTTCAATTCAGGCCCCCTAACAATGGAGCTCGTAGATATAGTCGATCTCAACGCCTTTATGTCCCTAAATGCGATATCCTCAATTACAATAGGCCGGCCGGCACTCACGACCAGACGACGACGACACTAGCACTCGTCAGTACTGGCACTTCGCAGTGCGAACTTCGCACTGCCTAGTCTCGCTGCCGGCATTTGCGGTCAATCAGTTATTAGTTATTGCTTCACGCGGTAACACCCGCGAGTGCTGCTTGCGGAAGGCCCGCAGTTGGCCGACCCTGATCAGGCTGCATAACCAAATAAAAAGCGCTATGAAGAAGCTGATAATACCCACGCTCATGGACACCTATGGCCTGATTAAGTTCTGGGATTTCGACACGGGTGCCCCTGGAAGTGGGTCGCAGCAATCCGCCAGGGTAACGGTGGACTTCACCGTGCCCGCCGACGATATCATGCCCGGCGAGCGTCGCTACAGATGGAAACCTTACCTTTTCCAGGTCGGCCTTGCGATGCATGCATTATATTATCATCGATTGGTGGGCTGATACAGTGACTTATCAGTCCACCACTCTCACACTATTAACTATTCGGCCATGCACCGCTCTCGTCCGATCCGTCTCTGATACTGACTGAGTACACACATTTGCTGTTCATATCAATTTGATTGTCAAACGGAAAGTAAAACTCGATAAAATTGGAAACATCCATACCACAGTTATGCAGCGGCCCCTAAAAATTGCACATTCATCTGTATGTGTCCGTGTATATCAGTGAAACTTTTGGAGAATTGGTCCCGCCACTTTCCGTTATGTAAACGCTTGCCCCTAAGCGTTTTCCAAAATCGGTAATAGCGTAATAAAGCATAAATTGGCACAGCCACAGACATGGTAGTGAAATCGCCCTATCCAGATACAATCGCGTTTGGATTCCATTTAAATTCTTGTGAAAAATGCTATACAAAGAACCTGCAGACACAGACACGGCGACTGTAGTTGTGCCATCGTTGTCATAATCCGGACCCCAGCCAACAAGCGGGCAAAAACAAAGCTGTGAAATGATAAGATATTTGTGGTTTTGAGTATCGAGCCGCGTAGCGCTGAAGTCAAAGCACTGCAACTCTGGTCAGGCCGGGGGCGTTTGCCAATCAATATCGATATATGTAATACAAACAGCTCAGTAATGCAACTTGCTTCTCTTCTTTTCCGTATTTGCAGTCTCAGCAGATGAAGGCTGTATCCAGTCCCACGTTGTCAGAGCCCCTCATAGAGCTGCCGCAACAAAAGCCAGTAGAGAACACGGATGTGGCAGTAGCAGGCAGTAGCGGCGGAAATGGTGGCGGCGGCCTGGGCGTTTTGCAGAAATTCAAACGCACTTTGAACAACTTTAATAAGAACCAAATGCACATTATTTCGCTACCGTCGTCGCCAACAGTCAGCAATCCGCCAAAGACGTCGCCTACAACACCGTCAGTGTCCATCACAGCTCCAGCAACGACAACAACAGCCAGCGAGCCTGGCGCAGAGGGTGGTGATGCAACCTCAGGCAAATACCGATTTGGACCTCTAATTTGGCGCACGTCTAAGGAGCGGCGCAAGGCAAAGTACAATCGACGGGACAAGTGCAACTCCGGCGACTCGGGAATCCAGATTGAGCTGGAGCAGGATGAGCAATACTCTCGTGCGCTAGCGACCAATGGCCTGGGGGGAGCGGCTGCGTCGTCCAGTGCAGCCGACTTAAAAGTGCGTTCAATTCGTCGTACGAATTCGGCAAAGGTGAGCAGCATTCTCGGACCCTTTGCTGCAAGGGCCAAAAACGCCAGACATCTAAACATGGGGGATTCTGAAAAAGGGGAACGCGAAGCTCCCGAGTCTCTGCCCACACGATCGCTAAGCCAACCTAATGGCCTGGAGTCCTACGGCATGGTGCACCCGGATCAAGACGACAGCGACAGTGATAGTGTCGCGTCGAACGAAGAAGGTAAGTTTAAAGCTGAGAGCACTCTCAATTAAATTTAATTGGTCAAGCAGACAGCGTTTACTAATGTGGTGTCCCTTTGGTCCCAGCTATCAGCTACTACCCAACCATCTACGCCGAAGTGCTCTACAACTTCACGGCTGGCGGACCACAAGAGCTCGGCCTGGAGCGGGGAATGCTCATTGAAATATTGCGCAAGGAGGTTGGACCTTGGTGGTTTGGCCGCATTAAGAAGGAGGAAACCAATCTCGTGGAGGAAATTCTGGATCCTGAGCTGGGCTGGTTCCCTAAGGAGTTTGTGCGCATTATTCACTGTCCTGAAACGGACATCTTCTTTAACGCGCACAGGGCTGCCGCTGCTAAGGCTGAGAAGGGCACAGCTCGTGAGGAGGAAGGGTCCATTCCTGTTCCTGTTGCGACGTTTGCCGAAGAGGGAGACGTAACCGTGACTACGGACCAAAGCAACGTCACCCTTATTGTTATCGAATCGCCACCAAACCCGCTGAGTGCCCAGCTAAACCACAACACAATCCTGCGCCGAAGTGCTGTGCGTGAACTACTTGACACGGAGATCAATTATGTCAAACTGCTGGCATCCATTTGCGATGGGTAAGAGAACAAGTCGTTGGCAATCGTCAGCAGTTTTAAAATTTGCATTCTGATTTGATTTAGGTATCTCCCTGCCATGAGCAAGCGCATCGATATATTCTCGCCAAACAGCATTCGCCTCATCTTTTCCAACATTACGACTATTTATAAGTTCCAGAGAAAGTTTCTCGAGGCTCTGCGACGTGGAATCGAACAAAACCAGATTGCAAAAGTTTTTCTTAAAATGGTAATAAGAAATTGATTTTAATTAACATTAAAGCCGGTTTAAAATTTAAATCGTTTCTTAAGCACAAAGGATTTCTATGCTACTCCAACTACTGCAACGCTTATCCCCGAGCCCTAATAGAACTTGAGACTTACGATCGCGTAAAGGACGCCCGCACTATCTTAGAAAAGTGGGTTATTTTAAAAGCTTGACCTAGAACCGTGTTCTGATTACAAATACTTACAGCTGCCGCGAGTCAGAAAACCTGGCAGAACTTCCGCTCTCCGCCCACCTGCTGGCACCGGTTCAACGCATATGCCGCTATCCCCTGCATCTCAACGAGATTATTAAGTCGGCATTGGAAAACGTGGTCAAGGTTGCAGACGAAATAGATGCTGGAAAGCCGAGTGCCGCCGCCGACTATGAGCAACTTGACGTCAGTGAACTGGACATACCCGACTCCCAAGATACTGTCAATTTGGCGCTGGAGGCCATGCGTGGCATCACAGAGGCGGTTAATGAGGGAAAACGGCACAGCGAGACGATTGCCAGGCACCAGGCCAGCTTTCAGAACTTTAAAGGGCCGCCGCTGCACTTGCACAGTGCTCGTTTCTTCCTGCAGGTCGATGCAACTCGCCAGAAACAAAATCTGTGGAACAGCAGCTACACTCTGTTTCTATTCGACAACCAGCTGGTCTACTGCAAACGTGATATTATCAAGCGCAGTCATTTCATCTACAAAGGACGCATTTTTTTGGACCGCTGTCGCGTTGTGAACGTGAGGGACGGAAAGATGTTTGGACACACCATCAAGAACTCACTACGCATCTACTGCGAGTCGCGGGACAAATGGTACGACTTCAGTTTCCGGTCGGCGAACCGAAAGCACCGCTTCCTAAACACCCTCGCCCTGGAACGTCAGTTTGGAGGCAAAGCTTTATATGTATCGGAAATGACTGGCTTCGAGTACAACTACGAGGAACGGCCGGGCGACTGCTCCGACCAATCGGACTACGAGGCACAAGACTTGGAAATAGCCGCTACGGGAGCCACTTCTGCTAGTGGTGAGAGCTCGGTGCCGGAGTCACCAGCCAAATCCGCGTCTCGCCTGTGTGAGACGTTGCCCAAAAAGTCGCAGTCCAGGGATGGCATATCCAGCGCAGACACAGCAAACTCTCAAATATTGCCCACCACATCTACAGGTTCGCTGGGAAGGCGCCATTTCGGCAACTGGTTCCGTAAGCCAAAGAGCGCCAACTGCACACCGAGTCAGTCGCCGACGCACAAGCCGGGATTTGACGCGGACGCGACGCTGACGGAAGCCCGGGTTGCTGCAATGGAACTGGCCGAAGCCGCGGCTGCGCTAGGGTCGATGGACAGTTCGTCCGCGTTAACTCTCGACCCAGTTTAGATAAGAATTGCAAAAACCCACAGCATACAAGATACAAGCTAATGTACTCGTACATATAGTATAAAATATTTGTTACAATAATATTAAATTTCCTTTTATCAAAGTAACAGGTAATCGATTGCGTGTTACATTCTGATTGAGTTTATGTTAGTGTTACTTTTTATTTAATTGAAAATTGTGTTTGTTTTTGTTTAAACCGTTTGTCGTTTAAATCCCCAATGTCTGTCACATGTTTGTGGACGAGCAAATAGTAATGAGGAATTAAGAATTGTATTAAAAAAAAAAAAAACAAAAATAATTGCACATTTCTGTAAATTCAATGCAGTTTTATGTAAGAATGTCGCCGACTGCTAGTCTAAAAACCCTATTACCTGTCCATACTTGTAATTCTAGGTTACGTGATAAAAAACATCAGCGAATTATTTCAAGAATTCTGTTTGTGTACACCAATTCGCTTAGAGACCTCCAAAAACCCCTCAAGCTGAATAGAAAACTACCCACAGAATTAATATTGAGATACGTTAAGGAACGTAATTACTTTAAATGAGCTCGTACTCTTTGTATTTAACGACATTTGTTACTGTTTTGTTAGGTCAATCTAAAATGACATATATATTTAAAGTTAAAGATGCAAAACTTACCTACAACTGAACGAAACATATTAATAAAAGTAGTAAAGTAACGATAAAGGATTAAATATTATTGGATATGTACAATCCTTGGCATTATGATAAGGAACAATATTTTGTACATATAGAAAATTGGTTGTCAATTTGAAATCTTAAATAATAGCAAATGTTAACAGTTTCATACACACAACAAGCAAAATTAACAACAATTTATCGAATTTAATTTTTTCTAAAGAGGAACTCGAATGTATCCCATTAGTATTTATATAGTTGCCCACACAGTTGGCGAAAATTAGTTGATCATTTTAATGGCAGTATAAGTTAATCAAGAGATATAAATTCATTAAGCAATTTACTATTTAATAGACTTTGCAAACAAAAACTTATTGGTTTTTGCAAAATATTAAAATTTTCTCTGAAAAGTATACGCTGCACTATTTTCAACACATGCCCTGAAATAAAATATATCTGAATGCAATCAGAGGGTAAAAATTAAGTTATGAACAAAGAAAACAATGCAAAATGCGTCAATATTAATATAGATCGAATTAGTTGATTTATCTTACTGTGAGTCTTGGGATAACGGAAAATGTTATGGAATTATTTACATTCTTTTGCGCACTCCACAATTGCACCAATTAGTTACATTTTATTTAAACAAACATGCATAAATAAAAACGTTTCGCCAAAATCAATTGTACAAAAATGGCAAGCGTTGTGCGACTGAGCAAATAATATTAGGCATTCAAGTTTTAAACAAGCGTATACACTTAAAATCACAAATATGCTCCATATGCCAAATAAATATATATTTATCCAAATAAAAAATGTACATTTAATTTCCTCGACCCTTTCGATTAAATAACAATAACTTTAGATAACTATTCGGACGTTTTAAACTGATTAACGGGCGAAATAAATACCAGATGCGTTTCGTATCCAAATTTCAAACCAAATAGCTAATTCACTTCTTAGTATTTTTTGTGTGTGTTTCAAGTATACCATGCGATATTTGAACATAAAGCAGCGAACGGTCACACCCCAATGGTATTTCTAAAAACGTAAACATTAAATTTATTGCGAATACTGGCTAATGCTCACTTTACTAATTGCAGTTATGCCAACTAGAGTCCTCCATTTGGTGCTGAAAGTGTTCGCATGCTAAGATGCACAGTCACAGCGGCACCAGCAAAGTTGTGGCCACTCTGCGCGCGGACGGAAATATTGTGTATCCCATGGAGCACTCCAACCTGATGCACTACGAGATTGTAAGCTTCAAAGCAGCGCTGCTCCTGAGCTTGAGTTAATCTAACGCGGGTGATTCTCTTTTAGCGCACCGAAGGAGAAGCCCAGCACAAGAAGGGCAACCTGCTAGGACCCGCCACATGCGTGGACCTGGGCAAGCAGCTGCTCCAATGCGCGAGGGACAGCGATGTGGCTGGCGTCAAGACGGCGTTGGCCCATGGAGCGCCCTTCGCATCCGACTGGCTTGGTATGTCGGCGCTACATTTCGCTGCCATGAACAACCAGCTAGAGATCTGCGAGATCCTCCTGCAGGGAGGCATTAACATGGACGCCAAGACCAAGGTCGACCGGACGCCGCTCCACCTGGCCTGTTACTACGGGCACGAGCGGGTAGTCAGTTTGCTGCTGGCGCTTAAGTGCAGCGTTAACTCCCGCGACATGGTAAGAACATATCCAAACGACACAGTTAATGGGTGCTCAAAAATCGTCTATATCTTCGTCTTTCAGCTACGCATGACTCCACTCCACTGGGCCGTTGAGAAGAGGCACAAGGGCATTGTACGACTGCTGCTCAAGTGTCAAGCAGATGTCGCCTTGGTCTCCAAGTTCGGCAAGACGCCGATCGGACTGGCTGTGTACACGGAACAGGCAGATGTGCTGGCGGAGTTAGAGGCAGCACGGCAGGCACAGGCCAGTAAGAAGTTCAACGAGGAAACCGAGGTAAGTGCTCAAGTAGGATTCCGCAGTAGTCGGATATCTGTTAGTTAATCTTATGTTTTGCTTATGCTTATGTCATGTCCACTCATATTCTAATTAATGTACGATTTTTTGCTGCCTTTGGCTGCGCCTACCGAACTCCAGCGAAAAATGCATAAGAACAGAGTATGTACCTCAGACATTCCATATTTGGTTGTTACAAAAATCCCAAAGTCCCAATAGGCATCTAACATACCCTACTTTGGACTGTAGAACTCACCCACCAGTGTAAAACTGTATAAATGGATGCTTATACTTTTGCTTCTCAATCAATCCGCAGAAAGAAACCAGTGAGGCTGTTAACTCAATAATGGACGAAACGGAAAACACGAAAACGTGTAATGACGACCGGGAAATGTCGGTGGAAGAACGAATGGATGTTTTGGAAAACCTGCGAGGGCGTGAGTTCAATAATTCGAAGCCTTGAAAAGATTGAAATCCTATTATGTTACTCCCTGCAGATACCAACGTTCTGGGAAACTCTGCTCTAAACATGCTGAAGACTCACGGAATTGCAGACATGATGCAGGAAAACGATGACGAGGCTTCGAAAGAAATGCTGAACACGGCGCTGCAGAATGGACGCCAACTAGTTCTTTCCGAAGGTGGACGTATGTTGCTGCACGAAACGAAAGCAGGCCTTGGCGCCAAGCAGTCCGTAAATGGCAGTGCTAGGAACCCGGTCGCCGCTCTCCGCCCGAATGTCAACAACTCGCCCCCTCAGAAGATTCGCATGAATGTAATTAAGCAAAAAGAACTTGCGTCGCCGGCAGGGGTTACCAAGAACAAGGTATTCTTTTTTTTTCTATCTTAAGCACGTTTCCATAAGACAATATTTTTTTGAGCAGAATATACGCATAATCTCGTTGACTGATTTCAAAAAGCTCTGCGGATCGGATAGTCAGCCAAAGTCCCTGCAGAAGATACCTGCATCATTAGCCAGGTATGTTGATTCTACAATTTTAATTCGTTTTTTACAAATCTTGCACCTCGTGACAGCTCTGGAATGGTTCGTCAACTTCCCGATGGCACCAAACTAGTCAACATGCGGCAGTTGCAGGCTCGACAGGTTTGTGGTGGCTGCCTACTCATCTACTTCTAAGATTAGTTCACCTTAATGACCTCCTAGCTTAGGACGCCCAGAAGCGCAAGAAACTCAAAAACAATTGGCGTTTTCTTTCCTTTTAGTTAAAACTACCATCCCTGCAGAGATCCCTGGAGCCCACTACAATATTAGATGACTCACCGGGCCTCAACGAAGCCGTGGTTCCACCTACACTGCCTGCAAACCATCCCGCATCTGCCAGTTCGCTCAGGGGACAGGTGGGGACCGTGCAGACGATACAGCTCCGGCCCTCACTGACGGCAGGATCTGGACTTGGGCCAACGAACAACGGGGTGGTCCCCAACAAACCTTTTGTGAGTGCGACAAAGCTTCCCTCGGCAAAGACTCCTAGCGTGATGCCACTGCTGACATCTTCAGAAATTTGTCGTCAGCTACATGAGCTACGACGGCAAAACGAAGAACTGCGCCGGCGCGCAGACTGCTTTCAGCGGGAAAAGGAGGAGATGCTAAGGCGCATCGACCGCCTGGAGCAGATGGTGCTGGTGCGAGAGTCGGAGGCGGATCTGGATTTTGTGGACGACGTTTAGCTAGAGCTAAGATAGGTTTATTGTAAATACGTTAAGGTAAGCGTTAAGAAGAGTTTATCATATACCGTTAAGCGCATTGTTAATCGCTCATTAAGCGTACGATTTCATACCATTTTATATCAGAACCGTATTAACTTAAATGTTGAAAATAACTGCAAAAAATTTAAAATGTTGGCTACGGGCGTGGTCAGCTAATTATCTACCTTAAAGTGCATTTTTAGTCGATCATTAAGAAACGATTTTGCATCATTTTAATAAAACTTTTTTAAAAATGAAATAATAGTTAATTGCCCTTGCATTGATTGTTGTGCTAACTCATAGCATTTATCAGCTGTATTTTTTGGGCGCAAAAATTTAAGCTGTATTTAGCAATTTGAATTCGAGATCTGGCAACTCTGCCAGCAACAATCGATAGTTTTATTACTATTGTTGTGTACTATCATACACACATTATATTCGTTAATCGCTCTTTAGGATGCTATTTTAAGATAGTTTTATATTGTACCCGTATTAAACAAATGTTTCATATAAATTCATTTTAAGTCTATCATTGGGAACTTTTTTTTTATTTAAAAAGAAAGCAGTATATTCCGCGCCACTTATATCCATCAATCCCAATCAAGCATTTCTTTTAGTATATTTTTTTGAGATTTTTCTTGTTTGATGCCGCGGTTGCACTGCACACGTGTTCCGCCAAAACAACATTTATAAAATGGTAAGAAATATACATTTATATTGAATAATTAAAAACATTTATACAAATTGGCAGCGAAAAAAGCAAGCCGATGAAATACCAGGGTTCCCGTCGGTGGACAAAGATTGCGGCACCGGCGGACAAGGCGACGACATCCTCAAAAGTAAGCCCAAGTCCAAAAAGAGCGGAGGATTCCAGTCAATGGGTTTGGGGTTCGATTTGATAAAAGGGATCACCAAGCGCGGTTACAAGGTACCGACTCCCATCCAGCGGAAGACTATTCCCTTGATCCTGGAGGGGCGCGATGTGGTAGCCATGGCCAAGACTGGCTCTGGCAAGACGGCTTGCTTCTTGATTCCGCTATTTGAAAAGCTGCAGCTGCGGGAGCCCACTAAGGGCGCCCGTGCCCTGATCTTGTCGCCCACGCGTGAGCTGGCGGTACAGACGTACAAGTTCGTCAAGGAGCTGGGACGCTTTATGGAGCTTAAGACGATTTTGGTGCTAGGTGGTGACTCCATGGACTCGCAGTTCTCGGCTATACACACATGCCCCGACGTCATTGTAGCCACGCCGGGTCGTTTCCTACATTTGTGCGTAGAAATGGACTTAAAGCTGAATTCGATAGGTAATGTAACCATTCAACGACATTAAAGCAGGGACTAATGCTGTCGATTTCACAGAGTATGTCGTATTTGATGAAGCTGATCGACTGTTCGAGATGGGCTTTGGTGAGCAGTTAAACGAAACGCTGCACAGATTGCCGTCCTCCCGGCAGATGGTCATGTTTTCGGCCACGCTGCCCAAGCTGTTGGTAGACTTCGCGCGCGCAGGACTTAACGACCCTGTTCTTATTCGGTTGGACGTTGAGTCCAAGCTCCCAGATGCACTGGCTCTAAAGTTTCTCTATTGCCGGCCGGACGACCGATACACAGCTCTCGTCGTTCTCTTGAAATACGTAATCCCAATGGTATCGCAGACCGTGGTGTTTGCCGGAACGCAGCATCATGTGGAGCTTATTTCTTACATCCTCACTGAGGCTGGAATTTCCAATACCTCGGTCTACTCTAGTTTAGACCCCGCTGCTCGCAAAATTAACACAGCCAAGTTTGTAAACAAGAAGGTTTCCGTGCTAATTGTAACGGACGTGGCGGCACGCGGAATCGACATACCCAGCTTAGACTTTGTAGTGAACCTACACTTTCCGGGTAAACCAAAATTGTTTGTGCACCGGGTTGGACGTTGTGCTCGAGCTGGTCGCACAGGTACTGCATACTCGATTTTTTCCACCGACGACACGGCCCATCTATTGGATCTTCACTTGTTCTTGAACAGACCCTTTAATATCAACGACAGTTCGGCAATTGGGACCATTCCGCAAGATTTGCTGGAAGAAGAGCACCTAACAGTGACCGATATCAAGAAGAGCCACCACATTGTAAGTTTAATCTTTAATTTACTATCTATTTCTGTTGCTTTCTACAATTTAATTATTGCAGGCCGGAGTACTGCGCACCAGCGAAAACGCTTACAAGAAATACTTAAGTTCCAGACCAGTGGCTTCAACAGATGCCAATGCGCGCGTAAAGAAAATCAAGTTCTACGCGCTAAAGCCTTTGGAGGATTTCTTCACAGCTGCGCCCGTTCTCGCCCAGGCTGCTGAAGTTAATGGCCAATCAGACGAGTCGCAGTCAAAGGTGGCTGCCGCAGAACGCAAGTTGCAGGAGGAGAAGCACGAAATACTGGTTAAAATGCGCAGTTACCGATCAGGTGGTGTAAGTTGACCAGATACATTTTAAGACAGCGAGAAATTTTTGTAATCTTTTTTGGACATTTCAGACCGTTTTTGAACTTAACACCACGCAAAAGTCTAAGCAATTTGTCGTAATGAAAGAAAAACGTTCCCAGCACGCGGATGTGATTCAAAAGTTTAGGCAACAGCGCGCAGACGAGGACATCGACGAGGCGAGAAAACAGGCCGAGACGCAAAGACCAAGTTCAGCCAGAATGCTAACCGCCGACGAAGAAGCCATCAGCAGTACATTTAACAAAGTCGTTGCACCCAAAAGACTCCAAAACATGGACGCTTTGTACAAGGACAAGCCAAAGAAAAAGAAGCGCAAGATAAACAGCAAGGACGACGAGCACTATGTTCCTTACCAGTCGGCAGACAAGCACACGGAGGATGGCCTGGCCATCAACACGTTTGAGCGACAGGCCCAGAATGCAGAGTTTTCTGTGTCGGACCGCAACTCATCCCAGGAGGTTAAGCATAAGCCTGGACTCAAGAAGTGGGACCGCATTAAGAAAAAAATGGTCTCAGTTCAAGATCCTCGTGCCAACAAAATTCGAACCGAGTCCGGTGCATGGATTCCAGCTTCCTTTAAAACGGGTCGCTACACCGAATGGAAGGAGAAGTCGAAGATCGAGGACCAGCTGCAGCGTGAAAACGCAGGAAGCGATGACGAAAACGCTAAGCCTCTGAGCCATGCCCAGCGATATCCAGTCAGCCGACATGCTCGGCACAACGTGAAGCTTGAACTGAAGAAGCGTCTCAGCGGAAACGACAAGGAGATGCGACGCCCCGAACAGATTGTCAAGTCACGCATGCGACTGGAGTTCATTAAGAAGCGCAACGAGGACAATGCGGAGCGAAAGAATGAGAACCGCAAGCGTAGCATGCGAAAAGGACAGCGTCCGAAAGCCCAATCAACTAATGGTTCCAGGAAAAGAAAGTAGGAGTTTCAACAAAGGTAAGTGAGTGGCACAACGCCTGGGCGATTCTTATTGGTGGTGCCATAATTAGGGAAGCGGTTAAATAAAATGCGCCTTCAGCCTAGTAAATGCGAAAAGTAAGGAAACAACGCAGAAACTGCTCGGCACGACGAACTTTACTAATACCATGGCACTCAAGGGCAAGACTGTTACGTGCCAAGCCAAAAAAGTCATGTTTATCGGAGTAGGTAGAGCTAGAGGTAGAGAGTGGCTATAAACTGTGTAAACAAATTGTACAGATAGTTTTAGACTAGAGTCATTTTTTAGTCCGAATGCCGATCCGATCCCTTGTCTGTCATTTGAAGGCATTAGCCTGTTTTTTCCCTTCCTTTTAGTTTCGATCGGTTGATTGCCTATTTGAAAGACTAAGTCATAGGCTTGGTGGGTTTGTCGATTTTGACTCTTTAAAGGCAGGAAATGAGTGTTTGAAAGCCCTAAAGCAATCTCGTGTCCTCCCTTGATAATTTATCAGAAGTCGAGTACCCAGGGTAAACTCAAGTGAAATTGAATAGCCATAATCATCCCCCATTGCCATCTGCCGAATCCCTTTTTAGAACATGACCCAAATTGGACTTGAAACAGTAAGTCTGACCATGTGCGTGCCGCGGGATGTTTCACGGGGTGTGTTTACCACGTGCAGGCTTTTCGACGAAGGTACGGCCGGACTCTGCTTCGGGCGCGCCCACGCCCGATGACACGCACATCCTGTGCGTGCTCTAACCAAACACTGCACCCCGGGAACCGACCCTCGTTCAGTTGCGTGCGCACACCCAAAAATACGAGCAACTGCCTTTGTTAATCCATCTATTTCAAAGTTATAAAAGATCTTCAAACTGTTGTGTGTGGCTCAGCACCATCGTGGCGGCAACGCATTGTTGCTGTTGGCCGCAGATAGTCACGTAATTGGGTGTTATTAGAATTTAATGACATCCAGATCTACTGAAATACTCCGCTTATGATCACTCAGGCGGTGACTTATGCCGACTTAGGGTTTGCCGTACACAAAATCCACGTTTGTTTACTTTGTTTAAGGTGTCGAAACTGATTTTTTCTTTCTCATCGACAGAGGTATTTGGCTGTTCCGCCCCATGATGCGAGATTGAAGACTAATCGCCTCCCCCGAATGAGACACTCAATATGTTTGTTCAGCAGTAGCTGCTGCATCGCACCCGTGGCGCTCGACAGTCCCCCACAGCCCTTTGGATTCGAAAAGTGTTTTTATAAAAATACACGACGATATGTGTGAAGTGCGACGTCTTTTAAATAAGGCTTGGGGTGGCGATATTAAAGTACCGTCGAGTTTGGGAAAGACACCATAAGTGGAGAAGGTATGTCATAAACAAATTTTAATGCCAAAGTGGACAAAGTTAAATTGGAACGGAGCTGGGAAGCCCCCCTCCTCACGATAAGATTGAGTGTTCCAAAAATACTTTGTCAGCGCATATGGTCTCCATCTATGGCCGTGGGATTCCCCCTGTACAAGTTTTGGTTCTGGCGATGGTCTGCAGTGCATTTTGCCGCTGTCTTTTCTGTTGCTGAGCGAACCGAATGTGGTGCATGTCAAATGTGCGTGGGGAGGAACTCCCATACGCTTAACTTCTTCTGCCTCTTCATTTTCGCAGTTCGAAGGGTGTCCAAAATAGACTCAGGCTCCGTTCCCACACATGTGTCCCGAGATGGTTCCAACTTTTTGTTAGGCACCATTTCCGGGGTCGACCGCAAAATCTGTTTCCTGGAGTGCGCTATAACAACGCAGTTACTGAACTGTACCCGGAAAATCAGCTCTGCGTGAGAGACTTGGCAGACGTTTTTTGAATCGTTTCAAATGCGATTCGTTGACTCAAAGGGGAAAGTCTTTACCGCTTTGCAGCCACTTGAAACGCGCTGCTGGTGCCAGCATCCGACATCCAATCTTGACCTGTCATAGATGCGGGTTTATAGATTCATTGGTGCACATGTTTACAATTTAAAATCATTTGTTAGCCGCGAAACCGCTTGGAATGTGTGAAATACTTCCCGATCATCTCTGTTCATCTGAGTGCTCCATTGAAATTTTTACACGGCACATTGAGTTTTGATCCGCTTTATTATCGAGCGATTCATGTGAATGCAGAAAATCTGTTTAGGTACGTATGTCTTAGTCATAAGAAATGCCATTAAATAAAAATTATACTGATTGTGTTTAAGCTAGCTTTTGATTTTTCCCCCGACTTTGCTGTCATTCATTCTTGTGTTTTCGTATTTAAATTTATGAGAAATATGAAAGCAGCATCCACAAATCACACTTTGAAAATAGTAATACAATTTATTAAACAGTACGGTAAACTTCTACAATAAGCATACTGGTCATACAAATAACCAGATATAGATACAGATCGAAATTATATTGGTAAGTACGTTAAAAGCTAGTTTCCGCTTGGGGTTGAGTAGCACGCTTAGAACTTTGCGTATACATGATATAAAAGTCAATCAAATAAATATGGCGGACGCTGGAGGAGAGTGGTCCAATTGCATCGGCATGCAGCTCAATTTACAAACTTGTAACTAGCAGCGACCAATTTAGAGATCGTTGAACTCACGCAGAGCCCGGGGTCTAATCGACGCCTCGAGATTTCAATCTTGGGGCTTGTGTGCTGCTGAAGAACTGGGTCTGCTGTCGTGTATGTTTGTGCTGTCTAATTCGGACCGCTCAGACAATTGCACAATTTACTGAAGAATGCGTCTAAGCGTCACTTAAAAACGCATTATTCAATTTATGACGTCCTCTGGATGCGACACAGGGTCTGAAGTTGCTTACAATTGGAATTGGAAATGTATATATTCGGCCGGCAAACTTGTAAAACACTTCGCCACCCAGTCCCTCTCCAAAAGCTCCTCAATAATATATTAATGACATTTTATTTACACACCATTTATTTATTTATTATTAAAATTTTTGTATATTTATATATCTTTTAGCTTACTAATTACTACTAGCTACTTAACCAATAAATTAGTACTTAACTTAACAAATTTTGAATAAGGGACTGAAAAGGTCGCTGTCTTGATCACCGACAACAATATGAATTTATTAAAATCAAAAAGAAATTACAATTTTGATTCAGATCAAAAAGTATTTATTTATAATACCGGCAACAAATATAATTAACTAAATAAATACTAGTTATTTAAAAATAAAGAACTGAAAAAAACGTTGGACAGTGTGACCACAGAGTCTCTCGATGCCGAACGCGTTAGGACGGAAACATCGAAGAAGCCGATGTTTTCTTGCTACTTTTAACTGTTAACTTTTGACTCCCAGTTCTTGTACTCCACTCAAGTTCTTGCTCATTTCACTCAAGTTCTTGCGCACTTCACTCCATTTCTTGCACACTCTCTGTTAAACATCTTAACATATGCCTTAATGCAATCAATATTTAACAGTTGGGAAAACGGGTGCTCCATATGACATTAAATTTAAAAGAAAAAGGCTTAACTTTGGTCACATTAATTCCATTTGAAAAAAGCCTGGTTGCGTTGGCCACACTAATAGCATTCGAAAAAAAATACGATTGCGTTGGACGTGCGGACGTCTGAACTTCGCGTAATTTGTTTGTGTAGTGTATACAAAGAAAACAGGAGAGGAAAACCCGAATTTTCCATTTTCGCGTTCTTGCCAGTGCCGCGAGGGTGCAAAACAAGTCCGTAATCACCGCCAGTGAAGCAGGCCCTGTGTTCCCGTAGATTGTATGTGTATACACACTGCAAGGGCGCGTCCGCGTCTTTTTGTTCCTTTTCCTTCATGTGTTTGTGAGTCTGATGTCGTGTCTGTGTCTCGCCCCTCGGTCAAATAAAAGCGAGCGGAGAGCCCGTGCGCCAGTTAAAGTCGATGTACAGCATATTTATATTTAAGAGGCACCCGAGATCGGCGAGGAATCAAGCAGTATGCTGCTAAAATATTGAAACAAGTGTCGTCGAATTGTGATTTCTCGGCGAGTCAATTTTCGCACGCACACTTAGCCAGAGTTGCTCGCAACCACATACGCGCACGCACACAAGCGGAGAACCAAACGAGATTTTGCAAGTCGCGTCTGTGAGTAGTGGTGGCTATAGTTGTGTTGGTGCTTGTGCAACTACAAAATTCAATTGTTTATGGCTAGGCATAACTGGGACCATGTACGCCGTACGCCGCACCCCGCACCACCAAACAAAACTGCAAAGCAAACCGAGAGTGTGTAGACTCAGCAAGTGAGCAATAATAGGTAGCATTTCCACTTGCCACAGTGTCGGCCGCTGTTTGTGATTTCCAACGCGCAGAGCAGTGAAAGTGGCTGACCCTACTTATCTTCGCTAATTGTCATCGAGACTTCGATACCCAGTACCCAGTGGATTACATCGGTCTTTCGCCTCGCCGACTGAAAAAAAATATACTGTGAGTATTTATCCTCAGAACTACAAACGCGCGTGATAAGTCATTTATCACCATTCAAATCTTTCCTTTGTGGTTAGTTTACTGTGCTCCCAGACACGGGCTTGCTTTCGCCCGCCATGAGCACTCTTCCAATCCGACTTGGTGCGCACAGAAAAATGCGGACGCATTGCCAATAAAGTCGTGCCAGACATGGATGTCTGACATTTAGACAAGCGTCCGACTACCCACGGTTTAATTTTGTTCTTGGGGTATATCTCTAGAAGCACTTCCGTGCATTTTACATTTTAAGGCGAAAGTCTTTTCATCTCTGGCCTTTTTCACCAGTTCATTGACTTTGCAGCGTCCTTTTGAGCGGGTGATGTTTACACAAATCCCATCGATTAGCTCCTAGAGCAGCTAGATTGCGAAACTAAGCTGGATTCAATCCAAGGCAGCTGGAGCCTCGAATGTACTTGTGTCGTTGAACCCTCCGCAGAATAGCGGGCAAAACAAATGCCAGTAAGTGCCCACGCAGAGACCCAGTGCGAATGCCAAAGTGTAAACAAGCTCCGGAACAAACAGAAACAAAGAGTGTGCCAGACAGTGGAGCCCGTTGTTCTGCCCCTGTACCGCTCCCGTAAGCCGCGCTTAACATCGATTCGGGGCTCTCCGAAGTGCGTTCGTTTTCGTTTCGACTCGGCATTGCGAAGAATTTCTCCAGGCACCAAAGATAACTTCTTGTCCAGACTGAATGGCTTTCCATGGGAGCGGTTTTACGGAGCGCCTGTTGTAACCGGTAACCAGAGCAAGAGGACCGAGGAAAGCAGCCAGCCGGACAGGCAATTAAAGTGTAATTACTCTTTCGAGTGTCGATAACTGTGACATAAGCTCTGCAACCGCCGCTATCAGTCTACCTGCCGCATGCCAACTGCAGGTTGCAACGGCAGACGCTTGCCAAATAGTTGAGGTAGTTATCCACGACCACGACAAGCATCCGAAACGGGAAATCGTTTCAGAGCAGAAGGCAACCAGTTTGGATAGGTTTCCGATCACAAATCGAGGCAAACACTGTGCAGCTTCTGGTTCGTCGGCGCAAAGCCAAGCTGAAAACTAGTTGAGGCTGAAGCAAGGCATTTAATGACGCTATTTTTGTTTCTCCACTTGGTTACGTAGCTCTTTTGCTTGTGTAGTGAGCGGAAATTAAAATTGATAAATAATATATTGACAAACAGAAAGTGACTTGTTGTGGAAAAACAGTCTCCGATAAGGCAGTCTTTTCACTATCTGCATCGCTGTCGGCACTTTCTCGTGGCATCAGATACTTATCTCAGCTTATCACTGGTGCTGTTTTTATATTAACATTTTTAAGCTTATCCGACAAGATTCTGTTCAGCCGCATCGCTTTGGTGCAGACAAAGTAAGTTCGCCACTTTAAAAGCTCTTGCGAAATCTCAGATTAGCAGCTAACTGATCATTGTTTTGGTTCGAAGGTGACGTAATTAATGCAAAATCAAGTTAAATTTCATTGTTTTTGTGAAAATATATATTTAACAGCTTTGTTTCTCAGATTACAAAATTCTCCAAGCGTGCCAGAAGTAGCAAATCGAAAAGGTTTTGCATTCGAACGAGGTTCGGGTTCAACCGGAAGTACTTCCTCGACTTTTTCTTCGGTTTGCTCCTCTTCCCCAAGAGAAATGCGAAACACTCCAAAGGCAGTGTAAAAAGTGAAAGTACTTGTTTTTGTTTGAATATCCTCATTCACAGCAGTCCACGCGACTGTGAGTTTTAAAGTCGAAAGACAATAATAGTGTGCTTCTGCTGCAACATGCTGTTTGACATGGGCCGCCAGATGTTAATTAGGATTCTTGGTAGACCTCCCCAGCTAATTACTTGTATAGCCAGTCGCCGGCACTGGGTCAGTCAACCACTGGAAAAGGAAAGAGAAAAATGTGTGCTGGAAAACAAGAAAAAGTTGTTTGGCCAGTCGTAGATTCTGAAAGTTTCAGGTGAACGAACGGAACAACTTCCAGGTGCTCAGATGCAAGGCGCAATAGCCCCACTAATAACTACTTGCGTTTTCAACGTCGCGGCGAAGGACGTTGGTCATAGATGGGCCGTCGCACTATAGCTCGTCCTTTCTGACCATGCTGACTACGGCGTAGCAATCGGCGACGCCTTTGCCTCCTTTGCCTGCGAGCCACACGGGCTAAGATGCGCTGCGGGACGAGAGAAAGATAAGCCTAATGAATGGTTTGGTTGAATGCCCTTACTTCTGGCTCGAACAACTTCTTCTTGGCATCGCTCATCGCGTTCCATTGGACTACGCCCACCTGGAGTAAGCTGGGCAGATCGTAGCTGCGAAAGACTTTTCGCTTTAAGAAGCGGAGGAAGTTGAGGTAGGGAAGAGGAGCGATCAGAGCGGGATGGTCTACAACTTCGGCGGCCCGGATCACTTTCGGCCCGGAGCGCACCATAGTGCGTGGACCAGCAACTTTTGGATTAACTGAAGGATCGGCTTCTTGACCCAGTCGCACAGTATTATTAAAACTAGAAAGCCCAGTTGCGCTGTCATGACCGATGTGGGGAGTGCTGGTTGGTAGAGGGAGTTGAGTGGAAAACTCAAGGTTGCTTGGATTTGACAAAGCGAATTCATATTTCCTGATGCAGTGCCTCGTTAAAATAAGAGGCGACCCACAAACAGAGTCAACCGAACTAAATTAACCGTCTCATCGGTAGCCCACATTGAAACACAAATGTCTGCGCCCCTATATAGACACACTATCTACTCACGACGCCCACAAATTCATCACGATTTTTCTTTTTAAAGTCCGAGGCGCAACTGCTCCCATCTCCGCTGTTTCTGTGTCTCGCCCTCGCCACCAACGATCATTATTCATGCCCGACTGAATGGGATCTGCTTTTGAGAACCTCTGATAAGGTACTTTGTGCATCCGTCCGATCAAAGTCCGTGCAGTGTGTGTGCACGCATTCTGTGCCTAATATAAGTTGATATTTAAATGTTCAAACCCGTACAATTGTGGAAGTGTAGTCAGATGTGATAAATTTTAGGCTTAGAACTCTCCATCGTCAGCACTTCTTTTTCCAATTTGGAAGTTAAAGTTTTCTTCACTGACGCAATTAAGTGCAGGTTGTTGGTGCTTACGCACCTCTCCCAGTCAACGAGCAAGCGAATCGCTGGGTTGGAGATTATTTTAATTATATTATTATGGGAAATCACTTTCGCTGGATGCAGAACTTTCGTTGATCGTAAAAGTTTAAAGGTAAAGTTTATATCAGCATTAATTACTCTCAATTTTCAACTGGTTAAATTTTAAAGAGAAATATCTACGCAAGGGATTGATGTGGAATCGAGTGAAACGATGCAACGGGCGATGTGAGTGAGCCCTGCTTTAATCCGCCCCCTAACCCACCCAGTCGTTGTGTAACCAAACTTTCCCCCAGTCGAAGATGAGAAACTGCCATTAGGCTTTCCCTCTTTCATTTCTTCCGATTGTGCCTGCAACGGAAAATTAATGTTGTGTGACAATGCCGCTCATAATGGATTCGTGTTGTTTGTAAACCCTCGCTGCAGCTGATATTGCTGCTGTCGGAGATTAGTAAGGGATAGATGAATTATAATGGATACAAGTTGGGGCTTAAATCTGCAGGTAGCACGGAACTGCCGCTTCGCTTCAGTTTTTTCGAGCGTTCGAGTTCGATCTTCAGCGATCTTTTTCGAGGGCCGTTGATCTGGCTAATAAGGTTCAGCCAAATCCATTTATTTTTGTCATTGTCGAGGGAGTAAAAGCATTTACTCAAGCTCACCGTGATTTCGTGTCTTGACCGGTCCGATTTAATTTCGATTTTTGTTCTACCGCGCCATTGATCGTATTTTATTTTTAAAAAGTTATTCAACTTGTGTGTGTACTGTCTTGCTACTCAGATTGAGATGACCTTGATAGCAGCGCTAAAAAAAGCTGGCACGTCGCTAATATCGCTCAGAGGGAGTCGTTTTGAGCAGTAGCAAAAGTATCTGCCTCTAACTGCGTATATATCTACGTCTAACTGCGATGTATCTCGAAACAGTTTGCGGTTTATTAACCGCACAGAAACGGAATGTGAAACTCTAGATTCGCTCTTGCGACCGAGCGTCAGATCCGTAGCGGCTGAAGCTGCCTCTGCTGCGGTTCGGTTCCCAGTGACGACTACTGCAGTTTCAGAGAGGTGGATCTCTGGAATAAGAAGGGAAAGGGGAAGCTCTCTATTAAAATAAATGCACAAATTCAAACCAGGTTTTCTATGAACTTGAAACTTGTCCAACTTGCATACTGAGGCCAAACTGGCGGAACAACTTCAAGGCTTTCTTTCGCCAAAAACAAGGAGGGATTTGGAATGCTGCACCTGATGATCTAGTCCATCGCGCTTTAATTAATAAAAGGATTCGTGGAGGAGACAAGACGTGAAGCATGATATTGCAAAAATACCCGCCATAAATTCTGCTTCTCAGCTGAATAATGCTGAGAATGCGAACAACCAATTAAACGATCTGAGACTATGAAGCAAGTGCAGCAATTGAAATTTTTGCTGATAGTTAAGCGCAAAATGGTTAGCACTGAAAGGTCTTTCGTTACCCGTAAGTTCGTTGACAGCTCTCAGATATGAAGCCGCGTGCTCTTTGCATTTGTCAACCAAACACGGTGCAGATTGCAAAGCTGACAAAACGCTGGAGCCAGCACAGCTGTGTGCCGAGGAGCTGATTCAAGGTGCTTTCGCAAGCCACAGCTGCTGGGCTTTGCTGCGCTGCAGCCAAAATCGGAGTCGTTGCACGGAATCGCTGGGAAACAGCTGGGGAAACCGAGCACAGTACTGCATATTTTTGTTGATAACCGTGTGTAGTCGAACGGCACGGCTAGGAAACAGGTATCTTCTTTGAGAGCTTTCATCTCGTGGCTCAAGCCACTGATGACGCTGCCACCTGATGCATTACTGTTCAGAGAAATGGGTTGAACTGTCTCTCGGCTCCATTGGCTTGTTTCCCCACAGGAATTTTAAATACTTTTGCTTGTGAAGTGGCCCAAAATAATATTCTAGTCTTATACCTGTTATGTTTTTACGGCGTGCTTACCAAACCGTCGACTTAATTGTCCAGTCACTGCACTGCATTTTCTTTGGTCACCAAAGGGAATCCTATGTAGAATTAAAATTCGAACTATTGCTTCAAATGTTGTCGTTGCCGCTGAATTGTGGAGGTTTGGTGGCAAAAAAAATCGTTTGCCGTAGTCTTGTGTAGATATACGAGCTCTGATTGATTGCCGACCATGGTTGACACACTTAGGCGTGGCCAAAAGAGAAATATAATTTTGGGATGGGACTTTAAACTATTAACAGAAACTATGACTTAGACCAAAATTGGGACCTGTGGCTCTAGCTTTCATGATGTTTATGTCGAGCCAAATTAATATCAAAAGGATATTTTAATGTTTCATAATGTTTCATAGAATAAAATACTAAACCACCCTCAGAGCTGAAGGCCTCTTGCAGCTATAGCTCTAACCACAATTTTTGTTAGCTCCTAGTTTTAACTATTAGTTAGCATTGTATAAATAAATAAATAAATGTTTCATAAATTTAAAACTTATAAAATCTATAAAACTTTACGTACATTTAAGCTCTTTTGTTTCTCGTAGTTAATTGTTTTTTAACTTGTAATACAACTGATTCCACAGCTTTCAGCTTCAAAAAAGCACATTCCGATACTGTTTTCTTTTGTGACTGACTTGCGCTCGAGATAAAACTGCTCGTTAAAGTCCCAATGCTCTCAGACGACCGTGAATCTAAGGTGTCAACTGGAATGCTCAGTTAGCATGGATGCCTCTTTATGACAGTTCAGCGGAACGTGGCCGACCGACGAAAGCGGACACAGACCAAAACAATTGAAGGATTTTGCAGAGGCACCTAAAGAAATCAAAGCAAGTGTAAAACCAGTTTCCAGTTGAAATGGTATGTTGGTCGGATTCCACTTGACATCCAACAATCTGTGGCGAAGAAAAGATCGCTAAAAAAAACTAGCAAAAGCACTTTTGCATTTTAACCCCTGAGCCGATAATTTCGTAATTTCAAGGCTGCTAGCATTATAAAATTTTTTCGCCCAGTATCAAGTGGAGTCCTCTTACACGGTCTCCAAGCATTCTTCCCTCCTTAAAAGTCAGCGCAGAATTAAGCAGTCAGTGGATGCGATTCATATTGGGCAAAAAATATCAGTAAAACTTTAAATTCTTGCTCATAAAATCCATTGATATATTTTTAGTGTCGTTCGCATTCTTGTCTCTGGCTTCTTCGCTTTGTTTCTGACGCCAAAGTTATACAACTTAGATTATTACACCACCCAAGCATTTTTGTGCCTGGTGGTCCGCCTTGCCCCGAATGGCTATCGTTGAACTAGAAGATCCATCCAAATAGGAGTGTTTGTTGTTTTAAGGACGCACGATTGGAAAAAGCGGTACAAACATTAGAGCAGGGGCCTACTCCCAAGAGAAATTTTACCAAAACTGTTTTCAAAGATGGCGAACAAACCGGCCAACGGGTTACGCTACAGTTAATTTTTGCTTTCTTAATTAATAAATTTTGTTCTTATTACAATGTGTTGAGCATCTTTGGCTACCGAAAATGGTCAATCAGATAATGAATTCTGAAACCGCCCTATCACCTTAGTCGATGTGTCATAGATAATAAATGTATATTTCTTCCCATATGAATCACAGTTAAAGCCAGTCCGAATTGTTGGCTGGTTAGCCCATTGCAGATTGGGGTCAGGTCACAAAATCATGAAATTTTAATGTCTTAATGAAAGCTGAACCTCCGCGGAGAACGATGGCGGGATGAGAAATGTTTGACGAGGATGTATTCTGATTAAGAGAAGAAGGAGGATGGCAGCGGTCTGTACTGTACTGAACTGTTTTTACGTTCCATTTGTCACTTTGGGACAAAGAGAATGTCTCATGGTTTATTAGTCTCACACTGACTAAATGGGTCAAGGCAGTGCACAACTATTACTAGTCTACACTCTGAAAAAGCCAAAGCCGCTGTATCTGGCTTTTTAATCATCGTTTATGCTCTCTTGCTAAAGACATGAGTGTTATTTATATTTAAATTGATCATGCATTTATTTTTATTTCTTGCTGCTTATGAGACGCAAAAATAAGAATGTAAGTACATATACGCGTAGTCAGAGTAGGTATTCTGATAAATATACAATTTAGCTTGCTGTCGCCGACACAAGTTTGTATTTAGAGAAGGACCGCCAAGGTCACGTTATTCTCAGCCTGTTTTAATGGGCTCAGGTGTCGGGCCAATAGCTCCGGAGGGAACGGGGAATTTTATTGTGAAAGGCAAATCTACGCATAGATACATAAGTCGAACTACATCAATTTAGTTTAGTTATAGAAAATTGCAGTGTGGTTGCCTATGTGCGGACAAGGAATACGCAATGCGAGGGTCTTCAATTGATCGAAAATTACTAATTGACACCAATTTCTGTTTATCTTTTCAGAGCGTGCAAAGGCAAACTCTGACTATAGCCGAGAATCGGACAAATGACTCTAAACTAAACACTTCACATGAGAGTCCATAGCCGAGCAATGGAACACGAAAAATATTCCAAGGTTGTGCCACAAAGAACTGCGTATACAGCCAATTAAGTCGTCTCAATAACCGAGAGAAGCCAAAAGTTAAAACCCTTTCTACATCGCTCCCCGCACCGAAAGCGAAATGAACTCCGTCATATCAGCATTTAAGGGTAAAAAGAGCAGCGCTGCCAACGGCACTGCTTCCGGAGAGACCAAACAGAACCATGGCGGAGGTCTCCTCAGCATATCCAGCGTCGGCGGCGGCGTGGCCAAGAAAAAGCCAGTGGCCCAGAACAGTGGCTACCAGTACCTGCGGCACATACGCGAGATCGAAACCGCCAACAAGCTGCTTTCCCCCGCCGTGGTTGTCGCGGAGGACAGGTCAGACGGCAAGTCCGGTTCTGCGCCGACAGCGGCAGCCGGAGTCGACATGGTGGACCACGTCTGTCTGCCCGCTACGATACGACTGACCAGTGCGGAAACCTTGTCCGACTTAAACATGAACGGAAAGACCGTTAGAGCCGTGGGTTCTGCCACAGCATTTGGCGACAATGCAAACCTGGAAACGGCTGACACCTGGAATAGCCCGCTGCCAGTTACGACAACGGACGAAGATGACCTCTCCGAGCATTCGAATGCCGCCTGCACCAGCACCAGTAGCTCCAGCGAACACAGCAACAGCACGGTGGTGCACAGTCCCACTGTGGCGGAAAGCACATCTGCCTCAGCATCGGCATCTGCCTCAGTCAGACATCCCAGTCCCAGCTTGAGTCAGCACAGCCAGTCGTCGCTGGCCATTACCTGTGAGCCGCACTCGACCTCCACAACCACTTTGTCTTCGCTGGGCTCAGACCTGGGCAACGGAAACGGAAATACCATACCCGCTTTTCTAATAGCCGCGAGGCCAGTTACCCTGCCCATTGGCGGGCAAATGCCATCGGCCACGGTGCAGCCGGGAGCTTGCTCCGCGGCCAGTACGCCCAAACACTCACGCTACTCCAAGCCCCGACTCAGCCTGAGCCGCGTCTTGAACCATTGCTCCATGCCCTCGGTGCACGGAAGGTCAAATCTCAGTGTGACGCAGTCGGGCGAAGGAGTGTTAGCTGCCAACCCGGGAACTGTTGCGAATACCCCAAAACGTATTTCTACGCACCAAAGAAACTTGAGTTTGGATTTCAGGTAAGTCCAGTTTTTTTCCTTATGATGCTTAAGGGGCGAGAAGAAAGGGTTTCGACTCCACTTGTTTTTCCACATTATTTTGGGCCTGTGTATCGACGTACTAAGTAGTTTGGGGCTGCAATGCTAAGCCGAAAACCAACGTCGCGGTTCCGCACACGCAAACTTAAGACGGTGCCTGGCAAATAGTCCGACTCCTGCTGGTCCCACAAAGGGACAAAGGATCGCCACTCCAGGCAACTGAAGCCCCCACAAGGGCGTCAAAATGTTAAACATGTTGGGCAACACTGTCCGGCTTGTGATCCATCTCCTGTTGTGATCCAGTACATTGAACAGCGGTTTCTGAAAAGAACTTTAGCATAATAAAACCAGATCGCTCCGCGTCGCTTTTTGTGTCGGAATCCGAATGCGGCACACAATCTGAAAATGTAAATAATCTTGAAAAAATACACTGGCTAAGAATTTTACTTGTGGAATTTCGTTAGAGCCTGCTGAACGTGCTTGACTGGGGGCGCATAGAAGGAGATTTTGTAAAAATAACTCAGCAATGTGTGCCGGGCTCTTATTGCGTTTTCCATGGTAAATAAACAATTCAACAGCTATGCACGGTATACATTCATATGTAAGTAACACATGCCCACACACACAGTTCAATGGCAGATTATTGAATATGTAACACTGCAGTTGCAACGGTCCAGATTTGCTTGCTTGCGGAAGTTCTTGTCGACCAGGCAAACCCAGAATCAACTAGAGAAGGGAGCTGATTCGAAAAGAACAGTGGTCGCCAAAGGCTCAATCAGTCTGTGCCTAGTCTATAGATTCTCTCCCTCTCTTTATAAAGGTAATTCAATGGAAATGTACTTAAGATCTGTGTGAGAGGCAAGATCATTTTTGGTGGTCATTCATCAGAACTTTATCGAATGGTATGCAACTGAAATAAGTGCGGCACTCACTTCTTTGTCATGTTTTGCAGTACATAATTCTGCTGTCGAACATAATGCGGCGCAGTAGGATAATTGGTCATCATGAGACACAAGCCTTGAGATTGTCAAAAAATGTTGCTCTGACAACATTATCACCCAAAGCCATGTGTTTCCATCGGGAAAAGTTTCGTTTACTAAAACCCGGTTTACCATTGTTGAAAAGCTATTGCTTTTATCTGCCGCCGGGCTCTGTGTATGTACACTGATGACGTGCCACACCCTGTCTTTGTGAAGTGCGTGCGCCGGCAAAACGTTCCAGTACGGATGTTAAGCTTGCCCACCCCATGTCATGCCATCTTGGCGTAGGCCTTACCCCTTTCTACTGACTGGGCAACATTCGACGCTCTCGCTCTCGTGACGCCGATTGTACGGTTGCAGCTTTTGCCCGCCAATTTTTAATTTCATTAGCTTTTTACTTCCTTCAGGTCCTCCTGCAATTACTTATTTTTTGCAATTATAAATTTTGGTCCGCCGTTCAGAGCTACCCACGCGATTCAAAGGAACGAAATAAAAACGTAGGAAAGTATTAGTCGGAAATTCCAAATGTCTAAACGATACCACCGGCCCGTGCGTTGACTGGGCCTCCTGTTAAATTTTTGCGGAAGTCTTAGAAAGTGTTTTCTTTTGAATGGATGGTCAACGATTCAGATGCAATTACATTTGCATGGCAAATATAAACGCTTGGCCGAAGCAGAAAGAGCTGAAAAACTGTGCTATTGATAACACTTGATGAAAACGAGCAGTGATGAATAAGCAAAAAGCTGGTGCGCAAACATACGGGCTTGGTCAACAAATTTAACGAGGTACTCGCACACACGATCTGATTATCCACAGGAGCAGAGGGCTTGTAGGAGTCGTCGACCTTTTGGAATTGAGAATAGTTTCGTGAACACTGTCCAGACTGCATTTCTAGTTTGGGCAAACAACTAAGCTCCCAGCGAGTGGCCTTCAACCGCTTTTTTTCGCAGCGTATTTACGTAAATCCCAAAGCGTGGTGTGCGGACATGTCAATGGGCATAATAAACGGGCAAGGCTCATCAACACCCAAATCGTAGCCAAGCCCCGCGCAGGCGGAGGGAAAGCGAAAGCTTGGAAAATTAATGCAAATGCGTAAATAATTGACACAACGACAACTAATGTGGCTTGGTATGTCTGGAATGTGCTTTGCACACCAGTCGAGTGCACAAGCCTTGTTTGTATCTCATCGCCGGAGACATTTAAAATCACAGGCACAGCCAGGCAGGCCGTCATCGATGTGCATCGCCAGGGAGCGACGATATCCGACCCGCATGCGAAATGAGATGGCGCGACTGTTGGCAGAGCACTAGCAAATCCATAAGCTAAGAAGTTCCCCTTTGATGTAGGTTCCTAAACGGCAATATGAACCGCGGAACAATTCAAAAATTTCATTATTTGTACCAGATGAGGTGTTTTAATAAAGGCATATAAAATTTAGTTTTTCACCCTTCAAAGTTTCTTATTTTGACTTCAAAATTTTTAAAGACCCAGTTTTATGGCAACCAAATACAACATATTTTTAACTATTTTAAATGTTTTGTTTGTTTCCTTTGAGGTTGTTTTTATTTTTTAAAAGCATTTCTAATATAAATTCTATAATATAATTTATAAACTATAATTTTTTTTTGTGATATTATATTTGCCTTGACGCAATATCTTGTTTATGGCCAAGGCAAGGCACGGCATTCAACTAATTCTTTTTTTTTTATTTTGCTAACTCCAGTGACTCGATTGTATACAATTAAAACAAAAGAATTTAAAAAAAAATCTGATCTTATTAAATGTTACATAATTTTCACCCTTGCATATTTATTGAAAATGCATAAAGAATCACTCAAAAATGTTTGTACCGACAAGGAAAATTTGAGTTTTGTTTTTCTTGTGCCACTGTGCGCCGGAGCTTTCGACGACGTCATCGTCTCGACGACTCGAACTCGCCGCGAGCTTTGGCTCAAACCCGCGAGCTCAGCCAGCGACCAGCTGTCAACAATGGCCCCAAAAGCTGCTCGATTAGTCAGACATTGTGGGCCAAGCACTTGCATAGCTTTTCGCCTCGTAACTACTGTTTCTGGCCCTCTGCCGCCTCTAACTATGTATATATGTTTCGCTGAGTTTGGGCGTTTTTATGTTTCACGCGCATTGTTCTTTGTATGTATTTTCCTTTCATGTGAATGTTGCTAATATAATCTGAAGGGAAGCGCTGTCTGAATATATTTTATCGTCCAGCCAAATCGCTCAGAGCGATATGATAACTGCGACGTAGCCTACGAGTGAGTTTAAAGTGTGTGTACCCGAGTGCTTTAGCATATTCAAACGTTGTGTTTGAACCGCAACAGATGCATTGATTTTTTGACATTCTAATCTGAGTTCCTCCTTTTGTTCTTCTTACAGATCCATGGGCATACTGCTGCCCCCAGTATCACAGGTGACCAATACTCGCATCAATCACACGCAGCACCACCGCAATCGCAGCCTCGACAGTGCCCTGCAACGCATTCCGGAGGTGAGTAGTATTACCGATGCCTAATTAAGCCAATTGGCACTTCCCCAGACCCCAAGCCCTCACCTGCACTGCCGCAACCTTGTTGGCCGGGGATGCACATACGCAAATTCAATACCCACACCCGTAACGAAAGCAGTAAAACCTGGAAAGTTTCTAAGTCTCTATCTAGCCGTGTGGCTGTGTGTGACGCGATGTTTATTTTTGTTTTTATCGCTGCGTGGCATTGTTATTCATTTTTGCACTTACTTTAGCCCTAAATCAGTATGTACTTTTCGGTTATCGCTTATACCTGCTCTAAACTATAAGAAAATACTGAAGCCATTGTCCTTAGCTCCGACAAAAGCTTCCCATAACCTGATCTTCAAAAATCACTTTTCGCCCGTTCAGGTTGAAGTGTCTTCACCAAATGCCGAAAACGAGAACACGTTCTGCTCCCCGTCCATTCTCGGTGCGAATATGTGCTCAAAGATTGCCACGACCGCGGCGAGTGTAACGGCAGCTCTGTCCCCGCCCCCCACGCCGGCCTTGATGTCCGTGGCCACTTCGACGGCAACTCCGCCCCCGACTTCGGGCGCCAGGGGAAACACGCAGCATACAGTGCCGAAGCTTCAGCAGTCGATTTGTTTGACAGCAGCTTGTAGGTCCACTGCCGTCGGTAAGATGCTCATAGTTTGCCTGACGATTCCCTCTTACTTATGGTTACGTTTTACAATGCAGGGGAGTCCTGTCCAACACTGCGGGTACGGCGCAAATCCAGCGAGTCGGTTGCGGCCAATGGACAGGAAATGATCGAGACTATAGTCAGCGGCACCGGGAACGCCGGTGGCAGCAGCAACAACAGCTGCAGCAGCGCTGGCAGCAGCAAAAAGCGGGAAGATCTCACTAGTCTGGGGTCGGATGACTCCGGTAAGTGCGAGCAAGTTGTTGAAGTCGATCAGTCGTGCCTTTTGCTTTCCTGTAGAATTATGTGAGAAACCCCTCATTCATACACTAATCCTCCATGCAGGCATCATCTGTGGCTCAGAGTCGGACCAAATATCCCTTAATCGCATATGCCATTCACATGAATCGCTCGATTCGGGTGAGATGGATGCGGACGGCGATGCGGATGCCGATGCAGAGGAGTGCGTTGACCTCATGGAGACGACGTCCATCGACGAGGAGTATATTATGATGCAACCGGACCATCTCTGCTTCTATCCCCCACACGCCGCTACCAACGAACTGGATTGCCGCACCCTGCGTCCTTCTCGCAAACAGAAGCGGCAGCAGCAGCGGGCCCTGGAGCAGGGCAATCTACTGGCCCAGGCTCCGCACAAAGATGGGCACACTATGGATGCTGACGTCGATGCCCGAACAAGGTACCGCGTTATGAACATGTCCCAGGCAGCCATCAATGTTGAGCTTGGCGCAGCTCCCAATGAAATTGAACCAGTGGTGTACGACAAAAAGTCTTTCCAAGATCACATAGAGGATGCGGATTTACCGAATCCAGCCGAGGCATCATCGCCACCATCCCTGCCCCTACCAAGTGCTGCGGCAACGGCCCCAGCAACGCCATTGGCAACCCCCACGCCAACTGCCACGCCCACACCAACGGAGAGCACCAAGAACGACCAGGTTCTGTTCAAGAACTTCTTCGGGGCCACCAAGAATGCTATCTTCCGCACCGCCCAAAGCATTATTGAAAACCACGAGAAAAAGAACGCTGCCAAGCAGAAAGAGCAGCCCGATCACTCTACTGCGGTGCCTTTAGTAAGTTCGCCAAGCGGTGGTAGTACATCGCCACAGGACCAGGTCAAGTCGCCTACTGACATTTCCAAAAAGAAGGAATTTTTCAGTCTGCTTACGTCGAATTCCAGCAAAAAGGCCGCGGCTGCTGCGGCAGCGGCTGCAGCGAACTCAGCTGCCAACACTCCTATCGTCTCGCCCACGGAATGTCAAGCTCCAACAGCAGACTACAAGATTCAACAACTGTACGACACAACTGCCGATTCAAGGGTGAAGGAGCGTACGCTCAACTTGCGCCTTCCCGGAGCAGATAGTGAAGTCATCGAAGGAGCACTGGAAAAGTCTTCATCATTTAACTCGCTACACAAACTAAAACTCCCTGTTCCCGGTGTTGTTAAGTACTTCATCAGTGAACGAGCACCGGTGTCGGACTTGCTGCAAAAGCCGGAAAAAGGTCAGAGTGGCCTGTTGCGTTTCTTCGAGTCGCCAGTCTTCAACATACATTTCGCTGTGCATTACCTCTTTTACTCGAAAGAACCGGGAGTGCTTAGCTTTATCGGCAATAAGATCTTCAGCTTTCCCGACCAGGAGGTCGATCTATACATACCACAACTGATTGTCATGTACATCCAGATGGATGAACTAGCCGAGGTTCTGGATCCGTATCTGACCATTCGCTGTCGCAAGTCTGTGGACTTCTCACTCAAATGTCTGTGGCTACTGGAGGCCTACAACTACCAGGTGGACTCCCTGGGAAACTCGCACAGCAGCTCCCGGAAATCTAAGCTGGCGCTCATGAAGGAAATATTCTCAAAAAAGGAGCAGAAGCAGGCTCAGAACGAAGACAAGTCTTCTGGCACGGCAGGCGTCGGGGAGCCAAGGTCGATAGTGGCCTTTGCCAAGAAGACACACCACCGCTCACAATCCGATGCCACAGTGCTGCTAGCCGACTCCCGCTCACCTCACACATTAAGCATATCTCACCGTATGTACCAGCAACCGCCCTACACTACGCAAACGCTTCCCACAACTCCCGCCAAACTTTGTCTCGGTGACTTATCCTCGGGACACGCCTTCGACAACGGCTGCACCTGCTTCGAGACGGTGCGAGGACAAGTGAACGGACTGCTCGGACAGAGGACGCTTTGCAGCTGCGGAGCTCCAAAGACCGCGCCCCAAAAGGAGTTCATGAAGGCACTGATGAACGTGGGTAAAAAACTCACTTCATTGCCTTCTAAAGCGGAGAAGACCTCGGCCCTGCGGATGTTCCTCAACTTAATCAACAAGAACCTGCCCGCCCGAGTTTGGTTGCCGCTCTACTCGGACATTCCGCACCACGTCGTTCGAATTACGGAGGAAAAGACCGCTGTACTCAACTCAAAGGACAAGACCCCTTACATCATCTATGTGGAAGTGGTCGAAATTCCTGACATCTACACATCTCCCTTGATACCCAAGATGATGCCCTCGCTGCGGCATACAAAGAGTGAAGAGCACCTGGAAGGGTCCTGCCTAAATTCGCACCAGCACCTGAGCTGTAGCCGTACTTCCAGCTGCAGCAGTAGTCAGCAGGGCTCGAGCTGCCGGCGAAAGAAGGGCACAGATGTGGATGGCGGTTGCGGCGACTCTGGCTCTGGTCCACACACGTGCTACGGCAACGTGATTTCCCTGGGCGGTCTTCAGCTCCAAGAGGATGACGTATGGTCGAAGGAGGACGATGAGATTACGGCGCAGTACCTTAACATGCGAAAAATGAGCGAGCGAGACACCATTTCACAGATGTCGCTGGACTCTTGCGATTCACGGGACCAAAGTAAGTTGGCATTTAAAAATAATGCTGTGATCCATTATAACCTTACGGTGTACTCTATTTTTGACAGGCCCACCAATCGTCTTCAACATTGGAGACGTGCGCTTGCGTCACTGCAGCAACTTAAGCTGCGAGAACACAAAATCATTCAGCAACGACCCAGAAGATCCGTCGGCAGCGGCCCTAAAGGTTTGTACTTTAAATTTTAGTATTGAACTCGTTCATATAAATTTCGAATCTTTAAGGAACCATGGCACGAAAAGGAAAAGCTTATTCGCGAATCTTCGCCGTATGGCCATCTATCGAACTGGCGGCTGCTTTCTGCCATTGTCAAGTGTGGCGATGATTTACGACAGGAACTTATGGCCACCCAACTGTTACAGGTATGAGTTTTTCAATAAAGCAAAATATATGCATTACTCTAAATTCAACTAAAATTTTCCAGATGTTTAAAATTATCTGGCAAGAAGAAAAAGTAGATCTGTGGGTGCGCCCTTACAAAATCGTCTGCCTTTCAAATGACAGTGGTCTTATTGAGCCCATCCTCAACACTGTCTCCCTGCACCAGATCAAGAAGAACTCAAACAAATCATTGAGAGATTATTTTATCGACGAGTACGGTGCACCCAACGCAGAGAGTTTCCGCCGAGCGCAAAAGAATTTCGTTCAAAGCTGTGCAGCCTACTGTCTAATTTCGTATTTGCTGCAAGTCAAGGACAGGTAGGATTTAAATTTCTATATCGTTAACACTTTCTTTACTGACTTATATAAAATTATTTTAAGGCATAATGGCAATATACTCTTCCATTCGGATGGGCACATTATACACATTGACTTCGGATTTATTCTGAGTATATCTCCCAAAAACTTGGGTATGTATTCCTTTGAACACCGGAAAGCGCATAACTTAATAATAATTTGGCTGTTACAGGATTTGAACAATCTCCATTTAAGCTTACTCCGGAATTTGTGGAAGTCATGGGAGGCACCAGCTCGGAGCATTGGCGTGAATTTAATAGGCTCTTGCTAGTGGGGATGATGACCGCCCGAAAGCATATGGATCGAATTATTAACTTTGTGGAAATCATGCGCAGCAGTAAGTTCCGAAACAAAATGGCGAAAAAGTGTTCCCGATTACATGTATTCCTTTATCGCAGATGCTCATTTGCCGTGCTTTAAAAATGGATGCTCCGGAACTGTACAGAATCTCCGCAAACGCTTTCATATGAATTTAACCGAGCAAGAAATGGAACGAAAAGTTGAGCAGCTTGTACAGGACTCGTTGAAAAGTCTGTCAACCAAACTGTACGATGGTTATCAGTACTACACGAATGGCATATTGTGAGAACGGTTTTTTATGAGGATCTAAGTGCGTTATAACAATTAGCAGATAGAAAATGCCAAGCTGGTAACCAAAACTATGGACTGACTTTTTTGTAAAGGAACTATTGTATATTATAAAATATGTTATTATCAGCGACAAAAAAAAAACAAAAAGAATGAAATTGTACCAAACCTAAATTTGTTATCGTAGCTTAAATCATTCGTTGTATGCGTTTGCATTGTTAAATTAGCATAATGTGTATGTTGTCTAGCTTTTAAGGAAAAGTGTAAATGTTTTGAATGTAGTATAAGATTGTCTGAATGAGAACGCTAGTGTGGCCTGTTATTCCATTTTGAAGTTCATTATTTAGTACTTGTACAAACATTTAAACAAATTTTCAATAACCAGGCTTACAATACGAGATCTTGTTTGATTTCTGCGCTATTCTGTTCATCCTAATCTAAATTTTATACTTTGGCCCTTTTGCAATTCAAAGGTATGCATGTTAAATCATCTAATTCCAATTCTTAGTGATAAGTGTAAAGTTAAACACTAATGCCACTTTGCTGCAGCTTACAGTTTCAATACAGCAATATAATATTTAAGAAAATCCATTTAATTATCATACTTTATATAATTTTAATAAGAATTTGCCACGAGTACATACAGAAATAAATGAAAACTTTAAACCGCGGTCGACTTTGTATGTAGTTGCCATTTAAACAATAATTAAATCCTAATTATTTGCTAACTTAATATACTAAGCTATTGCGGCAAATAACGAAAATCAAAGCATACGAAAAAGTACTAAAACAAATAGCTAGGCACTGAAAGTGAACAATTTCAAGTTTGTAAAATAAAATGAGCAGCACTATTAAAAAAGTTAAGATGCACGCAAACATTAGCTACGTTTGTTAAAAATTGTAAATGAATATTTATACAATTTATTAAATAATGCGACTAAAATAAATAAGCATATGGATATACGCAAAATATAAGAAAACGAAATATATTCAGAATATTACGGCCAATCTACGACCCATAACCAAAACAAATTCCGTTTCGGACTCATAGACTATACTTTCGATCACACTCACATTTTTGGTTTCATTTTAGGGTGGAATAAGAAAATAAGGATGAGGTCCTCCTCTTTAGGTTCTAAGCCGTTCAAAACAGACTTTGGCTTGTGGGTTATATATTACCCAATATATCCTGCAAAAACACTTTTAAAACTAAAAAGAACGATACCGATCAATCAATTTTTACTCTGAAAACCGATTATATTTTGCTATTTTTGCTTTTCAAGTTGGCGCATAATAGAGAGGGGTAAACTGACTGTTTTGCTGTTCGTGTCACGAATTTGGCACGTCAAGCACGAAAAATCACGTAAGCCACTTGTATTTGTTGTTGGAGGATTGAAATAATTTTGCACGCGCTCATCCCTAGCAAAGCGAAAAAATTGCTCGTTGGACACTTGCTGGAGGTATCTGTTTGCCTGGTGGTTTAAGTCGAAAAACTCACAAAACGCATTGCCCCAAAACTCTTTCGCACTCAAATTGAAAGATATCTGGGGTTTCAGACACCAGGCCAACATAATCCGTAGCAAGTAGCAGGTAGTAATTTTGGACCGCATCAAAAACCGTTGTTTTATTCAAAATGGCCGCCATACTTACTGGAAAACAACCGTTGGATCTAAACCCAGCACAACAAAGAGATGGCAAACCCCATTGTTTCTTTGTATGTGTCACGAGTCGATCACGGCACTCACGACAAAACACGAAAGCCAATTACGTTTGTTGTTGGAACAGTAAAATAAATTTGCACGAGCCCATCTTTAGCAGAAACGGAAAATTGCTCGGCGGACACCTGCTGGGGGTTTCTGTACGCCTGGTGGTTGAATTCGCAAGTCTTTCTATTTCCGACAAAATCATCGCCGCAAAACTCTTTCGCACTCAAATTGAAAGATATCTGGATTTCAGACACCAGGCCAACATAATCCGTAGCAAGTAGCAGGTAGTAATTTTGGACTGCATCAAAAACAGTTGTTTTATTCAAAATAGCCGCCATAAGAATAATGCCCCTCACCCATTGACCAATAAGACGCCAGCTTACTGGAAAACAACCGTTGGATCTAAGCCCATCACAACATAGAGATGGGAAATCACTTTGTTTATTTGTGCGTGTCACGAAATTGGCACGATAGGCGCGAATAAATTAAAATTAAGTCCCTTGTATTTGCATGCGGCATGCCGAAAATGAGAAGATATGCTACCATCTCTTAAGAAACGTTGATTAAATTAATCACCTAAGCGTTAGACACTGACACTTTTTTTGCAACGCCTTTAGTAAGTGATATAAGCTATTCAGTATAAACTTGCAGATGGTATCATGATATTTGGAGATTATTATAAATACAAATTAAATTGAATGTATTGAAATGGAAATAAGTAGGAAGATCGGAATAACTTCTTTGTTTTTTAACGATTTCGAAGTAGATCCAGATGATGGCCAGGGCTGGGCATCGCCCATGATGCGCAGGGTCAGCTCCGCCTCGAGTCGCGGCCCGCGACGCAGAGGACGCAATTCATGGGAAAACTGATGGCTGCAGGCAAAGCCGGAAGGGCATCTCCTGTTCCGCTGGCTCACCAGCCGACCCAGCTGGTAGCCTACGCAGCAGGGTTCCAATTTAGCTATTTTCCCACTAGATCTATCGTTTTTCAATAGGAAAATGCGTAAAAATTGTTTTTAGCGGGAAACAAAATAGTAGGAAACGAATTCAATTCATTTTAACACACATTTACGTATAAGATAAATAAATAAGATAAAATGTAAACTATTTAAAAGTATAAATTGGCTTAAGATTTATCAACTTTTAAAAATGCCATCTACTGGTGCCCTAGCTGCCAATATTAGTAATTTTTTTGTTTGTTTCTTCTTTGCATCTGCATCATCGAAAGTTTAAAAAACTGTAATTTATTTTTTAAATATTCAAAAAGCTTTATGATGACATCAAACCGCTCTTCAGTGTATGCATTATTATATGTTTTGCGTATGTATTTTATGAGTATGTGAAGCAGCATATAACTCGGCTTCAGTGGGTTGCATAAAACATTTAAATTTCAATGACTTCACAAGAAAGTATTTTTTTTCAATAGATTTTTTATTTTTTATATAATTTTGCATGAATTTGAGTCATTGGAAATATGCCAAAAAAAATCCATTATACAAAATATAAATTTTTTTGTTGATCAACAAACTACTTATTCTAAAAATTGTTATGTCTTGTACAATTGTATTGTATTCTTACAAATAAAATAACAAAACAATAATACATAATATAAATTTCATTTTCTTAAGCATACTCATATAATATATCAAACAAAAACACCTCCTGACGAGGTATAATTAACGTGACGATCGTACCTTCAAATCCAAAAACTTCTGATATCACATTTTGTGACGATTATTTTATAGAAATATATAGACTATTAAACAAAGCATTTGATTTGGTTTTATTACTTTAATTCTGAAATATTAAACCAATGCTAAATCTCGTAAGACCAAGAATAAAATTAAAAAACATCAAAACTATAATTTTTTTCTGATTGTTTCAATGGGAGCTATGTATATACATACATAGTTGTCCGATCCGACTCGTTCGGATATGTACATATACTATCTGCAATAGGAAAGAGAACTTTTGGGAAAGTTTTATGCAGATAGCTCTAAAACTGAGAGACTAGTTTGCATAGAATCGGACCGACGAACGGACAGACAGTTTTTTAACTTTCTAAGAATCTGCGCTCAAATTTTGGCCTGTTGTTTTGAGTAGATTTTCTGGGCAATTTAGTGAAATTAAAATTTTCAAAAATCGGATTTGCAGTATAGTGACCCAGAGCCAAAAACAAAAATGGCTCTTTAAAAAAATTACCTAATAATCCGTAGCCGACATCAGCTGAAAATTTTGGCCAGCATGGTTTTCTGCTACCATTTTTTGGAGAAACCTCTTGTTTGGCCTACCATTCCGCTTGTAAACTTACCTCGTTACGAGATGTTTTCGTTTGTTTAAAGTAACTAAAAATCAATAGCTACATATATAGACTCGTGTATTTCTGTGTAACTAAGGTCATGTTGCCATGGTAAAATATTAACAGTAAAGTTAAAGTTTAATGAAACAGATATTTTCACAAGAAATTTAAAAGAGGTGTCATGGAACCAGCTAAAGTAATTGGAAAACTGTTAGATTTCCTTACGTAAAATTAATTTTCTGAATATTAACCTTTGCGCAAATTTATTTTAGAAAGGAACAAGTGCGCATGGAGCACAAGTCGCGCCGTAGTTTTCCAAAAGTGTGGACCCAAGTTTCAGACAAGCAAATTAACAAATTTTACCACCAAAATGAGATTGATTCTCAATTAACGGACCGGCTAAAACTCCAAGGTAAACTTAATTTAAACTTAATTTTCGATTTTAAAGTTCTAACCAGACGTTTCCATAGAGTTATGCCCAATCCTGCACAACAATCAGGGCGAATCAAGTTTCGTGTCTCCAGAGATGTACAAAAACTTAGTTGCTGTCTGTCGCTGTGGTCGGTCTCGGCGAAGCCTACATATGGGCAAATGCCTACAGAGAACATTGAGTCCAGATTTCGAGCGATCCATGAATCCGAAAAGCCCACAAGACTCGAATTCGCAAGGTGCTGTTCCAATTAATAATGCCCCCGAACCAATAAGTGTGCCTCGCACTTCAAACTGTAAGTAAAGGAACCGGATTGCATGTTAGTGTATATATTTGAACACAATACAAAAATAAAACAAATTTCAGCTAGCATCGGCTTTGTAGGAATCTCTAAAAACTACAAAAAATTGGAGCGTTCTATGCAATATGTCTCACCTACATATTCAATGCCGGGGCCTCGGGTAACAACAGTTCCCTACAACAATATTATTATTGGCTAAGATATGCATGTATTTAACACTTGCTTGTCGGGATTTACCAAACTAGATTTTAGATGAGTCAAATCAGGGATTTCTGGTGGTTCCACCCTAGCTTATAATAGATTTAAACAGAAAATAATAAACCAAAAACTGATTGCTGTTATTTTATAGAACTGGATTTTCCAGAGATACACGCCTTCAAAAACCTGTATTCAGTGGCGTACGCATTTTAACGAATGTAAGAAATACATTTAAGATTTAACAAAACAAGTAAATATGCTTAACTTTCAGTATATTTGAAGTCCCAAATTGACTAAATTAAACAAATTAACTCCTTGACAAAAGTCTTAGCGCGCCTCTGCCTCTATCATGTTGACGTTTTTTAATGTACAGGTGTATTTCGCATCAGTTTCACTCAGGCAGCGATTTAAGTTAAAAGCTTGCGGATTCGATTAACGATGTGCAGCAACTGGCAATCAGTTTTGATTTTGGCTTGCTTAAGTCAGTTGGGGGCAACCCAGGACCCTCTAATTTTTCAAACATTAGGAAACCCATTGGCTAGCGCTGAGACAACGACACCAGGGCTGTTCTCCTCCACAACCTCTAACTTGGTACTGGTCAACAATGTTAGAATACCCGGAGCAATCACTCCATTCGTACCAGCTCCGCCTCCGACACAGGAATTTCTGAACTGCTTTGGTAGCTGCCCCACTACTTCGCAGTATAATCCCATTTGCGGGAGTAATATGCAGCTCTATCTAAACGAGCAGAAATTTAACTGCGCTCGTTTTTGTGGTGCTGGTGAGTTTAATAGTTCGTCATCTACTTCCGGATCCACATCTAACCTACCACTTTTTAGACATACAAATAGTTCGACGAGGCAGTTGCGAAGGTCTATTTGCGATGACTCGCGGCTGAGGTACATATGTAGGTTCAGCCAACATCGGATACCGCTTCTAAAGTAATCTATATTTACATAGATAGACATAACATATATACTTGCCAGAGATGATTTCGTCAAACCAGCATTTTAATTTGGTGTTCCCAGTCCATGGAAATTGATAAGAGCAAAGAGAGATGACGAACTGTAAATAGACGTTATATTAATATTATTACTAACACAAAGATGTACAACTATATATACGTTTACTTCTGAAAAACAATCTTGATAACCTTGGCACTGTTGGCACTTGTGCACAATGTCTAAGTGGGTTTCCAAACACAGTTCCGGTGTGAATTTTGATGAGAATGTACGCGAAGATGCTTTCGTCGTTTCACTTGGTCATTATATTGGGTAGAAAATATATTTAAGTTTTTGAGTGAAACTTTACTAACAAACCATTCGGCCTCCATTCAGCTATGCTTTTTGGACATTTGCAATTCCGGGCTTTGGTAGTAGCAAGAGTTTCCGGTCCGGTTCATCGTCGTGCCAACGCTACAATCTTTACGCCTGCCCGCACCCATAACGGAGCATACAATCACTCGGCCTTTGGTCCCGAAATCAAAACATATACCCGGACCATGGTAGCGCCTCATTGGATTGTGCCAACGAATAACCAATCTGCTTTCAAAACTCCAGGATTTTCATCATCCCCTCAGAATCGAACTTGGTTCCCCAGCAATCACGGCTTTTACGGCGCGACATCAGGCAGTGTTCCATCAGGTAGTGCTCCAAACGGATGGATAGCCAGTAATAATCCGAAGCCAGAAGCTTTTCCATCGGGCCGGCTCCAACCAAACTTTCCCCAAGGTCAGATCGTCACCCCAGCACTTCTCTCCGGAAGGAGCAATGGAACTTTTAATCAAGCATATAATCAAACATCCAATAGTGTACCTCAAGGCGGCCGCACAGTCCATGGAAGTTCTTACTCCAGTCCTTACGGAAACCTTTCTGTTTAAACATGATATTCCTCTTCAAGGAACCCAATAAAATCAATTTACATTTTCATTTTTTCAAACTACAATTTATTATGCATTCGATTCGGAGCACGTCCAAATAATCGGAACATCGTCGTTAATATTGGGGTTGCTTTCCGGTATTCCAGAAGTGTAAATATATGTGTACAAATGATGAATTGTCCAGAGATGGGCTGAGTCAGGGGTGCGGATATTGGGACGATGATCACGGCATAAAATAAGTATATCAGCTTTGAACTATCAATAAATGGACTGGTACGACGCGATGTCAGGCTCCGTGATTGTATCTCTGGAATTGGACCGAAGATCTTGAACCGAAGAGGATCCCTCGCAGCCGTCAAAGCTCCCACGCCGCAGTCAGGTTCTCCCACGACGCAGTCAAAACTTAGCAATATTCCCACGCCGCCGTCAACAAACACTGGACCCCCGCGCCGCCGAATTGTTGTTGCTTATCCCACGCCGCAGTCCAACTTCGCGCTCCACACCGCCTGCCTCCACCGCCGCAGTCATTAATATTCATGAATTCCAACAGTCGTTTTAGAAATATCCCTAGCGCCCTCGCCTAAACGCCCTAATAATCCCACGTCGCTACACTTCGAATCCCCCGCCGCAGTCAAAACTATGTATCCATCAGCTTCGTCGTTTTGAAAATCCCCCGCCGCCGTCCTTAGTCCTTATTAAATCCCACGCCGCTGTCAGCTTTTCTTTATGTCTTAATCCCGCGCCGCAGTCAAATTTTAAGAACAATTCTCCAACAAATCTAATATCCTCACGAAGGGTCCTCACAGAGAAAAAGTAACTGCCCAGTGGTATAGCGAAGCGAAACGTAAATACAGTCCAACTGCACATTCGGTGGGGGGAGGGGTAAATGTTGAAATAAAGTCTGGAGCCGCCATCAGTCCCGAAAACAGCAGAGTCAATAGCTAGCTTTTCCAAGCCAGTGGTAGAATATCGGAAAAAACGGTTGCGGGTCGATGAAATTGTGTTTAGCGAAGAAATTATACCTCCAGCCTACGTGTTGCTCCACTTGCAGTTCATGAAGGGTGATCATGAAAAGTGATAAAAGCGTGTGTACTCCTACGTGGTGTCGTGTTTTAAGTCTGCTCCAAATAGAACCAGGGTGCGAATTTGGAGATTGAAAACACATTGAAAACGGGTCGAAGGTAGTAGGTGCAAAGTCGGAGGTTCTGAATGTCAAGGCTGCCTTGGCCTTTGTATGCTGCTCTCCCTGCCTTGGATCGGGTCTTGAAAGGGCCTCTGTAGTTCAAAACGCGCTGGACGTTGCTCCCATTCCTTACTGCTTACTGCCATGCATTTCGCGCTAATTTTGGTCCTGCTTATAAACTGATTGCTGCTGCTGCTACTTCTGGTCTGTACTATCCAGCCTGCTGCACTCTTCAACAAAGTCGGACGTCTGCATTGGCTCTTTGGGCAAAGGTTTAAAGTCATGGGTTACAATAGCTTACAATGGAGTTTGAAAAAAAAAAAAATGTTATTTTCTACTTAACAGGACAAGCCTGAAGCCTTACGTATTCAATGTGTCTGAAATGTTTGCTACTTAGATCATCAAGCTGCAATGATATGTTAAAGGAACAGAAACAAAATAAGTGTGTTTCAGCTGGCTGTACCGCGGGGCGCGTGTCTCTTGGATTCCCTTTGAGACCAACATGACGAGTATGGTTGGTGGTGCGCTTGGCATTGCAGCCAGTTTCGACATTGGCCGGGTAGTGATTCAGACACGTGCTCGGTAGCTTATGAGAGGGTCGTGGGCGTTCCTGGAAAGCGTAAATGCACGACTAGAACTCTGCTTATATACCTTTGTGTCTTGGATGACCCTGCCTGCCGCTGTCGCTGTACATCGCATTGGATTCCCTTTACGATATTAATGCTGAGGCGAAGAACTCGACCAGAAGCTCAGCTGGGAGCTTGACTAGGACCAGGAGCTCAACGGGGAGCTCGACTGCTGTAGTACCACCTCGCAATTGATTCCCTTTGCGGTACGATGATAGGCGGGCCAGGAGTTATGGGCTCAACTGGCGGAGCGTGGCGCGACCCATTGGCCGCCCAGCTCGGTCTTCGAACACTAATCGCAATTGTTTCCCTTTGCGATGGATATGGGCTTTCTCGATTTCTGGGCTACCTACGGAAGGAAAGTGCAAGTAAAACGACAACCCACTGAAGGTGATCGACGTACTCGTCTGTCCTGCGCCACGATTTTCAAGTCTGCGTCGACTTCGGCTAGCTGTCTGGACTGACCGATAGTCTTCAACTGCTGCTGCTGCACATCTTTAGATTCGGATGCTTGAATGCTAATCGCAGTTGCTTCCCATGTCGCTAGCTTCTGATCTGTCCGGATGTCATTCAACGATGAACGCTGAATGATGAACACTGCCGATCGCTGGAAGTGACAAGTGATAAATAGCGACGCTAGGCGAGGATGCCAGTGGCGCAGTTGCAGCAGCAGCCCTGTAACAACGACAACACATCAGCTCACTTCTCAGCGAATACTGGTGATGGTGCGGTGTAGCGGCTCTCGGTCCAAACGCATTTGTTTCCCTTTAGCGTGGACCGAACGCACAATTCTGTGCGGTGCAATGCAGTACGTGCTTAGATTCAGGCTCAGCTCAGAACATCACGGCGCCAGACTCTAGCTCCGACTTTGGCTCTGTAGCAAGGCCCGTGTGTGGATCTTGCGGCCCGGTGCGGCACCCAATTTGGACTGGGCCTGGCGCGGTCTGAACAACGGATGGTCCAGTCATCTTTAGGCTCTGTCCTTGGCACTGTCTAGTGGTTAGATAGATACCAGCAGACCTCTTCGGCAGAAATCTCGGCTGTAATGTAAAAACATTAGGTTCACAATCGGCACAAGCAGCGGGACGCAGTTTCTGGTTGCATGCTTTCTGTGGTAATACTCGATGTTGACTGGACGCTTTGTGCTCTTTTGCAGTAGCAGGTGAGCTTAAATTGGTTGTCGTTGTAGAGGCGTTGCGCTCTACTTGCTAAGAGAAGCCTAACTGGATGGACTTGATGCATCGTTTGGATTCCCTTAACGATTTGCAGCAGCACAGCAGTAGACTCGCCCAGCTAGGATCGGTGCACGTCTTGATCAACCGACCGGTCCGTCGCTAGCTCCTCAACTCCAAGGCCTTTCGAATGCAGCTAAGTCGATGCCCACAGGCACACTCAACTGTGTGGCACCGCTGCAAGAAGTGTAAAATAAATTTATGACTGCTAAAGTTCTCACTCTGGGAAGACACATATGGGTCCTGGCCAATAGACACGATGCCCAAAGCCAGACGTCGTTCCTTCTAAAAAACAAAAAAAAAAAAAAAAAGACCACCATCCTGGCGCGAAATTAAGCTGAAAACAGGTGCAAGCGTTCTAGTTGTGTTCAGACCTGACCTGCGTTTCAAATCGAACTCGACGTGTTGAATGGATGTTGGACTGCGACGACTGAGTGTTGGTGTTATTGCTTTCAAGTTGGCATTTGATTCCCATTGCCTCAAGAAATTTTGCTACATGTTCTCGGTAGGTTTTAAAACAGGCGAGTGTGCGCAGGTAAGTAGACAGTGTGATAAATTGGTACGGGCGGTAGAAACTCATGTCTTTGTATAAGAACTGCAATGAATTCATAAATGAGCCTCTAGTTCATTAAGAAAGAATAGAGAAACTTCAGTAGAAAATGAGCTTTGTGACGATCCAAACGTGTGGCTGAAACGCCGCCATTAGAAGGCCTGGGAATCGACGGTTCGCTGTCGGTCTCGGCTCATAAGCTATTGTTGAGATATGGGCAGGCACATTCAACTGCAGCCACATCGCTACAAGACAGAAATATGTTGTTCGACAAACTAAAAATAATTTACGTGATCCGGTAAAGGCTGGCGTGCATATTCCTTGCAGCTTTACTGTTCGCCTATGTGTATTTCTACAAAATACGAAAGAAAAGGATTTCGATTTCACATATCATAGTTGTTACGTTAGTTTGGATGCTCATCGCGTCATTTTTTTTGCTGTATGCATGTTTTTCCCTTACGTCTTGGAATTTACACTGTAATGAATACATTAATTAATCGCTCTTTCACTGCGGTACGATAAGGAGAAACTTCATGGAAAGTGCTTATTTTGTCGGTCTTGAAGTTGCTCTGAGGAATAACTCTGTTTGAAGTGGTCGACGGGACGAATTGCTGTTGCTTTCGACGTCAATAACTTGATATAAGCTACAGATGACATATGGGCAGGCACATTCTACTGCAGCCATATCGCTACAAGACAGAAATATTATTTACATGTGATTGGCGGACCGCCCAACTAAGCTGGCTTGCAATTTCCCTGCAGCTTAACTGTCCATGAAGAGCATTACTACAAAATACGAAAGAACGGGATTTCGATTGCAATTTCTTCAGATTTTACGATTGATTGGCTGTTCCTGGCGTCTGCTTCTTGAATTTTTAAAGCTTTTACTTCTCGGCATATCTACAGAGGAAAATCCGACATTAATGGTAGCTATCGTAGGAGCATTCCGTATGCCCAGCTGCAGAGCAATGCGCTAGAAATAATATAACGGGAGCATTTTGATCGAACTTAGTATCAAAAACGATTTACGGTTTGGCTTTCAACCCATCGATGTTCCTGGCCTTCGAATTAAAGAACGCAGTGTTAAATAGAGGGGATTCTTCGCCGCACATGCTCCCATATTTTCATGCTGATGCACGCAGGCACCGTTCAACTGCGCTGCATCGCTAGAAAAATAAACGAAAAGTGACGCTTGTGCCTAGTCTACTAACTCTTTTACGCGTGCTTCAGATTAAGTTTCGTCGATGATCTGCGACTGGCGCTCTCAGGACTCCGAGCACTTGGAGAGTGCGAGTACAGTAGGGTGGGCATCACGCACTGGCACCCACAGGAACCGATCAACTGTGAGATGCCGCTACAAAGATTAAATTGGCTTAATCTAGCCCAAAGATTAGGGGAAAAGGAAGGGTAAACGCCTAGGGTCCAATCATTGCCTGCCAAAATCATAAAAAGTAAAAGAGAAGAAGTCCAATAATAAGCGCCGAGCGAAGGCCGTTGGAGATCATATACCCCAGTCAAATTTGAAATCCGACGTCTGCAATTTAGGCGTTAATCACGAGAGTAATCCCAAAAGGCTTTAAAGCGAGGGTGAGACATGAGCTCCTAAAAATCCAAACCGCAAAACGATGTATTTCGACGGCTGATCCGCTCCACTGTTATTTTCGCTGTAAATCTGTTCAAAAAGCAATATTTTGTTCGCAGCTGATATACCAAATACCGTGTATCTGTGTGGATGGGTGGGTGGTGCTCAACAGCTGCGAAGCGTTCTATGCTGAATAAGTGGTGGTAGTTGGTCGATAGTTGTCGATGGCCAGGAGAGCTTTAAACGCAGGTAAGCTGATGTGAGCTGGAGCTGCTGCCGCATTCCGCCTTGTCCCCATTAATCTGTCCGCTACGACTGAATCACATGGGCATTGTCATGTCATGCAGAGGAGACGGAGACTCGGTGGTGATTGCTGCTGCTGCTCCTTGCTCCGACGATCTGTGCTGGTTTTCGGAACTCATTGCCAGGCGGTAGAGGTAAGGGTGACTCGGACAGACGTGAAGACTCACTCAGTTACTCAATAACGCAACACCATCGTCGCTGCGACGATCAGGTTTCTTCGCTACCAGTCATAGTCAAAGTCGCATGGTTGCTGTTGTCCGGATCACCGGAATTTGATTTCTTGCAGTTGCCCACTACGACGTAGTTGCTTGTTTAGTGTTCCGTTCCTCCTCATCGTTGCCATTAACGTGCGAGGAGCAGGAAACTGCAAAACAAAATCGATTATAGGTGCGAGTAATGACAAACGGGGGAGTAGTGGGGATAGGGTTTGCTTAGCGACGAATCAGAGTGAATAATAAGTAAAGGCAGTATTGATTTCAACATAATCATTTACAATAATTTTATTTTAGGTTTTATCAAATATCAGTTCTGTATGCTTACTTTAAGTACATGTACAATTAAGAATTTCATTTTACTTTAGAGTATTGCCCCCTTTTCTTTTAAACGACAGAAATTCAATGTGAACCGTAATTACCTCGTGGAAATGCGATGACGAATGCTCGAAATCGAATTTCTCGACACATCGGACAACAAAAGTAGCTCAACTTGGTGTACACAAAAATAGCACAAGCGTTCATGCACACATACACTTTCGCAGACTTGTTTGTATAGAGTTTCATTGTCTCTCTCTAACCGTGACGTCGTAGAAATATTAGTCTGCGACCACCAATTTCGTTACAAGTTTAAACTACGAAACTTAACTAGGTATAAATAGTATTCTGATTTACAAACCGAGTGTGCTCCGGGACCAAAGGCTTTTCCTGTGGGCTTTTTGCATGGATATTATTTCTGGTGGCAGCGCCCATGACTCACACCACTCTCGATTCGAAGGCCGTTTGTTCAGCTCCTTAGTCTCTTCACACTCTTCCAATCTTCTTTTATTACAATCTATAACAGCCTTGCACACGTTTGCGACTGCAAATGAGAAATGGGTTGTCGTAATAAAACTAGTTTAACAATGATTAAATAAAGCTAGGGCGACGTAAAGGGAAATGTTACGACAGCTGAAAATCAAACAGTTTTCGCTCTTTGTGCCACCATTTTGTGCATGTGCGTATGTGTCAGTCACGTATACACACACAGCATCATATATTCATCTCTTTCTAACTGGCCACTGCAATGGCGCAGCTGAGCTGGCTGTTGTTGTTGCTGCCAATTCCTGTGCAACTGTTGCTGCCATTGTTGTTGCTGGCGCCCTTGTTGTTGTTGCTGCTCAGGCTGCGCATAAAATTGTCGAGGCCACTGAGCTCGCTGCTCCACAAATTGCTTTCTGCCTCCGCCTCCGCAGCAGCCTTGGCGTTCGAGGTGGCCACCGCGTCACTGGCGCAGTGCGTCCTGCCGTGGGGCACAAATCGCGTTTGCATCTCCAGCCAGCGGCTGAACCGCTCCTGCTGCTTTCTGCGCAGCTCGTGCTCTGCGTGGAGCAGGGCCGTCGACAAAATGGCGTTCACGCGCAGATCATTGCCAGCGCCACGCAACTTGCGTCGCATTTTCTGGCGTTTCACGCGGAAATTACGCACCCAGTCGGTGAGGGTCTTGGGGTTCTCGGTGGCGTCGCACTCGTCGTAGTACGCCACCATATTGACAAATTTTTTGTTTGCGACGAAAAGAGGAAAATTTGGAAACTTGGTATACACACACACACACACCTTAAACTGCGACTGCCTTCAAATTTTTCAACGAAACTATTGGTTCTCTCTATCCAACGCTCTCTTTCCAACTGTGGCGAGCACGTCAAGTGTGCGGCCTTTTATAGCACTGCCCGACCGCAGGCAGTACCTACTTTGGACCGTATTTTTGGCCAGCAGCTGGTGTTGCGCAACGAAACAGGTCCAAATAAAATCGCCCCTATGGGTGCTTAGCTTATATCTTGCTTTATATTTTACCAGTTTTCAATGGCAAGGCGGTAATTTGTAAATTAAAATTGTAATATTTTTTTCCCAGTCGGCCACAGTTGCCAAGCCGACAAATACACTAAAAAATACCAACAAAAAAATATACCGACTGCGACTTAGTTGGGGTGTTTCATTCAGGGCTGAATCGCTGAATAAGAAAAATGAGAACTTGTTTTCGTATTCCCTAATAGCGTCTGCAAACAGACATCTACCTCTTATAGCGTATTTCCACAGAGATGTTCCATAAAGTTTTGCCGTTCCAAAAACGTCCCATTTAATCCACCGTTAAAACTTGACGGACTTTGACAGACTAATTTATGCGATAATTAGCCGATGTTTCTGCGGTGCAACCCTCTTACCACGCATTCCATACCTGAAAAACCATTGGGATTTTTGAAAAAAGTGAAACTTCGGTTTCCACAGAACACATTCACCTTCCGATTTCAGCTGATTTTAACCGCTGTAGCTCATCAAAACACTTGACCGGTTGACTTTGTTAATGTTTTGACGAGGGCATTATGACTTCTTTCCACGAAGTCCATCCGTTGGAAACGGTTGGAATTTTTGACAAATGTGAAACACAGAAGTCCAGATGTCTGGGTGGGGCTGCGGCTCAATAATGATCAAATACGTTACCAATTTCATGACTAATAGGAAAATGGGAGTACGAAACAGTGAAAACACCACAAAGATATACACACTTCACAACGGCATTCTACAAGGATCACCTTTTTATAGCCTGGTTCCATTGCTGCATTAGTGGACTTTTTAAATGTGCCTGATTCCATTGGCGCATTAGCATTTAGCTAATGCTACTCTGACATGTGAGTGGCACGAACAGCTCTGGTAAATACTAAATTCAGAAGGCCAGGGCTGCCCTCGTGCGTCTTCTTGGCGGGCGATTTGAAAGCAAAAGCTAAGCAACTGGAGTGCTCGCGCTGTATGTTCCGTACTCGTACACATTTACTGGCCACTCATCCCGCCCGACAGAAAGCAATGGACAAGTGCGGGGATCTGGCACTGGAGGCCGAGAGCCAAAGTGATCAATTCAGTTCACCGTGGAACTTTGCTGCCGTCGGTTGCGGACGCAATAACGGTACACAGGGGCGTGATCAGTGAAAGGGGTGAAAGAGAACGCGGGGGCGAACGAGAGAAATTAGCACTGAGTAGCAGTGCGAAGAAACCACCAGATATCCAGATATTCGACAAATAAACAAATCGCGCAAGTGTACAAGTGCCCGCAATATCGCACTAATTAGGGGCTGAACAGATTCAGAGTGTCCGCACAGATTGGCCGGGGGATAATTATTTGCGTGCCATGAGTTATAGGCGATCTCCGCGGCCAAGTAATTGACCCCCTCAAGGGGGCGAATTGGAATTGGTTCGGATCGGCAGCCGGACCCAGCTGAACAGTCTCTCGATTTTGACCCAACCAAAGTTTATTATTGTTTGGGCCACGGCAGTGTAAACAAATAACCGTAGACAGAAGTGGCGGCGCGAAGATGGAGAACGTGCGCTTTTCGATTATTGTAAGTGGAACGACCTGGTCCTACATGCGCCTTACATGTGAATGTTTTGATTTTATTATTTATAATTTTAAGTGAATTGCATTGCATTTTGTGCTTTCACTTTCCATGTTAAAAATTAAAATCAAGTAAGAAAACTAGTTTTGGTTACCTTAGCGTTTTAAAATATATTAGTCTAAATGTTCTAATATTTATAGTTTTAGTTTCAATGTCAGTCGCCCTTTAACTATTTTGTTCGATTGGTAGGAAAACGATCTTAAGTGGAATTCGGAGAGCGACCAGGCGGCGGATGAGGATCTGCTCTTGGACAAGCGAAGCAGCATCTCCAGCGAAGCCAACAGCGCAGGGGTGTTCAGCGATGAGGCGCACGAGATCTTCGCTCGTCAGCAGCAGAATCAGATCCTCTGGGAGCTCGAGGAAATTGAGGAAACTCTGGCCGCGGCGCCGGGGGGCAAGCACGTTCTGGAAATGGTCAGGTCTGGTTGTTTCCTGGGTGAGTACCAGTTTCGTCAGGGGTCCTTTAAATTTTAGACTAACTCTCGTGGCCCCGTAGACCTAATGGCCGACTCAGGAGTCTGGGACTGCAATCTGGCCTTGATCTGCTGCTCTGCGTTCGGGAGTTTAGAGAACATTCAATACTTGTTCAAACACCACAGCTACAGCGTGGATCCGAACGTGGCCGACACCCGTGGCCGAACGCCCCTTCATTTTGCCTGCAGCCGCGCCAACGCTTCCATTGCCAAAGTCCTGCTCGACCACGGCGCTGATCCGAATCGCTGGGACTCCAAGAAAGAAGTAACGGCTCTACACTGTTCCGCCAGGTAAGTGGAAAAATTTGCTCCACATCTGGTGGCAACACATGGATCTCATATGATTTTAATTATGCGATTTCCTCTCAGCTCCAAAAGCGTCGAGTGCATTTTACTACTGCTGCGGCGCAAAGCGAACATCAACATCGGCATCGAGAAGCGTTCCGCCCTGCACTACGCCATCGACGTCAACGCAGTGGACTGCGTTGAGATCCTTCTGAAATATGGTGCCGATCCGAACACTCCCCAGGTCTACACGGAGACGCCGCTGCACACGGCCAGCGCTGCGGGATTCGCCAAGTGCGTCCAGCTGCTCCTCAACCACAATGCCGACGTACGATCTCAGTTCGGCGAGGGAAAGGTTACGGCTCTGCACTTGGGTGAGCGGATGCTGACGGCGTCTTTCGACAAATGCTTATGGTTAGCCTTGAATTGCAGCTGCGGAAAACGACTACGTGGAGTGTGCTCGACTGCTCCTAGAGCACCGGGCCGACGTGGACTGCCGAAATGCTAGCCACCAGACGCCCCTGCACTTAGCTTGCCTTTCGCAGTCGATCGGCACCGTGGAAGTCCTCATCTCGTATGGGGCCAATGTGAATGCCGTCTACAGGGACGGGAGAACAGCTCTCCACGCGGCCATAGTCAAGCAATCGCGGTGCCTAGACTGCTGCAACGCCCTGCTGAAGGCGGGGGCAGATGTCAACAAGGTAAGGTGACAGTTTTTGCTTTTGAATGTTTTGTGTGGGAAGTGAGCATTAGAAAATTGCCCACGTTGTTACCGGTACAACTAAAAATAACATGTCTAAAAATGTACTTTACACGTTGTTTATAATACTTGACTCCGTTTATCTAGTTAAGAATACAAAGTCATTCCGAAAATAAATTCAATTCGTCATCAATTTGCCCTCCCTCGTCCAGCTTTGGTAACTGTGTTCGAACTCTCGAACTTTTTCACACTTCAGTGAAAACAAAACCGGATTCTATGTTTATTGCTAAAAGAAAACTCAATGGTTTATCGGTTACAGAAAGTTACCCTTTAAGTACCCTGAAACTTATTCATGACTATCACTTACAGGCAGATAACTATGGGTATACACCGCTCCACATTGCAGCACTGAATGAATTTAGCAGCTGTGTATACACTTTCATAGGTAAGTAACTTGGAAAAGCAATTCCTGGTTAATCGAGAGCTATTTTTGTACACAGAGCACGGGGCTGATATAACCGCAAGGACCGACGGACACGTCTCGGCACTATCATTTATAGTGCGGCGCACGCCCGAGATCATCCCCAAACTCATGCAGAAATTGGACCGTTCGATAAAGGCGAATGACCATGAAATCGGCGACGTAGACTGCCAGATTAAGCTGGACTTCAGGCTCCTGGTGCCCAGTTCGTCCATGGAGCGGGGCGAAACCGAGCTGCTCTTGTCCCTGATTGAGGTCGGGCAGAAGCGCATCCTAATGCATCCGCTTTGCGAGACGTTTCTCTTCCTTAAGTGGCGCCGCATCCGCAAGTTCTTCCTCATGAGCCTGGCCTATCATACTTTCTTTGTACTTCTTTTCACGCTTTACACTTGCTCCGTCTACGTGCGCTGCTGCAAGGATGGGGAAGTGTGCGTGGCTCCAGGCTACGTGTCCACCGTTGGATACCTGGTGATCATTCTAAACCTAATCCTGCTCGGCAAGGAGGTGTTCCAGATGGCCCACGGTCTGCACGGCTACGCCAAGTACTGGGAGAACTGGCTGCAATGGACCATTGTCTTCGGAGTGTTGTTGTGTGTGTCTCCGGAGATCTTGCGAACTGGCGATTTGCTGGGGGTGCCGGTGTGGCAGCATCACGTGGCAGCTGTGGTGATTTTGCTGGTCTGGTTAGAGTTAATGATGTTGGTGGGGCGATTCCCCATGTTTGGCGTATACGTTCAGATGTTCACCAAAGGTATGTAAACTCTTTTATACATAAGTGTGGAGGAATAGGTCGACTCAAACATTTTTACTTTTCTGCTTAGTGGCTTTTAACTTTGCAAAGTTTCTGCTGGCCTACATTTGCCTGCTAGTAGCATTTGGTCTAAGCTTTGCAGTGCTCTTCAATGATTATCCTGCTTTCGAGAACATCACCTGGTCCTTTCTAAAGTCCATCACCATGATGTCCGGCGAGCTGGAGTTTGAGGACATATTCTATGGGGACTATGCCGTGAAGTTTCCGGTCACCGCTCACATAATATTTCTGTCCTTCGTGCTGCTCGTCACAGTGATCCTGACAAACTTGATGGTGGGATTGGCCGTCAGCGACATCCAAGGACTGCAAGTGAGTGCTACGCTGGATCGTTTGGTGCGCCAGGCGGAGCTGGTGTCGCGCCTAGAAAGTCTCTTCTTCTCGCGCCTGTTGCGAAGCGCACCGACCAACTTAATCCAGCTCTGCAAGCGAAGTGCTCTTCTGCGCACCTCCCGGGACAAACTTCAATTCACCATACGGCCTAATGACCCCCGCGACAATCAGCTGCCCGAGGACATTAAACTTAACGTATACAAACTGGTGGCAGAACGGCGCGACCGGAACCAGAGCCTTCGGCGTCGCCAGTTCGAAGACAACTACAACATATTTAGCCGCAGCCTGCAGCGTCAGCAGAACACGTTCCAGAGGGACTCCCTTCAGCCGGAACCAGTCATGGCGAGTCCCAAGAAAACTCCGCAGAACATTTTCCACATGCATGAGCTGCTGCGTCCTCGATCAGCAACGAATGTGCCGCAGCAGTTGCGTCAAGAGCAGGAGGGAACGGTCAAGATGAAGAACCAGGCGAATGGCCTATTCGCAGTGCAAACCGAGGTGCAGGCGATCAAGACGCAGCTGGGTGAACTGGTGGCCAAATTCGAGCGCTTCTCGGAGAACGCCACTAGAAAACTGAACTACAGTGCTGATGAACTGTGCCGGCTGCGGCAGCAGAGTCAGTCGGGTCAGTCGGTGGTTTCCAGTCATAACCGTCACCATCGCTAAATCGTGTCCCGTGTTAGTTTTATTCCTATTAACAATTAAAGCACATTACGATTAAGGAATAGCCACGCTAATTGCTGGGATGCTTAGCCAGTAAGCCATTTGTCGTTGCTCTGGTTCCAAACGAGAGTCTCTTCGTTGGGCACCGGATCGCCCGGCTCAACCAGTGTCCAGGTCTGCGTCATCGGATTATATGCGAAATTCTTGGAATTTGGCGGAGGAGGAGGAGCGGTTTGCGTCACGACCGGCGGGCGTGTGATGGGCACAATGTTGGGGTATTCCTTGGCAGATCCCACTCTCTTGTCGCTGCTTATGTACTCGACCTGGGACTTGGGATTCGGGTTTTCCAACGGAGCGCCCAACATCAAGACAGGGCAGAGCAAAGCCACAATAGCTACAGGTACATATGTTTAACATAATTTGCTAGACGCAAAATAAGACTGTGTTTTTCAAAGACTCACTGCATATGTAGACCATTCTTCCAAAATAATATTCAAAACTGCCCCTTTTAGAATGGTAATTTATAGGTTCTACAGAGCAGCAGGCAAACAGACAAACGATCCGATTGCGACTGACTGGGAGCTCGAGATTCAGATTGTCTTGGGGTCAAACAAAAGTCGTAAACCAGATCGCTAGCTTTTTATGTGTTTGTGTTTATTCGATGATGTCATCGATCAGACTGATTGTGTAATATAATAAGTTGCCAAATGTTTGACCATAATATAGCTCTAACAAATGCCCGTGTGCACCTGCTGGATTCCTGCAGGGGAAGAGGAGATAGTTTCGCATCGACTCATCTGCAGTCATAAATTGCATTTCCACTTACTCAAGCCACAGGTCAAGGCGCAGTTGAATCGGTTTTCGTTATAGTAGTTTACGTTATCACTGCCACAGACGGGATTGTACTCGCTGGTCGCCGGACAGGACTGGAAGCAAGCGAAGTATTGCGGGGACTGAGTTGTTGGTCGGGAAGTGGTCGTGGAGCTACCGCCTCTATTTGGTTGCTGAGGACGTAACCAGGGGTTTTGTCTTTGCGTTCCCAATTGTTCTAAGTTGTCGAATTGGGGATAGCAGTGGGCTATCGTTATCCCGATCAAAAGAAGGGCGAAACCTGGAAAAGGATCTTAAGCGTCCGTCGCTGATTTCCACACCAGGGCAACCTACCAAATAATCCAATACGATCCATTTCAGACAAGCGCGGTACTTCCGCTACGCTTGGAAAGCAAGTCACTTCTGAAGCTCCCGAAAACCCGCTGACGCCTATTTATAGGGCAGCTCCCCTTACCCGCATATGACTTTTAACGACGTCTGGGTGTGTGGGTGTGCACAAAGGAACAGTTTGTTAATTCAATTGACTTAAAACCAGTATTCGGATTTACCGGTCAATAAAGAAAAGAGCTTGAACTGAGTTGCACTCGGAGTAGGCTGACTTTGCTGTGTTGTTTTAGGTATCCTAAGATTTTACTATTGTAGGTATGTGCTACATACATTACTGCTAATGTTAGCTTTTGATTTTATTCCAGATTGTCTCTGATTCAGAAATATTTATACAACACAAAGATTATAAATTATTAAAATCAAAGCAACTCTAAAGTCTTTAATAGAAAATAAGTAAAGACAGTTTAACAACAATCAGATTATATTGACCGTCCCAATCAAAATTAAAGTTTCTCTAGCTGGTGGGTCCAGGGTTGACGCGCCGCAAATAATATTCCGTTGCGATGGATGACTCTCAAAAAACCCAGATTAAATACTGGCCTGCGCTTAGCCCCCTCGTCATAAATAAACAACATTTTTACACAGATTCTTAGAAAATTAAACCTAAAGAGGTTGCAGCTTCTTAGAAAATTAAAAGATAAACCTATATGACCAAAATTTGAAGACAAATTCTTAGAAATTTAAGCCACAAACCTTTAGAGGTATTCCTTTTTTAAATCAGATTTCTTCGAGAAATGTTATGGAATTTGATGTGTTGGACCTAGGTCACTGTTTTGATGCAAATTAAGTCACTATTGGTCTGAGGCTTCCAAAAAGCACCCGGTTAAATATAAGCCAGCCCGCGACTCTCGTGATGTTTATACGGATCTCCCGTCTGTTTAAATAAATGCAAGAATTATAAAGAATAATGAGTTTCGAAAAGAAGATAAAACGGATGCAGTTACTGTTAGTCTACTTTGTTTTATTGTTTGTGAATTTTGAAATTGTAACTATGTCTTTGCAACCTAATGTACCACATACATTTAAACAGAGCTCATTGGGATATGCAAATGGATATCTAAAAAGTAAGCATCACAGAGTCAATTTTTACCAGGAAAAGCTTGTACCTACCTCATAATCAGAGTTTTTGTTCAAATGAGTAATTTTAGGAAGTTTCCGATTTTTCAAACAAAACAAGTGCAATCTACGGCGTGATAAGGAAAGGGATCTTTGAGCCAAAGCTGTAGCCGAATATCTTTGCTTAGTTATAAGCTGTTTTGCCTGATTGCAAAAATTCGCTGCTGTTGCTGGATATGTTGCTGCTGCTGGAGATGTTGCTGATGTTGCTGTTGCCGCTGCTGCTCAATATTTTGCTGCAGCTTTGGCTTGTTTTTTCGTGACGATCCAGATCCGGTGGGCTGATCCTTGGGCGCCTGTACGCGTTGGTCGCCCATCGTTAGGAAACCAGTTAGCTTATTGTCCCAAATGAGCAGACAAATAGGCACCAAAGAAAGCAGCTGTAGCTTGCGAGGTGACTGCTTTATGTTACGCTCGGCAATCATAACGTAGTTGGGTGCGCTGTGCGTATCGACAAGGACCTTTTGCATCTTGAAGTTGATGCATATGACGTGGCCAGACTCCAGAGTAACAACATTCATCATGTGCTGAAATATCTCTATGACCACGGCCTGCATGTAGATGCCTTGCTTATTGCGCACATAGCGCTTGAAATATAAGTGGCCGGAGTCGTCTCCGGCCATTTTGGCATTGTACTTGCGCTCATTGGCTAGCTTTGTCAGGGCGTGGAGATCGTCTGGTGTGCGTTCAGGCGGTGGACAGTATTTAAGTGCGGCCGCCAGCAGGCTGAAATAGGGGAAGCTGTCAATGCTGAAGGTAAAATACAAAGGTATATGTCAGTTACCGGTGCACCATTATGTCAGGATACCGGCGGATCGGGCTAGTAAAGTGGGTGTAAATAGGAATGGACAATGCATAGTGCCACAGGTCTGCCGGTTCCGTTTTACCCTCGCTGCAAAAATATCTGTCGGTGGAAAACACTGTAAAAAGAGGACACTCTCTGCAGAAAGACAAACTTACGTTGCCCTTGCCATAGGCTTCATTAGCAGCTGGCTGAGGCAAGCATTCATTGCGACAGGGTTGGGGGCCTCGTTGCAAAGTCGCACCATGCTTTCCTGAAGCGCCTTTGACGAGCTGTAGTCCAGTTCGAATCCCAAGGCCAGGAGTTTTTCCCGTAACGCCTTGAGGGACTTCGTTAATGGTGGCGGGTGGTTACGGAGCACAGCGTTCTCAGGAAAGGAGTCGTGTATAAAACGAGCCACTGCCTGGTTTGCCAACAGCATGAACTCCTCAATCAAGCGGTTTGCCTCGCGCTGTTGCTCCACTTCGAATGACACAGGCTCTCCGCTAATTGGGTCCAGAATAAAGCGAAGCTTTGCGTTGTTAATGGTGAGAGCGCCGTTGTCAAAGCGTGATTTACGCATGGAGCTCGCCATCCCGTGAAGCCACAGAACTCTTTCTTTGATGTCATTGGCATTAAATCCGTTTAGGATAGTCGGAAAATCGTTCTCATTAAACAGCTCGTTGGGATTATCGATTATCTTTTGGGCGTGTTCGTAGGCAAATTGCGAGCAGGAGTTAATGATCGTTCGAGAAAACTCGGGCTTTTCTTCCAGCATGACTCCGTCACTGTCCATTTTCCAGAAGACTGAGAAGGCAAACTTGTCCTCTCCAGGCAGTAGCGAACAACGCATGCACAGAGACTGGGGCAGCATGTGAATTACCTCGTTGGCTAAATAAATGGACGTAGAACGCTCCTTCACGATATTATCTAATTCGTTATTCTCCATAAGATAGTGCGATACATCGGATATATGGACGCCAACCTCATACTTGTTATCACCTAGCTTCTCAATGGAAACGGCGTCATCCAGATCGCGGGCAGTCATTGGGTCTATGGTAAAAATGCACATCTTTCTTAAGTCCCTTCGTTGACGCAGATCGGTCTTGCTTATCGGGGGTGGAGGCTGGGAATACATGTCGTCGAATCGCTGCTCAAATGGCTTTATATCTCGGAGGCCATTATGGAAGAGAATCGCTTTTAGCTCGTCTTCCAAATTACCCACGCGTCCCACCGGTTGGATTAGCTCCGCGATGCAATGGCCATTGCAATCGGTCTCCAGTATGTGGGCCAGATATAGCAGGCCAGACACTTCCCCTGCTTGCGTCTTGCTTCCGATGTGAGCGGTACAGCCCTCCATGGGCACGTATACCATGGGTACACGCAAGTCGTACGGTCGGAACTTGTAAAAGAGCTGGTCATCGCAAAGCTTTGTAGGGTTTGTGAACGATATTGTTCCTACGATTTGGCGGAGCTCAGTTTGTTTGGTGATAGCTATAACGAAAGCTTTCGGACAGTTGTCCGACGAGATGACGACTACATTGTCGGCTTCCGCTTCTGAATCCTGAGACTCCGACTCCGAGAGCTCCTCATCATCCGCTGCAGAGGAAGTCGGCTTTAGCGGACACTCTTTAATATTAATTTTTAAACGGACTTACCGAGTGACAAAGACGGCTTTCCGCCAGTTATTCCGCCAGGGGAGGGCTCGGCAGGTTTTGAATTGCACTGAGCACCTGCATTCAGAACGAAAGCCCGAACTTTGTCGCCTTCGAAAGCATAACGCCGGGCCACAGGCAGCAGCACGATGCCATCCCGTTCCAGGGCTTCGCGATCCGTGGTCATCGTGATGAAAGCCTGCCTATTGTTTTTGCGGTTCACCCGGATCTCCTCCTCCACAATGCGTCCGTATCCGGCCGCAGTCAGTCGCTGAGCATGCGCTTCCAGGTCGGAAAAGTTGCCCTTAAAGATTAGATCTGGCGGCAGCTGGTGGTCAGTTCCCACATGATGCTGGACGATTTTGTTAATGTACGTCCGCATGGCGTCCAGCTCGGTTTTTAGCGACTGAGTAGTGTTTTTGCCGGAGCCCTCGCTTCTTTTACGGTTACGCTGTCGCCGTCCTTGTTTTGTCGGTTGCTGGGCAGGATTGCTATTGCTGCTCGATGCATCAGACTCACGGCGCTGGCGGCCTTCCACCCGCTGCTGAGGCAGTTGTCGCCGAACCACCTCGCTCCCACCGTCGATGCGCTGAGGAAGCTGTCGCAGAGCTACCTGCTGGGGCTGAGCTCCCCACTCCAGCTGGGACAGGACCTCGTTCTGGCGTATCAGCTGGGCGGCATATGCATTCACTTCCGGGGAGACGTGCGACATCAGTTTGATCATCTCCTGGAGGGCGTCTACCTCTTTTCTTAGCGCCCGCTTTGACTTCTTTGCCATTGGCTGTTGGCTGGAGCTGGGTAGAATCTGCAGCTGAGGTTGTTGCTGGGAGGCCATCTGCATGCCCGCCACCGGGTAGGAAGGCAGTGCTAAGTGGTAAGACATGGCTATCGCCACCGGCACGGCTCCTGCCACAGCATTGGAGTTAATTTGCCTGTTAAAGGGCGCATCCACGCGCCTCTGCGTTGGCGGATTGACGACTTTCACGGTTCGGGTGGCGGCGGGCGACTCCTTGACGGATGCGCTGGACGTTTCCATCTCCCGCTGCGTCTGCTGAAGACGGGCAGTCAGGCGCTGGGAGCGCTGACGAAGGGCCTCGATTTTGCTGCAGTCGTGGGTGGAAGGATATGAGGAGCCACGGTCCCCCTCCCCGTCCCGCTCTCTGTCCGCATCCACCTCGACGCTTGACGATTCAGACATTGTGAAAAGCAGTGCACCTGGCAGTTGAAAGTGGCTGATACTTGGGGGTTGCTGTCGAAGCACTGGACTCGCTGTGGGGATAAGAAAAGTGCAAGACAACATCAATTGAATACTTTCTCGAAATTAAAGTGACGTGACCAGGGATGCATCACCCACAAACTTCGAAGGGACCGTACTGCGTAGGCAGTCAGAACAGCGGCGAGTTCGGCCACACTGCCTTTTTGTAATTCAGATTCGTGATGAACGACGGTAAGATGTTTTTGTTTGTTTTTGAATTTACACACCGAGATTTACACTGCTCTCCCAGAGGAAATCATAAAGCAGCGCCTACTGATCGACGGCGACGGTACCGGAGAAGATCGCCGCCTGAACGTGCTGCTGAAGCAGTTCCTTAAGTGGGCCAACGCCAAGAACGATTCGCCGGACACCAAGTAAGTGGGAGATATATTTGGAGAGTGTCGTGCGTACATGTGTTCTGTGCCCCCTCACAGTCCCATCATGTACGACCGTTTGATGGCCCAGTTCGCCCAGTGCAAGCTCACTGCGATGAAGAACGTCCAGACTCTGCAAATGATCGGCGCCGAGCGGGATAACTACAGCAAACTGGTGGATCAGCACGAGCAGAGCATCGTCCTGGCGAAGGAGGAGATCGAGGCCAGCAAAAAGGAGCTGATCACCGCCAAGCAGATCCGTAAAAACAAGATGGAGTACGACCTGCTAGCCTCGCTCATACAGGAGCAGCCGGACCGCAATGGCACCCAGAAGCAGATCGAGACCATTAGGAAGGAGATTGATGACCTGGTGCAAAAGAAACTCAAGATGGAGCGGAAGTTCCAGAAGCGCCGCAACGACTTCACTCTGCTCATGTACACTATTCACGAGCTGGAGCAGCAGCTGGACCAGGACAACAGTTCCTCCTCTTCCTCCTCATCGTCAAGCTCTTCTTCTAGCGACAGCGAGGCCCGCTCGGAGCCGGATCTGAACGACAACGGCATAATGGAGGTCAGCGACGAAGACGACGACCTCAACAACAGCAGTCCCACCAAGTTCGACGGAGTCCGCGGCGAGCCCAAGTTTCACTCTGTATCCACGGAGGACTCCAAGGCCATGTCCGTCGAGGAGGATACTGTGCTTGAGCTGAGCATCGACAAGGACGAGCACGACGTGGATGTGGTTGTGGCCAGTTAGGTAGAAAGCGCAATCGAACGAAGCGCATATCAAGCTATAATAAAATGCTATGATTTATGGAAATTGAAAAAAGTATACGATTTGTTTTTGTAAATAAATCCATCAATGCCTGATCAGGAATTTGTCGTTTACCAAGAATTTTGATAAACATATAAACTTCAATAAAATTAACTTAATTTAAATATTTGTAATCTTATTATTAATTAATTTAGGGATTATTTTATTTTAATAATTGAATCGAAATTAATTATTGATTTTGCACTTTTTGCAATTTTTTTCTTCATTCATTTAATCATATTCCTGTTGAATTGATATTTTCACATAATGAATAGCTTATTTAATAACCTGTTCAATTAATGTATTAATATCTTGTTCATTTACAATCTTCATAAAAAGTCCATCATATTGTATATTGGTAATCCTAAATTTAATTTGTATACCATTGCTTTTGAAGCAAATTTGATGGAACAAGCTTTCCTTTCATTTCTAAACGGGCAGGATCGGACGACTATCATATAGCTGCCTTAGGAACATTAGGAATTAAAATAATAGTTTATAATTATTTTTAAAAACTCGGCTATAATTTTATAAAAATCGGTTGACTTTTTCATATGGCTACTATAAAAAAAACTTGGAAAAAACAATTATAAACATTCCCATACGCATAAAAGTCGATATAGTCGATTTAAATACATACATTTACATATTCGTCATATCTGCAAGGGTATATTAACTTCTGCTTTGCATTTAATTATATATAATTATAATTTTTAGTATTTATGTCAATTGACGGACTTTGACACTATGTGCTTGCGGGTAGTATTCGGTTGCTTTCCATCTGCGGTCATACTAAAAAAAGCTACAGTGAAGAGGAAGCAAAAATTGGGAATTGAAAAATTTCAACATCAAATATTAGTTGAAGAAAAACTAAAGTACGCTCGCTGATCTGTGCGGATTCCTTGCTGTTTACCACAACGCAATGATGACTGACGACAAAAGGTAAATTAACTCTATTAAATGCGTAGAGCACATGTGTGTGTATTGACTAGGGATCCCCCTCTCCCCTCTCCCCGCGACTCCAGCTCCAGCATCAACAGCGAGTCAGAGGATCGTCGGGCAAAGCACAAGAAGGCCAAGAAGCACAAGAAACAGAAAAAGTCTTTTTCCGGCAACGACGAGAAGGACAGGCATATCCATAAAAAACATAAGAAAGCGAAGAAGCGTCCCCACCGCCGAAGCGAGTCCTCGAACGACTCGGACGCGGCGGAAAATGCCAAGGCCAAGCTGCCAAAGAGCTCCGGATTGAGCAGCAAGTTCACCGAGATCATGCAGAAGGCAAGCCGCAACGGGGCCGACTTCCGCATCGGCAAACCACTGCTGCCCACGGACCCAAGCAGCCTCGTGGAGGAGATTACCAAGACCATTCAGAACAAGGTGCTGCCCGTCTTGGAGGTGGCCAGTTCGGGCAGCGAAAGCGATGTGTGAGTATTGTGGCGGGAGTCATGTAACCTTCGCCTATAGCTTTATTGATTTCAGCCCCGCCGAAGTGGCCAGTCCTATCATTGCATCTATTATAGAGGACGAGCTAAACTTGGAGGACTTGATGCGTCAGAAGGCTCTGCTGCAGGCTCGCCTGGGCGCCTATATGTCGGACCCAGAGGCCGAGGCCCAACCTCAGGCACAGTCGCACCCACACCGGCAGATTGTGCAGGCCAAACCAGTGGTCAAGGTGGTCACCTCAGCCCCACAGTCTGCAGCGCCGCTGGCTACTGCAACCAGTAAACATGCTAATATTAAACAGTCTAGCACGCATAACTCAAATGAATCCGATGTTATATTGTTGGATGATTCTAGCGGAGGCCAGCGCACTCCCGAGAAGCGACGACGCCACACATCCCCGCTCCCAGCAGCCCCGAGAAACCGAGCCCGCGATGACCCGGTCCACGGACGACGGGAACGGCGCTCAAGAGAACGAGACCGCACACCCACACGTCGCCGGGCAGCAGAGCAGCAGATGCCGGCCCTGCCGCGCAGCCGCAACCGCAACATGGAGGACTTACGGCAGGAGATTAACCGCGATAAACAGAGGGAGAGACGCGACCATAGCCGAGACCGGGATCGGCGTGGAGCAGAGAGGCCGGTGCCCAACGATTTGCGACCGGGTCGTGCCCGAGAGCGAGACGTTCGGCAAAATCGTAACCAACGGTCGCACAGCCGTAGTAAGTTTGAATCGGACAGGCGCCGCGAGCGGGAGCGGCAAAAGGACCGGGATCGAGGTGGATTTGACCGTGGTGGAGCACGCGGTGGTGCAGACAACGGAGACCGAGATCGTTACAAGGGTTCACTGAGCGAGGGGCAAAAGAAGTACGACAAAGAGAGTAGTGACGAAGAGGTCAACCTGGACATTGATATTGACGAGGACGATGATGACGAAGAACGCATCATTAAGCTGCGCCGGAAAAAGCGCGAGGAGCTCCTCAAGGTGGGTAACAAGTTTTTATGCCGTGATCTTATCTTAAAGGAGTCTTTCGTAACTGCCAACAGAAACTGGGCACGGGGCAGGAATCACCAACGCCCCAAAACTCCAACTCGTACGAGTCTCGGAGCACTTCGCCCGGCTCATCCCAACGCGACAGGCCTCCCAGGACTCCGACGCCCACACTAGCTGGGTCGGATCTGGCCAGCGCGGAACTGCCGAAGGAGCACCAGCAGCAGGACAACTCAAATAGCCAGAAGAACAGCTCCGTCAAGGAAAAACGAAACGATTGGGATATGTTTGCCGATCAGGATGTGGATTCCAATTTCGATGTGAGTCGCAGGATTGTAAATTTCAGAGACCATATTCTTCATCACAGTTATTTATCCGAGTTTAAATCCCCTAGTCACCCAACACAATCGTTCAAAGCAAGCACCAACACGAAAATCCCGCCCTTACCGACAACTGGGACGACGCAGAGGGCTACTACCGAGTTCGGATCGGTGAGGTGTTGGACAACCGCTACCTGGTTAATGGCTACACGGGCCAGGGCGTCTTCAGTAATGTCGTGCGTGGCCGAGACCAAGCTCGAGGACAGGCTAATGTAGCTATCAAGATTATACGCAACAACGAAATAATGTAAGAGGAATTCATATCCTAATCTGAATATTTACGCACTTTTGCTTTTATTAGGCACAAAACTGGCTTGCGGGAACTGGAAATTCTTAAGAAGCTTAACGACGCCGATCCGGAGGATCGATTTCACTGCCTTCGTTTGTACCGTCACTTTTTCCACAAACAGGTTATTAATGTTTATTATCAGTTGGCACTGGGCTTTATTACAATATATATTTTTCTACTGCAGCATCTATGCATGGTGTTCGAGCCTTTGGCAATGAATTTACGTGAGGTACTCAAGAAGTACGGCAAGAATGTGGGCCTTCACATTAAAGCAGTGCGTAGCTACACGCAGCAACTATTTTTGGCTCTCAAATTGCTGAAAAAGACGGGCATTTTGCATGCGGACATTAAACCGGACAATATTTTGGTCAACGAAAATAATCTTATACTAAAATTATGCGATTTTGGTTCTGCCTCGGCCATTAGCGATAACGAAATAACTCCGTACTTGGTGTCGCGGTTTTACCGCTCTCCGGAGATTATTTTGGGAATACCCTACGACTATGGAATCGACACCTGGTCCGCCGGCTGCACAATCTATGAGCTGTACACTGGAAAAATTCTGTTCAGCGGGAAGAGCAACAACCAAATGCTCAAGTTTTTCATGGATGTGAAAGGCAAGATACCAAACCGAATTGTCAGAAAAGGTCAGTTTAAGGAGCAGCACTTTGATCAGAGCTGCAACTTCCTATACCACGAGATTGATAAGCTCACCGAAAGGGTAAGTGTCTTTGGGATGATGAGGGAAGCCAATGCCTGAACTACAACAAGTTTCTTCTACAGGAAAAGATTGTTGTGATGCCGGTCGTTAAACCGTCGCGTAGCTTGCACCAGGAACTAATTGCTGACCAAAACCTGCCAGAAGATCAGCATCGCAAGGTCACCCAGCTCAAGGATCTGCTTGAAAATATGTTTGCCTTAGATCCGGCCAAGCGGATTTCCCTCAACCAGGCTCTAGTTCACCCTTTCATACAGGAGAAGATGTAGAGCGAACGACGACTTTGATTAAACGTAATTCTATTTTGCATAGCTCGTAAGACTACGATACGCCCAACTCGCGAGTTAGTTACTAGTTCTCGTTCGTTATCAGACAAACATGCTCACACAGAAATCACAGGATCTACACATCTATTCAATGCGTATACTTGTACGCTAACACAATCTGTGGTTTTTAGTTCAATGGCTTGTTTTGAGAACCGAATTATAAAAAATATTCAGTTAGCAAATGTTCCGCAACTTCTTATTCGTGTGTACCATGCGTGTATATAAGTATTTTAGAACTACTACTGTATAAAATGCATGTGACCGATTTGCGACACACAATATAAAAATCGTTAATGTGAATCGTATTAATTTGTACTACAATTTCAGTGTGCCGCTGTAAACGGAAGATCGTTCCTTGGCCTCGCGGCTGATTCAACTGGTAATAATTTATACTCACGACCTTGCAGAGGATGCCCCTCAAGTTTCAATCTGAACGTCCCTCCGAATGCCAAAAATTCCACTTATAAAGACCACTTTTTAAAAATTAATGATTTTTTATTAAGGTAGTCGGCACAGAAATGTTATTTCTATTCTTAATACATGGTTAATATCATTTATCTTATCTTATGAAATTGGTTTGATCGTAAACGAAATGGTTGTCCTAAGTTCAAGATCAAAAATTGCCACTGCAAGGGACGGGAAGCTTCGGCTGGTCGAAGAAAGCATCAGGCATATTGGCTTTAACCTGGCCGTCTAACCGTCCAGTTTCAGCTCATCTTACGCTAACCACATGTTAATAATACCATAATTTTCTTTAAACTTGCAGTTTGGGTTGTCCACACTAAGTGGAATATTCCACGACATCATCACTCTATTCAGAATGGAACGCCATGCAGGTGAGTTTATTTATATTTAATATCCAAGTGTAAATATACGCATGTACTTATGCTGGTTCAATACAAGTCCAAGTCCACTAATCCAAGCCGTCGATCGGTACCGGCAGCTCAAGTGCTGCCTGCAGAGTTTCGCTCGAGCACAGTATGTGCAGCTCCGCGGGCTGTTGCTGGCTTTTGAGCAAGCACTTGACTTTCTTGGCCTTCCAGTTGTTTTCCGCGTAGGGATCTCGCAGCAGTCCGAAGGCGCACTCAAAGATTCCAACACAGCTTATGGACGTGTGCAGAGTGCCGCAGCAGAGGACCACAACCTGCCCGTACGCATCCATCCGTCCCTGAATCCCGGCGTGCGTCAAGTTAGGATTGAAGTGGAATCCAAATTGCTGTTTGGTGCTTGTTAGTGCCGACAGCACTTCGGCAGCCGTCGTGCACTCTAGCTCATTTATCCCATCGCTGGCCGCGATGGTGAGGTGCAGGGCAGCATCGGTCCACAGGTCCACCAGGCTCAGGCTGTCTGAGTTAAGGCGGTCGAAGAACCATTCTCCAAACTTTCGGGCAATGGCGTGAATGGGGAAATCCTCTTCGTTTTGCTTGTAAGCCGAGACTGGGACGGCAGCTTGGCCTTTAGAAGGTAATCTGCTTGACTCCTGATCCTGATCCTGTTCCCAGTACTGAATCACCTTTGCTACGAGGTCCGCCTTAGTGAAATCTGTGGCTACGTCCGGCTGTCGAGTGTGCAAGTACCTGAACAGGAGTTCTCTTGTTATAGCGCGCTTGGAGAGCAGGATGTAAATGTCCGGAATGTGTGCAGTGAGCAGCCTAAGGGCTTCTGCAAAAGATGAGAAGTGCACACATAACACCGAAATTAAATAAAGTCCGTGTAGTGTAATTTTACCCTCTGGATCCTCGGTTGTCCACACATTTTTCGTGGTGCTATTGGCCAACTGCAGTAGGACCGGCGAGTTCTTCTCATTCACAAGTAGATCCCGAAGCCCTATCCTCTGGGTTTCCGAAATCGGCATGGCTACCAGCCAGTTATTATATTTTGTTATTATATTTCGATCAGCTGATACCTTTCGGATTGTGGTCACACCTAATAGTGTTGCCCACCGAAATTGTAAAAAAAACTATTTCACTGTGAATGGCAGATTATGTTCGCAGTATTAAGTGTGCATAAACCGTTCTTTGCTCATATGTTTTCGCACCCATTCGCAGTAAATATTTACTCCAGAACGAGTTTGCTACGCTCGCACATACAACTTTTGCAAAGATAAGCCAGAGAGGCTCGCACACCTTATCTCTTATCGCATAATTTCCGTCAAATATGTCGGCAAGACTGTTATAGCTAATTTTAGTGTCGAGTAAACCTACGAGAAAGCGTACGCCTACGGCATTTATTGACTGTGAACTCTGAACCAATTAAGAATGGATTCGCCCACCTCCGAGACGACCTCGCCTCTTCCCCCACCAATTGGTCCCTTTGTGGGAGCCATTGACGAGGGCACAACCTCCGCCCGATTCATAATTTTCCGCGCCGGAACCGACGAAATTGTGTGCTTCCACCAAATCGAGGTGGAATCAATTTTCCAGAAGGAAGGATGGTGCGAGCAGGATCCCATGGTCATAACGAAAACAGTCAACGAGTGCATCGCCGGAGCCTGCAAGAAGCTAGAGGCAGTGGGCGGCAAAGTCGAGGTGCGTCCTATTTCAAATAAGGCACTATCTGATCTGTTTCAGTCTTGGGCGATCGACGGGCCTTTATTGTTGTAATAATCAAATGGCAGATGGAAGGGCCGAAACTAGAAGTTAGCTACTGTCCAGCAGGAACTTTCGGTACACTTGCGCCTCCTCGATCCTCTCCTGGATTGTGCGGGGTGGTTTTTCCTCGGCGCATTCGTCCAGTTTCACGTATATCTGATCATTGTGGCCAAAGTCTCCGATGCGGCGCGGCATAACGTGGAAGTGAACGTGGGGCACGGTTTGCCCAGCCTGGGCTCCGTCCTGCACCGTTACAGTGGCGGAAGTGGTCTGGTAAATCCTCTCCAGCAGCCGCTGCACCATGCATACCGTCGCAAACATATCCGCCATCTCGGCGCAGTCGAGACCGCAGAGCCGCGGAGTTACTCGCTTGGTTGAGACCAGAACATGACCTTTGACCACGCAGCGTAGGTTGGTAAAGGCAAAGCAATGCTCGGACTCGTAGAAAATAGTGCGTTTGTCCACTATGTTGTTGGCAAAAGCCCGGTCGTGCGCAGGCTCGTTGCTGCGAACGTTGTAGGCCGTTAGGCTGTAGAGATCGTGTCGCCGGTGCTCAAAGCTGGGCATGCTCTGATACAGGGCCTTCAGTGTTGACACATCTACATCTGCTGTGCCGATATCCAGCTCCTGCTCGCCGCCGCAATCGGCCAGCACCTTTCCCCAGGGACTGACTATCATGCTGTGGCCCCAACTCTGCCGCTTCTCGTTGTGCCAACCCTGCTGGGCGGCAGCTACTACGAAGCACTGCGTTTCAATCGCCCTCGCCCGCAGCAGGATCTCCCAGTGCGCCTTGCCCGTGGCGTAGGTGAAGGCGGCCGGGTATGTGAGCAACTGGGCACCCAGTTTCCTTAGCAGAACCGCTGGCTCGGCAAACCGAAGGTCGTAGCAGATCTGGAGCCCAACCTGGCCTGTGGGCGTACTCACTGGTCGCTCCAGGCGCTCGCCCGGCGTCACGGTGTTTGACTCCCGCAGGCTTATCTCCTTGGTTGTGGCATCGAACAGGTGGATCTTCCTGTAGACCGCGGCCAGCTCCCCCTGCTCGTTGACCAGAACGTGCGCATTGTAGATCTTTCCCTGGTCGTTCAGCTCGTGCACGCCGCCCAGGGACAGCCAGATCCCGTTGCTCCTGGCAAGATCGCGGTACTGCTTCATCAGCTCGCCATCTAGTTTCTCTGACAACTCGAGAGTTTGGGCGCGGTTCTCGCCCACAAAGTCACAGCACTCGGGCAGGAAGAGCATGCATGCGTTCTTCAACTTGGCCCTCGACACCAGCTCCTTCACCTGGCAGAGATTTGCCGCTTTGTCGCTGGTGGATCGCATTTGGCCTACGGCAATGGTCGCACTTTGACCCTTCCGTTCTTGGCCGGACATCCTGCGCAGTTGTTGCTGGTGGGTGGTGACAATGCTGCGTCGTATGATTCTGACTAGAATTGACATTGAAACAGGCCGCCAACGGTGGAAAATTCCGTTCTAGTTACGTCGCAGGTTGTTATCAATTATTTTCACTTGGTTGTTTACGGCCTTTCCTCCCTTTACGGCTCCCCTGAACTTGCTTGTCGCCGATTCCCTGGTAATGGCAACAGTGTGTGCACAGCTGGGGGGAAAATATATAATTGATTGTAACGGTTTCAATTCGGTTTGAATGTCTAAAAATTACCGCTTTAATTCTGGGTCGTTTCAGGACATTATCACTATTGGTATAACTAACCAACGCGAGTCCACCGTAGTCTGGGATAGGAACACCGGCCAGCCGCTGTTCAACGCCATCATATGGCTGGACAACCGGACCACCAAAACGGTGGAGGATCTCTTGGAAAAGATTCCTAACAACGCCAGGAACATCAACTATCTGAGACCGTTGTGCGGACTCCCACTTTCACCTTACTTCTCGGGCGTAAAGCTACGCTGGCTGAAGGACAATGTTCCGGTGGTTAGCCAGGCCTTCTCGAAGGGTTCGGCGATGTTCGGCACCATCGACACCTGGCTAATGTACAACCTGACGGGCGGAAAAGACGGTGGCGTCCACAAGACGGACGTGACCAACGCCTCCCGGACCATGCTCATGAACATCGAAACCCTCCAGTGGGATCCCAATCTGCTCAAGTTCTTTGGTCTGCCCAAGAGTATTCTTCCAGAAATCTGCTCGAGCGCGGAGCTGTACGGCCACATTGCGCAAGGTGTGCTGAAGGGCATCAGCATAAGCTCGGATTTGGGCGACCAGCAGGCGGCTCTGGTGGGACAGCAGTGTCTGGCCAAGGGGCAAGCCAAGGCCACTTACGGCACTGGATGTTTCCTCCTCTACAACACAGGGCCCTCAATTGTGCACTCCCAGCACGGACTGCTGACCACGGTGGGCTACCAACTGGGCCGCAAAGCAGCCCCCTGTTACGCCCTCGAAGGCAGCGTGTCCATTGCCGGCGCAGCCTTCAACTGGCTGCGCGACAACATTAACCTCATTCAAAACTCAGGCCAGATCGAGACCATGGCCAGGGCCGTGGATAACTCACTGGACGTGTACTTCGTCCCCGCCTTTAATGGACTATACGCTCCCTACTGGAACCAGGACGCGCGCGGCGCTATTTGCGGTCTGAGTGAGGAGACAACGAGTGAGCATATAGTGCGTGCTACACTGGAGGCGGTTTGTTTCCAGGTCCGGGACATTCTTGATTCGATGCATAAGGATTGTAAGATTCCGCTGGCCAAGCTGATGGTGGACGGGGGCATGACTGTAAACAATCTGTTCCTGCAACTGCAGTCCGACCTTGTCGGCATTCAAGTGCTAAGGGCCAAGATCGCCGAGACGACAGCGCTGGTTAGTAGTTTTATGTGGGGAGTGAGCGCAGCTATTCTAAACGCTACTGTTTCAGGGAGCTGCCATGGCAGCCTACAAAGCTGTGGAGAGTCGCTACCAATTGGAGGCATCGCTCTCGAAGTCTGGGCCCCGGGAAGCTTTCAAGCCCTCGATTAGTGTTACCGACCGCAACCTGCGCTACCAGAAGTGGAAAATGGCCATCGAGCGCTCTCTAAACTGGGAAACCTCAACTCTACCGCATGGGGAACGCGAGGCCTTCGATGGAGCGTAGGTGCAGTTCATTCCTGGTAATGTTTTTTTACTTAGTTTGTGGGTGATCGTTTTACTTTTGTGCCAGTGGCCCAAATTTGGTTATTTTGCGTTCAAAGTTTCGATTTATTGTATATATAAAAATGTTAATGAAAAACGTAGAAAGGATTTTCTGTGCGCGTTGCTGCTCTGGCAGTGTTCCGCCTTTTCGTGCGGTCCGTTGCTCACATATTCTCCTCGACAGTGCCTGCCGCACCTGCGACCGCGGCCTGGTCCATCTCGTTGAGCATCAACACGCCTCCAGCGGCCTCGTCAACGGCGACCACGGCTGCCGGACCCGCCACGCCCACAACGCCCACCACTGCGGGTACGGCAACCATGCCGACGGCTAGCTCTCCGTTGTTGGGATGCGGATTGACCACTGCGATGGGCGGAATCGGGTTTCCACCTGGAAAGGAATGGGGCCTTTAGGGAGCTGTTACTCTCCACGTCGAGCCTTACGCACTTGCGTCCAATTCCAGTGGTGGATCGGCATTCGCTTCGGCGAGATTCGTTACTGACTTGGATTTCACACACTGGAAATCCACATGGCGACTCTTGGCCTCCTCCTTCTCCCAGGACATGTGGATGAACGGACGCTGCACATAGCTGTAGATCACCTCGGCCCGTCCGCCGGGACGTCTTCGGATTTTCTCCTTGTGGGTGGGGTACCCTTCTATGCCACAGCGGATTTTCTTTAAACCGCGGTCCTTCATCACCTGCTTGGCCACATCCCGGTTCTCGATGTATTTGAAGAATCGGTGCATGGCAGTGCTGTGAACGGCTGCGTTAGAAAGAAAATGGATTTAATTTCTTTGATGTCGGCAAGTTTTGAACTGATTTTCATCGCGGCAATATTTTTGGGCCCCACTCACTCTGGCAATACTCCTCGCCCATTTGGGGAGGAAACTCCTCGTCCCATTCAACCATGTCGTCTTCGAGGAGCACCACCACGTGACATTCTCGATCTCCGCGCTGCGCCGAGGCCACCATAAGCGGCAGAATTAGGTCTTCCAGGAAGAGCTCAAACTGCTGGCGGGCTCCTTCGTTGCTGAGCTCATGAAGAAGGCCTCCTTTATGTCGAACACAGAAGGCATAGGCATGTTACAAGCAAAGAAACGAGAGAGAAGCAGAGAGCAGGAAAGCAGGAGCACAACTCAGGTTCGTCCAGGCAGGAGCAGCCCGCGGTATACTCACTTAGGTTCTGGCAGCGCACCGTGGTGGCGTCGAAGGGGATCAGCAGGTAATCACAGGCTTCCTTCAGTTCCGGCACAGAAACAGTGGGCGGGCAGCGTATCACGCCGGTCTTGTAGTACTCCAGGATGGCCCGAAACACCAGGTGAGATATGCCGTCGGCCACGTCGTACTCCCCGCGATCGTTGGCATGCGCGAACTGGAATCCGGAGCCGAACATGGTTCCCAGCATCGTGGTGGGATGCGCTGTGAGCAGTGACTGCTCCACAGTGAATCGCACGCCGTCCACTAGCATAGAGATCCTCTCGGGCGGCGCCTGCAGACGGCCTCCCACGCCCACCCCCGAGCCTATTGCCTGGCTGCTGGGTGAAGCTCCGCCGGGGGACTTGCCGTCGTGCTTGGGCACGGCTCCGGACATATTGTGCTGGGGCCGGTTCAGCCGGCTGCGCTCCTTCAGGATGCGCCTCCTCCTCTCCTCGGCCGTCTCCTGGCCCTCCTCGCTGCTGTCGCTGCTGTAGGTGTCCTGTTTCTGGGGCAGGGTCTGTTTGCTGTTGCTGTTGCTACTACTGCCGTTGGGAGTGCTTGACATTTTTGCTCCGTTTGCTGGGACGCTCTACATGTATCTGTATCGGGTTTACACGCTTTAGGTGAGAGCGATTTGCCTCTCCCTTTCTCTTTTATTTGACAATTTGCATTAAATGAATTACCACTACGCGTTTATTTAATTTTATTTAGTCGCTGCTCCAGTATTTACTCGCACTCAAATGCGCGAATTTTACTGTTGTGGCCGCAAGCACTATTGTTTTACGATGAATTCCTTAAAAATGTAACTACAACTTTGAACGCCATTTTTATTAGTGGTGGCAGAACGTCTAGGTGTGAAATAGAAATCGATGTTTTTATGATACTATCAAATTTATTTTTCCTTCCACAATTATTCACTTGATTTAAAACCTTAAGAATTAAAAATATATGGATCCCAAAAATACTTCGAAGAAGAAAAAAAATTTACATATGTTTTTTTGTATTGCAAATCGCAAACGTCATACACTTTTCCATTCCTTAAAAACCTTTTCATCAACTTTTATTATAAAAATGAAAAAACAGAATACTTATTCTCAAAATATATAAATAAATGTTTATCGAACAAAAGAGCGTTATCGATACGTCTTGATTAAAGACACTATCGATGTTTTCTGCCAGTATGAGGAATTGATTAAATTTTAGCTGTGACTCGAACCACCAGAATTGTTTTAAACGTTGTCCATCACTGAAAAACACATTTTGGCTTACCGTTAGCTTACCGTTTGTTTTATTGTTATATCTAATATAAACAATGTCGATTTCTCTGGATTTTGGTGGCAAAAAGCAAGTCCGTGAATCTGCACTGTCTGCCAAATGTGGAGGACTACTTCAACAACTACACAAAGCAAGCAACCGAATTTGGTAAAGGAATCGTGATAAATGCCTTGCGCGGATATCCTTTGACGGGGGATTAGACCAAAGAGCCAGAAGGATATCGTGGACTAGTTATCCAGGAAACAGAGAAGATCATCAACGAATCGTCCGACAGACAGCTGCGTCTCACGGCAGTTTGCGAAGAGTTTACCTACTGGAACTGCGATAAGGTGCCCTTAAATGGCGATGTTTACCGACAGAGGCTTCTTCTGGCTGGTGTGGCCCAGGCTGTAGGTTTATTCACCCTTATAAAGGCTTTCTTATGACCTTCATTTAATCCACAGCTCTCAAAACACATCAGTGAGCAGGATCTAGAAGCAAAAATAGCACGGAACAAAGAGTGACCTCCATAATTCGTATGCGCGCAGTCCCTTGGATAAAAGGTCTGCGCGGAAAGCAGAACTTTTAGCATGATCATTAGAAGTCCATAAACTAGGTATTGGACGAAGGAAACAAATTTTAAAACTGTATTTCGGACAGACATTTTTACAAAATTTATTTATTATTATTATTTATTTAAATTGTAATTAAAAAAAGGAAGTGGTCGTTGAAGACCTTATATTTTGAAGACCTGTTCAAAAATTGAATTGAGTAGTTCGCGAGAAATCTTGACAACCGACATTAAAAACACAGATTCTAGAAAAAAAGCAATGACAATAAAAGCTTTATCTCCAAAACTATCAATCAGATCAACTTAAATATTTGGGACAAGATTATAGAGCTATTATAGAATTTAATAAGAAAATCCCGCAACCGGGATAAGCCGCGTCATTTGTGCCACGAGTTTAATAAGAACAAAAAAAAGATATATTGAATCCGTAAAGAGTTTTATTAGACAATTATAAATTTGAAGTTCAAATTTTGAATCGTTCAAGTTGCATTCGAAACGAGTTGAAACGGTGCTTAAAAATTCAAATGTCTTGTTAAAATTCAAATTTTATTAAGAATTATACCTCAACTATCGATAAAATCGGTCCAAACGGGAAAAATCTACCTAACCGGGAAACGTATCAATAGCCACCACTGATTACTTGCATTCGATAGTATATGCCCAAGCTATACGTATCGATTGTCACCACCGATTACTGGCATTCGATAGCTTAAATTTGCAACCGTTCATCATGGCGATCTGAGAAAAATAATTTTTGCTCAAAAATAAAATAAATAATCAAGAGAGTTATAATTACTTCGAATGCAAAAGTGATTGAGCAAAACGTAAGTTTGAATCGGTCGCAGCGCGAAATCCGACGAGTGCGTGTGGTCTTCGGTCAGTAACAAGTGCCTGGCGTGTGTCTGCGGCGGCAAAAAACCCAAATGTAAAATATATAACAAAATCCCAACACCCCCAAGAGTTTGTCGTGCGAAAGTGGCGCCCCAGGTGGGCGTAGTGAATTAGGCAGTGGGAAAAGCGCACAGATTACACACCTAGGTGTGCGGTTCGCAATAACAAATTATTTGTTACAATAAAAGTGGAAAAAAGTGAAAAAAAACTATGATTGCTCCTGAGCATTGGAGAACTGGCGAGGGGGGATGGCTGGCGGGCGAGTAGAAGCTCGCGGATGTAACACGCGCCACCTGCTTGCTCTCCCGTTCGCACTCACGCTCGGAATAAGCGCGCCCTTAACCGAGCGTGCTGTGTGCAAGCGAGACGGCGCCAGTGGGGTGTTGCAGCAGTCAGCGATTGGCTGGCAGCCCGAGCGTTTTTCTATATATTTTGTGTATTTTCGGAATGAACAAAAAATGTGGAAACTAATTTGAAATGCTCCTGCTGCCAGTATGTGACCAACTAACATCTATCTCTGCCCACCAGACCGGTAGATGCTCGTCGAAAAGCCAAAACAGTGAACCAAGCGCCAACAAAAAGCCAGCAAAAACAAAAGAGTGTGCAAAACAACGAACAATAACAAAAGGAAGCAAGCGGAAGGTGGCAGTGGACTAACTCGCCCCGAGAGAAGTGCAGAGCACAGAACTGCAAAGTGGCGTCGCTATTGGATATCCGTGCTGGGGCAGCAGCGGCGTCCATGTCCACGGGTCAACAAGGGTGGACCACCAAGAACCACGACCGCACCACAGCCAGGAGAGCGCAGCAGCAGCCGCAGCCGGTGTGGTGTCGCCAACTTTGGCCTTAAGCATGTAGTGAGTAGCATCGTTTGCCCTCTGAATGGGACACTGACGCTTACTGATTTCCTTTCAGGTCTTGCAGCAAAGAACCCGTTCTCTAACAAGCACAAGACACCAGGGGCAAGGTACCAATCGAAATAAAAACACACAAAAATCCAACCAACACCAATGAAAAATGTCACAAAGAGGTAAGCGCGGTAATCAGCACCACCACCAGTCGCACCATCCGCCGCCGCTGCAGCAGCAGCGCAAGGATGTTGAACCGCCACCCACCAAGCGGCGCAAAGGCAGGCCGCCCAATGGGGCGACTACGACTGGAGTGGAATCTGGAGCGGGGGCTGCAGTTGCGGGGTCAGAGCGGGTTCCAGTTTTACCTCTGAGCAACAGCAAGCATGAACAACCGGGGGATCCGGAGCCTGAGGCGGGAGGAGGTGAAGGAAGAGTTGCGGCAGGCGCCGGCAGCACTAGCAAATCCAAGTCAACGAAGCTGGCCAAGTCGGCAAGCAAGTGCAAGTCGCAAGGGGCGAGTTCGAGCAGTTCCTGGCAGGCGCGCTCTGTGGCGGACATTAAGATGTCGAGCATCTACAATCGCAGCTCAACGGAAGCTCCAGCTGAACTTTACCGGTAAGGAGAGAACTAGTGGACCATCCAGCAAAGATTTGACAGTAATCAATTGCTCTCCAATTGCAGCAAGGATCTCATTAGCGCAATGAAATTGCCAGACTCTGAGCCGCTGGCCAACTACGAGTATTTAATAGTAACGGACCAATGGAAGCAGGAATGGGAAAAGGGCGTGCAAGTGCCCGTTAACCCGGACTCCCTTCCGGAGCCATGTGTTTACGTTCTACCCGAGCCTGTTGTGTCCCCAGCACACGACTTTAAGCTGTGAGTTCACACCTAGTTAATTCCGATTCCACGACTTTCTAACTGACCCTGAACTCTGTCTTCCGCCTCTCTTTTATAGTCCGAAAAATCGCTATCTGCGCATTACCAAAGACGAGCACTACTCGCCAGATCTACATTACCTGACGAATGTCGTTGCCTTGGCGGAGAACACTTGTGCCTATGACATAGATCCCATTGACGAGGCCTGGCTGCGCCTTTACAACGGAGATCGTGCCCAGTGCGGTGCTTTTCCCATCAATGCGACGCAGTTCGAGCGCGTTATTGAGGAACTGGAGGTGAGTTTGCTGAGACTCTTTTTGGACCAATGTACTGACCGCTGTTTTAGGTTCGTTGCTGGGAACAGATTCAAGTCATACTTAAACAGGAGGAAGGCTTGGGTATCGAATTCGATGAGAATGTCATCTGCGATGTTTGCCGGTCGCCCGACTCAGAGGAGGCCAACGAAATGGTATTCTGTGATAATTGCAATATCTGCGTACATCAGGCTTGTTACGGCATTACAGCGATTCCATCTGGTAAGCGGCGTCTGGAGTGAAGATAATTTTAGGGTTTGCTTATTTGGACTTCCCTTTCAGGCCAATGGCTATGTCGCACTTGCTCGATGGGCATCAAGCCGGACTGCGTGCTTTGTCCCAACAAGGGCGGCGCCATGAAGTCCAACAAGTCGGGCAAGCATTGGGCACACGTCTCCTGTGCCCTGTGGATACCGGAGGTCAGCATTGGGTGTGTGGACCGCATGGAACCCATTACGAAAATCTCAAGCATTCCTCAGTCACGCTGGTCTCTGATCTGTGTCCTCTGCCGCAAGCGCGTTGGCAGCTGCATCCAGTGCTCAGTGAAGCCATGCAAAACCGCCTACCATGTGACCTGCGCGTTCCAGCACGGCTTGGAAATGCGTGCAATCATTGAAGAGGGAAATGCTGAGGACGGCGTGAAGCTGCGCTCCTATTGTCAGAAACACAGCATGAGCAAGGGTAAGAAGGAGAGTGCTGGTAACCATGGCGGAGGCAGTGCCTCAGTTGCAAGTGCCATGCACAAAGCGAACAGGTACGGGAGCGGGGCAGGTGGAGCAGCAGACGATGTCAGTAACGCGTACGGGAAAACTGGAGAGGATTCGCGCCGGCGGAAAAATCACCGAAAAACTGAGCTGACCTCCGAGGAGCGTAACCAAGCGAGAGCTCAGCGTCTTCAGGTTTGTGTTTTTAAGTTGAACTTGCATGCCTTCGGTGCTAACATTTCCGTTTTACTCTCAGGAGGTGGAGGCTGAGTTCGATATGCACGTGAACGTTAATGACATTAGTTGCCATCTCTTTGATGTCGACGACGATGCTATTGTTGCCATATACAACTATTGGAAGCTTAAGCGAAAGTCTCGACACAACCGCGAGCTAATCCCGCCCAAGTCCGAGGATGTGGAGATGATAGCTCGCAAACAGGAGCAACAGGACATGGAAAACCATAAGCTGGTGGTTCACTTGCGACAGGACTTGGAGCGAGTTCGTAATCTTTGCTATATGGTCAGTCGAAGGGAGAAGCTTTCGCGCTCTCTCTTTAAGCTACGCGAGCAGGTCTTCTATAAGCAGCTTGGAGTGCTGGACGAGATGCGCCTTGAGAAACAGCAGCCGAAACAGGACGAAAAGCAACGGCCTGTAATGGATCTGGACGCAGTTATCTACGCCAATGATGGACCCACGTTGTATGACCGCTTCTACAGCTCGGCTGTAGGACAAACTGTGCCGGCACAGTACCAGGATTTGAAGTACATCCTTGAACAGCTGATGGGTAAGATACAGAGTGGTAAACAGGGACGTGGCCGTGCCTCTCAGTCTCCAAACAAGCGCAAGCAGCCTGCAAAAGCGTCGCCCAACAAAAAGCTCAGCAACGGCGCCCTTAGTTCCCGCACGTCTTCGCCTGAAAAGCCAGCGACATCATCGAGTAAAGTGGGACCGACCTTCGCGAAGGTACGAGGTACGCCTGGGAAGCCTCCTACAGGGAGGCGTGCCTCAAAGAGCAGCGCGGCGGCGGCGACGTCGGCCCACAACAGAAATCAATCGCACCCAAATATCCGGAGTAGCCCGTCCTCCCATTCGTCAAGCGGCAGTTCATCATCGGGTAATTCCAGCTCGGCGAATGGTAGCAGTAGTTCCGATAGTTCATCTGGAAGTGAATCGGGTAGTGAGAGCGGAAGCTCCAGCGCAGCCAGCGGAGTCTCCAACCGAAAGTCCTCTTCAGGAAGAAGCCCCCTTAAGAAGCAGAGCTACGCCCGCTCCGTTGAACAGCGGCAGAAACAGCGCCAGCGTCGCCAAAGTGAGGCAGCTACGGGTGCGTCTGCGGCGTGTCCGGATTCCAGGTCCGGGAGCAGCTCCACCGAAGACGAAGTCGAGCGTCGTAAAAGTGAGCAAGACCCGGAGCGCGGGACGAGACGTGGACCAGTCCACAGCAAACCAGTACCTAACAAGAGCCAGCCAACTAAGTCAAAACCAATCACAGACGCAGGTGCTGGTGCAACAGCGAGAAGGAAACTGTCCACGACAACACGAGGCCTTGCCCAAATGGACAGAGATGCCGAGGAGAGCCTGTCGAGCGATGAAAGTGAAGAATTGCTGCCTCTGAGGCGCGAACGCCAGCGTGACACCACAACGACGTCTGGATTGGTACCGACTGGCAACTCGACCACGAGTCGAAAGATGGCTCAGCACATATACTCCGACTCGGAAAGCAGCTCTTCGGCCCAAGAAAAAGACCCAGAAGAGCAGGCAACTGTGGAAAGCAACGTAAGTGATTCACAGAACCAGCAAACGATTCGGACGAAGGCGGCTATGAAAGAGTTTGTGCCTGGAACAGCCGCCACAACTGCCGCCACTCCTCAAGCTGCGCCATCGGCTAGCAAGGCTAAGTCGACCAGGGAAGGAAATAACGCGAAGGAAGGAGGTAATAGTACCAGTACCACTAACAGCAGCAGCACAAAGTCTAAAACGAATTCGAATGTCAAGTTGCCATATCCGGCAGATCTTCTGGTAGTGCCACAGCGTCAGGCAGCCAAGAAGGCGTCCGAGAACATGCGGTCCACGAATCTCGCCACAACGCTGCAGCCAGATGCCTCTGACAAAGTCCGAGAGCCGGAAACGAACTCAATGAACTCAACGAGTGCCAAGAACAAGCTCAAGGACTCGGGCTCCCGAGCAGCGCCAGAAACGGATAAATCCAGTCTCGAAAAAGTCAGACAAAAAGAACAGCCACAAAAAGCGGGTGGAAAGGCATCCGAAAACGCACCCGTGGAACGTGGGAAACGTGGAAGACCACCAAAGGTGGCGAAGGACCCCCGTCCACTTCTGCCCACTTCGGAAAAAGAAAAGACTCCGGCTCCCACGCAGTCTCCAACCAAACCCCCACCTGCCCCTGCCTCAACCAAGTCAAACTTTGCCGTATCCTTGGTTCCCCAAAGGCAAGCGGCTAAGAAGGCGGCAGAGCAGTTGAAGAGTTGCAAACCCGCTTCGGAACCCTTCCTAACTGGCAACGACACTGCGGAGAAGGAACCAGCGACGACAGCGACGGGACCTGGTACGGGAGCATCTGCGTCAATTATCACCACGCCAGTAAAACCGACCCGACGGACCTCACTTAAGGAGGCACCAAGTACACCAAAGGAAGCCTTGAGTAGCAGAAGAAGGTCGAAAGAAGATGCGGCAGTGACCCCTGTAAAGACGACCACTCCCGTCAAGCGTCGCGTTGCAGCACCCAATCTTTCTAGTTCCAGTTCCGGCGACAGCGACAGCTCTAGCTCCTCCAGCAGCTCTGGAAGCAGTTCGAGCAGTGGCGCCAGCGACTCCGACAGCGAATCCCAGGCCAGCGATTCGGGGAAGACGTTAAACAGAGAGCCTGCTCAGGCCCCTGCGTCAGTCCCTGCTGTGTCCTCCATTGTGCCAAAGCGTTCACCTCGCAAGTCTGTGGACAAGCCTGCAGTCTCAGCCGTTACGGTTGCACCAGTACCGCAACCTCCAGCTACGCGGTCTCGTCAGAATTCTGCCACAAAATCGCCAAAGAGAGCATTGCAGAAGCCGGTAGCAACCGCTCAGGAGGATGTCTTAAGTATTCCCAAGGCACAGCTGCTTCGTGGTCAGGGGTCTTTGGAAGAAAGTGCAAAGCAAGTCCACTTAGAACAGGCCACCAAACGGGCGACTCGTGGCTCCAAATCGCGGCCCCCTTCCCCCACAGTCAAATTTTCTCCAGAAAAGACAACCTCCCGCCGCAAATCCCGAGCGGATGACTCGCCCAAGAAGGTAGCCAATCTGGAGCACGAAATTAACCAAAGGAAAGCGGCCAGTGGCAAGGCAACTAGTTCGCTGGACAAACTGCTGAACAAAAAACAGCAGCAGATGAACCCTTCTGCACCAGCGACACCACCATCAATGTCGCCGACGCAACCTACTTCCGCCATACCCACAGAGAAAGGTCAACGCGAACCCGAAGAGGCGCCTGTTCACCAGACCAACTTGGAAGCTCGAGAACAGGAGCCTGAGACTGCGGCAGAAGCTGGTGAACTGCCAATGGATATTGATGAAGAGCTGACCACCGCTCCAACGCGTACGCAACTGTCTGCTAGTGCCAGTAAACTAGCGGACATTATCGATGATGAGCGACCACCGGCTGCTCCGCTCCCTGCTTCGCCCACTCCTACTCCTACCTCTAATGACGAGTTGTCCGACGCCGGAAGTGATCTCAGCGAACGACGGCGCATGCGCTGGCGGTCCAGGCGGAGAAGGAGAAGACGCAGCCACGAGCCAGACGAGGAGCACACGCATCACACTCAACACCTCCTTAACGAGATGGAAATGGCCAGGGAACTGGAGGAGGAGCGTAAGAATGAGCTGCTTGCGAATGCAAGTAAATACTCGGCGTCCACATCCTCTCCAGCAGTCACGGTGATTCCCCCTGATCCGCCGGAAATCATTGAACTCGACTCGAACTCTGCGAACTCTGGCCCAGACCAGCAGCAGATACTGCTGCAGGAGCAATCCTTGCCAGCTCCGCTTGTTATGCAGTCCCCTACGTCAGAGGCAGTTCCAACTACTATACAGCAGCAGCTGCTCCCTTCGCACCAGCCACTAACCGATCAACTTCCTGTCGAGCAATTGCCGCCAGTGTTGACGGAGCCCATTGTTGACACCATTCTCGAGATGGAGGACAGTAAATTCGCAAACAACTTCGCGTCGAGCTTAGCAAGCGTGCTAAATCCACCCAATCCAGAACAGATGAGCCTACTGGGATCCAGCATGGAGAGGGGAAAGCAAATCAGTGAAGAGGATAGTATTCAAGCAACTAGAAATCTATTGGAAAAGCTGCGCAAAACCAAGCGCAAGCCACAAGATGACTGTTGTTCTAAGGAGGCGGTCGATCTATTGCCTCCAACTCCAGCCATTCCCTCGGTATTTCCATTCCATAATGCAGCGGACCCTGAGGATATTATTCACGCCCAGAAAGAACAGCAGCAACAGCAACAACAACAGCAACCACAAACTTGTATTTATGGCAACTCATCTGGTCCAAACTCTGTGGCCTCTTTGACCATTAAGGATTCACCCATGACAGCAAATAGTGAAAGCTATGCAAACAGCCTTACCAGCACTCCAAATGCTACACCCACAAATGCAACAATGAGCAATCTTGGACCCGGCAGTGGCTTCCAAGTAAATTTTTCGAACTCTCAGCAAACGCCAACGTTGAGCCTCTTCCTCGAAAAGTCACCCCACCAAAAAGGAGCTTGTCCGCTACCCAGCAATGGCGGAGCTGGTGCTGGAGCACCTGGAGCCACTCCCGACTTTGTGGACTTAGCAGCGGCGGCGGTGAAGAACACTCTCGGAAGCTTTCGCGGAGCAGCTGCCGTTCCCGCGCAATCCGGCGCGGCAGGCAACAACAAGATCAGCGACTACGACGATAACACTCGCATGCAGTCACCGTTCGGAAGGATTCAGTGGAACGAAAACGACCTTATTGCGGAGAGAAGGAGTAGCTCGCCCAGTTCAGTGTCGGAGTCCAATGATCCTCCTCCGCCACTTGCAGCCGCAGCGGCGGCAGCAGCATCGGCGGCACGTACACTTGCCCAGCATGAAAGCTGTAAAAACTACTTTAACAACTATGCAAGTGGAAATGGAGGACCTGGCAGCGCTGCAAATGCTGCGGCGCCCTTTAACCATGCTTCAATGAACGGTATTGATCCCATGCCAATGTTTAACAACACAACTGCGTCGCAGCATCAACAGACAACGCCAACGCACCAGCAGCAACAGCAGAGGACTCCAAATAGTCAGTACAATGGAGGGATCTATCCACAGCTTGCGGCCATGATGCACCCACAGACAACGCCGACGGAAACGTCACCTAGCTTGTATGGCAATGGCACAGTTGGCGGCGTTGGAGTTGGTGTAGGTGTCGGTTCTGTACAGCCAGCGACACTAGCTCCGCCGCCTCAGGGCACGCAATACTCCGGGACACCTTACTCCACAGCCGGCCTGGGCATGCTTCCTGTACAGCAGGCTGCGCTTCCACCAGTTCCCGTTCAGGCCACCTCAACCACGAATCATCAATTCGCCCTGACATCACCGGTGGATGGAAAGATGCCGACTTATCCGAGTCAGCTGCTAAGCAGCTGTGCTGAAGCAGGCGTGGCCTCGATGATGCCACCGACGCCCCCGGTTCCAGTTACAGCCAAGGAGTCGCCGAGCAAAAGGAGCAGCGTCAGTAGTGCCAGTTCATCCAAGAAGCAGTCGCACAAATCACCCCAACTGCCGCAAGGAAAATCGCCAGGTAAATCTCCCCGGCAACCCCCAACTCCTCCTGCACCAGTTCCCATAGTGGCTTTGCCGCCAACCAAATACGACCTGCAGACACACACGTTGCAGGGCAAGCCACGTCAAAGAGCTCCGCGAGGAAGCGGCGGCTCTGGGGCGCAGGGCAGAGGAAGAGGACGTGGAAGGGGCAGAGGACGCGGTGCCGGAGCTGCGAGTGGAATGGCAATGGTCCTGCCGCCGCCAATGACAGACTATGGCAGCAACACCCATATAGTTAACAATTTGGTCGGAACGCCCTTTGAGTTCAACAACGAGTTCGACGACATGGCAGGACCAGGTGTGGAGAATCTGCAATCGCTGAGGGACCGGCGTAGAAGCTTTGAGCTGCGAACGCCACGGGGGCAGAACAAGCCATCTACTACGCCAACTACCGCAGCAACCACCAATCCCCTCCTGCACCCAGTATTGCCGGGACCTGTGGACATGAGAACCTATAATCTTGGATTCGAGGCGCCCCACAGTACAGCCTCCCAAGAGGCCTACCAAAATAATCTGCTCGGTGCCTTCGACTCGGGAACCGCAGATCAAACTCTCAGCGAATTCAATGAAGAGGACGAACGCCAGTTTCAGTCGGCTCTTCGAGCTACTGGTACTGGATCCTCTCCCAGCAAACAGCCCTCAGCGCCGACGGCGCCAGTTGCAGTCCTAGCTGCGCCCAACCCGCCACCTGCAGCAAACCTCCTTCTGCACTCCACTGAAGCGAACCAAATGGCACCCAGTGCGGTTGCCGCTGGCGCTGCAACTCACCTGGTGGAAGGCTCGCTGGTAGAGGCTTCTTTGGAGGCCACGTCTGAGGAGGTCTCAATCGACTCGGACAGCACAATACTGCACACCAAGACCTCGATCTCCGATGCCCGAAGTCAGCTGAAACTCAAGATTAAGAGCCCGCTGGCCTATCCGGATCACTACAATGTCATGACGAACAGCAACAGTCTGAATTTGTCCAGTACCCTAGTGCAGGCCTCTAATGTAGTGCAAACCACGGTGTCTACCTCAACGGTTGTGAGTGCGTCATCTGCCGTAAGCGGCAATTCGCGCCGCATGCGAAAGAAAGAACTGCTCAGTCTCTATGTGGTTCAGAAGGATAACCACAACGACGACAGCTCGTGCGGTCTGCCTGCCGCTTCCGACAACTTGCCGCTGGATAACCTGCTGCGAAAGTCGGCGGAGGAGGAAGATGAATTGTCGGCCGGCAATGGGTCGAAACGGTTCAAGAAGAACTCTAGCAGCAGGGAGCTGCGTGCTCTCGATTCGAACTTGTCCCTGGTGGAGGAGCAGCTGTTCTCCAGCGGTTCTGGTGCGGGTGCGGGAACAACATCCGGCGACGGGAGACGGCGCAGCGCTTGCAGCTCTGGCAGCAACAACGACAACAATGGCAAGACGGGAGCTGCCAGCAGTGCAGGTAAGCGGCGAGGACGGAGCAAAACCCTTGAAAGCAGCGAGGACGACCACCAAGCACCCAAGCTGAAGATTAAAATCAGGGGATTGGCCGCGAACGAGACTCCTTCGGGTATTTCAAATGCGGGCGAGGGACAGAGCTACAGCTATGAGATGACCCGAAGGGCTTGCCCTCCTAAGAAACGTTTAACAAGCAATTACAGCACACCCACGCTGGAGGAGATCAAGAGGGACTCGATGATCTACCGCAAAAAGGTTATGCAGGACTTTGACAAGGGAGAGGACAACAATAAGCGGGAGGGCATTGTCAAGGAAGAAGAGTCCCTCATAATGCCTCAGCCCCCCAGCAAGCGACCTAAGTCTTCCAAGCCCAAGAAGGACAAGAAGGAGAAGAAGCGCCAGAAGCAGCAGCAGCTGATCCAGAGCAGCAATACAACGACCATGACCACTACGTTGATTGAGAACACGGCCAGCGCATCGCCAGGAGACAAGCCAAAGCTGATCCTCCGTTTTGGAAAACGGAAAACGGAGACCACCACGATGAGCGGATGCGTGGAACAACCACCGGCAGTGGAGGCACTTGCACCGGCACCCCTGCGCTTCAAAATAGCAAGAAACTCTTCAGGCGGCGGCTACATAATAGGTACGAAGGCGGACAAGAAGGACGAGCCAATGCCGGAGAACACCTCCCCGGTAACGGAGCTGCCGCTGATGACGCCCCAAGGAGAGGCTTCTCCGCAGAGCCTGTTGCTCAACAGCTTTACCCCGCACTCCCAGAATGCCAACGCATCGCCAGCTCTGCTTGGCAAGGATACGGGCACCCCCTCGCCGCCTTGCCTGGTCATAGACTCCAGCAAGAGTGCCGACGTGCACGACTCCACATCTCTCCCCGAGAGCGGCGTGGGCGCAATGGGCATGCCGGCGTCCCTTGTAGGCGCTACAACCCCTCTGTGTGTCAACGTCGGAAACTACGAGAACAGCAACAACTCACTGCCCTCGGCAAGTGGCACCGGATCGGCTTCCAGCAACTCTTGCAATAGCAACTCGAACAACAACAACAACGGCAGTGGAGGAGGACCCGCCAGCGGAGGGGGCAGTTTACTTCCATTGAAAAAAGACTGTGAGGTTAGATGATAATCGTAGAGCGCGAGAGTGCCGCATGTACGGGTATCCTTTCCCGTCCCTTCCTTCATTTTAATTTGTCGATTTCCCCCTTCGTGATTTGATTCCTTGCCCTAGCCCATTTCTGAGCGTTAGCCTTTATTGTAAACAGGAGCCCCCCCCCAATCGAACTTTAAATTGTACAGTTAGTTTATAAACCCCTTTCCCATTCTTCTATCCGTCTCTAACTGGTTTGTTGGAATCGCATCAGCGTAAACAAGATATTATCCCTATACATATAATATATACATTTGATTAATATGCATATAGCACATTATGCGAGAAACAGAAAATATAAACTGTAAATTTTTAGTGAAGCAGAATGTACAATTAAGGTTTTGTAAAATACTGTATTAAAGTTATAAAAGATAAAAGAACGCAGACACAGACAGTCGTCTAGCCTAACGAAAATCCAAAAATGCTCTCGGTTTAGGTTTATGAATGCCTCCATTCACATTCACCCATAAATCCTTCCACGCCTCCTACTCACTAAAAATGATTGATAAAACCAAGCATATATTCTAAACACTATTTATTAATAATTATTTAATAGAATGCGTAAAATAATCGTAAAATATTAGCAAAAACTGTTAAATGCGTGCAAAAGTAACAACAATTTCAACAATTGTAGCTATAGTCATTAATTGTAGTTCTTAGCGAAAATCAAAGTCGGTTGTCCCTGACCGCAATCTAAGTGCATATATAAAGCTCCCTCTTCCCAAAACCTATACCTAGAGAGATGAACAAGAAATTAACAACATATTACCCTACCATTTTCGAAAGGGAAATGTTTGTATTTTAGCGTGTAAGAGTGCAACGTATCGAAAAACTGCAGATGACGTAGGTTTTTTTTTTGTTTTGCGTTTTATAAAGTGTTAAAGCAATAGTAATATAGGCAAACGTACACTGGTTTTCTATAAGCAAAGGTGCCTGCAGCCTCGAGCCAAGTCACGAACACAAACACGCCCCAAAAAAACTATCTTTAACAGTCTAAGCCCACGGACCTCGAGCACCAGACCCTCAATCCCGGAGCCAGTTGCTCTGTGGGATTGCATTCCAGATTCCGATTGCGGAACGATAAACGGAGCCCCGGTCCATTTAGATTTTCCGATGCTCTTTCGTCGCCAATAGTTCAACAAATTACTTTTCCTTTAACCTTTTTTGCATCGGGCGAATCTCCACTAAGGAGGATGAAAAAATTATCAAAACACATTAAAGGAACACACGCAACAAATATTTATTCCAAAATAAAAACCCGCGAAAAGGCAACTTAGAGAATAACTAAAATAAATGTGTAAAGAAACAAGCAAAAATTTAAAAGTTAACGATATTTCTGTAATTGTAAATAATTGTGCGCAAAAATGTTTTTAATTAATACCATTACGTTAACTCTAATTATTAATTAATGATTATGATTATTAATTTTAATTCTAGTTTTTAGCAAAAATTTAATAAAAGCAAAAAAGCCTTATTTAAAAACATCATTTTTAAGAACCATTTATTTCCCCACAAACAAATAAAAGGTTTTCGTGCCAAATTCGTGACACAAACAAAGAAACAAGCAGTTTGCCCATCTCTAATTTGGGATTAGCTGCAAAATAACGGTTGTCTTCCAGAAAGCTTGCTTCCTATTGGTGGACCAATGGGAGCGCTTCATTCAAGAACATAATTAAAACCCAGTAGCCACCTACTAAAATTCCTGTTCGCCTGGTGTCAAGAATCAGAGAATTTTTATGCGCTCAAGTCTGGCTTTTTAATAAATTTCAATTCGTTTTAAGTCGAGCTGTGACCCACTCCGTCGGTCGAATTGCGATATTTCTCGATTTGGTACACCAGGCGAACAGAAATTTCAGTAGGCTGCGCCTGCGCAAATGCAGAAAGCAGCTACCCCCAAAAGCAGGCAATATAAAATTTTGAAGTCAACGGAGCTGCCCAAAAGTATGCAACAGATATAATATAAATAAACGAGAAAAAGTCTTCAGTAGTCTCAAAAAGCAACTCTTTTTTCCTAAACGAATATACGAATATTTTTAAGATATTTTTGCAGGTTACTTCAGATATTATGCGATGCCTTAGGTTTTTTTGGCCCATGCGAAATTTACAATTACTCTTGAAAGAAAAATCATTTTATTAAGTTTATCAAGTTTTGCAGTAAACAGTAACAAGACTGCGCAGGATGCCTTCGCCCTATTTTTTCTTTGCAGGAGAATTCAGTGCTAGTGGGATGCAGAAAGATAACTGAAATGGGAGTTCAGACACTTTAACGCGTGGAAATAAACTTGTATTAACGAAATTGTGACTGTGATTGTAGAGACAGAAAACAAATGCAGTTGTATTGGGTTGGAGTTGGTCGTCGTCGTCGTCGGCGCGGCTCCATTGAAATGCAGGGCAAACACAGCCTAGCCATGTGAAGTGGTCGTCTAGGCTCGGCGCCTACTGGTAACGCGCCAGCTTCGGCAGGGGCGCAAATGAGGTGGCTATAACCGGAGAGCTGATGGCTTGGGACCTGGAAAGACGTGTGAGACGTGGTTACTTAATGAATTCTCGAGTTCGAGCGAACACTAACCTCCAAAAAAGGGAGCTACCGCGTTTAAGCTCGCCGCGGATCTGCAAATCGTTCCAGCAGTCCACCCAGTTCTTGTAGGCCGGCATAATCGGCGGCTGGGCTGCCATTAGGCGGGAGCCACTAACCGCCGAGCAAGTGGAGACCACTTGCAGTGGATAGAGAAGGCTCGATACGGCAAACTGTGTGAAGCCGGCGTTGTACTGTCTACCCAACTTGTCCTTGATGACGTATTTGTTGAGGATGTAAACGGTGGAGCTGGACAGCACGAGGCAGGCCACATCGCAAAGCAGCTTTGGCACCAGGCCGGCAAAGAAGCCGGCAATGCCTTCAGTCTTCCAGATCTCGCCGACTGAGCCCACGATGGAGGTGTACAACGTCTCGCGGCCCACGAACTGCGCCATCATGCGCAGCGAGATCACGTGAAAGGGGTGCGATGCCACGATCCCGCTCACCGTCAGCACGATGTCTCGCTTAAGACTCGACTTGAACTGGACGTACCTGCAAGAAACCAGAGCATCAGTCGCACGGCTGTCAAGGGGCAGGTGGAATCTAATAAAAAAAACTTGCATTTCCTCCTCGCTCAGCTGCGAGTCGTCCTTGATCTCCTCCGGCTGCTCCAGTCCCAGTTTGTCGGCCACCCGCTCGCTCACCAGCATGGCCACCAGGGAGCCCACCAGCTTAGGGGCCAGTCCGCGGTAGCAGCCGTAGAAGCCGTCGACCCGCCGAATATGTCCAGCTGCAGGTGCGAGAAAACTTATCAGACCTGCCCGCCGACCGGAACTTTGTACCCACCGTACTGGAAGATGTTCGGCAGCTTCATGATCGGCTTGCCCAGTAGCGATTTGCCGGGCATTGCGGCGATCGGCTCGTAGCCTAGCTGGATGAGCGTCTTCGAGTACTCGAACGGGTGTAGGGCAGCACTGACGCCCAGCCGCATGCCGAAGCGGATCCAGCCGTTGACCTCCGTCTCCTCGCCGCGGGCGTACTCGGGAAAGCCGGCCATTCTAGTTACGTGGTGGGTGGGTGGGTGTTGCTGGTGCTGCTGACTGCTGATGCCGACGGGCGAACTCTGCAGCTTGGAATTTGGATGGACCGCTGTGGAAGACGAAAGACGTATTAGACCGGCTGCGGCCTTGCACTTGTTTTCGAAGCTATTGGGCGATTTTCAAAATTATTTATTACAAAATTCTTTCTGACAGCAGTGTGGCCGCGCGCTGTTCTTGTTGAATGCCTCACAGCCGAGATACCGATATTTTCTAGTTCACATCCGTAAAAACTATGTATCGATATATCGCCACCCCAAACATCTGTCTTTGGTCAGCTCTAGCTCTGTGGAGGCGTGCCGCATAACATGCACAGGTATTTGCTGAACATTTCGTATATCGGCACGACTTTTCGGTAAGTATGGGTGAAAAATAGCGCCAGGCATTGGCTAAACAAAGCTCTACTCACTCCAGTGGTATCCAGAAGACGGTCAATAAATCGGAGCAGTCTCACCTGGACACGAACTCAATTCAAGGGTGCCTCGAGCTGGCCTTGCGGACTTTTCATCCCACGAACGAGATACAGACCGTGTTATCCAGTCGGTAGGTGATGCAATAGAAAGCTGCCTAGTCGGCCTGCAGTCTCCACTCCCTTTCAGAACAGACGCTGGTGTTCATGCGCTTCACTCGACCGTGCATGTGGACCTAGAGCGCCCCAATGGACTGCCTTACGACACCACCACGCTGACGGGGGTGCTTAACCGCACGCTCGCCAAACAGCGGCTTCCCATCCGAGTGCTCAGCAGCCAGGTAGTGTCAGAATCCTTCCACTGCCGCTACCACGCCGTTGGCCGCACCTACCTGTACCGCTTTGCCGTGGCCAAGAATCCGTCCTCGGGGGACGACAATCTCCGGAACAAGGCGTTCGAGGCGTTTACGCCCGTGGAGGAAATCGATCGGTGTTATTTTCTGCAGTAAGGAACCATCGCAGGCAGTTCGGACCAAGTAGATGACCAGTTAATTCTCCACAGATCCCCCAGCTTTGACATTAATCGAGTACGAGCTGCGGCGCGAATGTTCATCGGCACCCACGACTTCCGCACTTTCATGAGCGTCAGCCGCCAGAAAGGACCTAGTCGAGATCACCCCATGTTCACGGTGCGCAAAATCGACGAGATCAATATACATCCGGGTAAGCCTCTTGCCCTGGCCGCGAACGCCACTCTGGCCACGGAAACCTACGACTATTGGGACATCGAGATCAAGGCCAAATCGTTTCTGTACAAGCAAGTGCGGCGCATTGTGGGCGCTTTGATTGCCTTGGGCAGCGACCGCATCGACGAGAGGTGCATCTACCAGATGCTCACCATTCCCTCAAAGAACTCGTGGAATCACCGGGTGCTCCTGGCGCCGGCCTGCGGGCTCTACCTGTGCCGTGTTCACTATCGAGGAGCGGACAACTAGGGCCGCGACATGATACTGCTGTACGAGCTGCAAAAGCGGCTGGCCAACCTGCGACCCACCGCCACTGTTGTTACCACTTCCACCGGTGCCCGCTACATTGAGCGGAGGAGATCTTCCGGCAGCGAAGACGGCACAGCCTCGAGTCCGCAGCAGCTGGAGGCGCGCCAGTACGGATTTGTTGTGGACACCAAGCCCGACACTGTGCCCGCCTGCATACTGAGCGAGTTCCTGTACCTGGGCTCTCAGGATGCAGTGACTCCCGAAAACATACTAAAGTACAAGCTAACGCACATTCTAAGCGTCGGCATACCGACGCCCCTTGTGGAGTGGCCTACTCTAGTCCAATGTAAGTACCTACCTTGCCTGGACCTGCCAGAAACCGACCTGATGCACTACGTCCTACCCGTGTCTCTTGAGTTTATCGATGAGGCGCGCAGGTCGCAGGGCTGCGTTCTCGTCCACTGCAACGCGGGCGTCTCGAGATCCGCCTCCGTGGTTATCGGCTATTTGATGCAGCGGCGGGACATGTGCTACGAGGATGCGTACAATCTGGTCAAGTCCTGGAGGCCGTGCATTCAGCCCAATGCGGGCTTCATGCAGCAGTTGAAGCAGTCTGGTAAAACATAAGTGAAGTTAAGCAATAAGCATTGTAGTTTGGTGTCCAGCTGTTTTTAGCTTACTTAGCCTTATTTGTTGTACAATACACACTTTTAACCACAAAACAGACGAGTGTTAAACTTAAACAATGAATCAAATTTCTATTTGGTTAGTTGACACAAATTTGGTACGGATATTCTAAATACGATAAACGAGATACTTGAATGAAATAAACCGCAGGTCCTTCGTTCTAGAATCTCACCTCGCCCAATTTAAACCAGAGTGCCTAGGTGTTGGAGGTCCATTTCCGAAACGACCGCGAATGCATTTTTGAGACCGAATTCTTCTTTAGGTACACTGGTTGCGGTAGCAGGATTTGCTGAGCCGCTCACTATGAACATTTGCTTCGATAATTCCTTGTTGGAGATTTGCCGAGCCTTCAAGTTCCTTTCTGTCAATCCCTGTTGCGTCAGGCGGCAGTTGTGTTGGTCTCTAAAACGCCAAAATATTGGCGGCCCAGAGTCACAGAGTTCATCTGCTTGGTTCTTGGGAGGTGGGCACGGATCCCCTCCTGCAGTTTCTTCGCAGTCAACGGCAGTATCCGCTTCTCTGCCGCTTCCAGTTACCGTTGTCTCGAATTCGCGACCCAAACACTCAAGCACTCCCAACTTGGCTTTTAGCTGCTCATTGGCCGTGAAAAGTTTCCGTTCCACTCGGTGAATATCCTCCACCTGAGCCGCCAACTCAGTGTCGAGTCTATCGATTTGCAGTAGCACCTCGCTCTTTGTCTGGTACGCCCGCTTCACCTGGTGTCTGCGCACCTTAGCGTGCAGGCTGAGCAGCAGCTCCTCCTCTCGCTGCAGTTGTTTGTTTACCGTGTGGATCTTCTCCAGCCAATACAGTCGGGTTTCGTCCTTGACGGTGTCACCGTCGTTTGACGTTTTGCAGTCCTCATCTGCAAGAGTTTGATTTGGTTGAGAAAGGCTGTTTTCACCAGCTTTGATTTCATTTTACCTGTCCTAATTCCATCATTACCATCCTCGAGTAACCTCACTATCCCCTCTTCAAACTCTTCTGGGTCTGGGCTGTTTTCCTGGGGCTCATCCAAGTCCTTCAGGTACGTCTCGAGCAGATAGTTTTTACCCAGCTCTCGTTCCCGCACTCGGTGCTTTTCCACCTCGATTTTCAGAATCTGGCGATCTTTCTCGCTGTTAAAAGTTGTTGATGAGAGTCAGGAATAGACAGAAAGACTCCCGCATACTCACTGCAACATTGACATCTGCTGGAGTATGGTCTCGTCCTGGGCCAGGATAATGTTCAGCAGACTCTCGTTCGGAGTCATGTGGTAGTTCCTCTGCTGCAGTTTCCGGCTTCTCTTTGGCTGCTTGGAGTGGCTGTTGTCCGTGGTCTTGGCGGAGGGCAGTACCTTGTGCTTTCCCCTTCGCCTAAAGCGCATGCTCCGCGAACTGTCCACTGGACTGCCCATTCCACTGTCCGCGTCCGTTGTCGGGGTGTGCTTGCGAGTCGAAGAGGCCAAATGGCGAAGCTGGAGCTGGCTCTATCCGAAAAAAAGGGTGAGAAAAGTTTAGCTTGGGGTAGGCGGTTCAATTACTTCCTCGCTGGGCAAAGCGTGACGGCTGGTGATAACATCAAAGAGCCTGGCGTTGCCGTCCAAATACTCCTCGTAGTGCTGCTGCTTCTGCACAATGGCGAACTCCTGCTGCGTGCGCAATGCGAGTCCCTCCTTCCGGAACATCTGTTTGTCTGTGTGGACCGTTTGATAGCTGATTAACGCGCAGATTAGATCTGCGCAGGTGGTGCTGGCGTCCACGCCGGATATCCAGTGCTCCTCGCCGTCGATCCAAATCGACAGGTTATCCGACAGCGTGGAGAGCGAGTCCACGTCGTCTCCTGGCGCTTGCAAGCTCTGGGGCTCGTAGCAACTAAGCGTTGGCTCACTGGTCATTGTGTCTACTGGCATTCTGTGGAAAGAGCACACGAAAAGGGGTTAGCTAACGCCGTCCACTCGAATACGGGGGGTATGCAAATCCAGGTATTGTATAAGACAAACAAATGCGACAAACAAAACATTCGGTGTAATTTATGCAGCTTAAGCGTTTGTAAGCGGAGTAGACAATCGGCTAACAGTTCTTCTCCAGAATCTGGTGCGCCTGTCCGTTAACAACGTGTCAAGATCGGCAATTAGCCAATTATGCAAATCTGAGGCAACATGACATGTGTTCACGGCATCGATATGATCGCGGACAAACTAGAACAAGCCACTCGCAAACAGCGAGGATGACTCATGGGGACTGTGTTACGAGGCCTGTTACAGATTCAACTTTCTCGCGTTACACCTGCCCGACTAAAGACAGTGCCAACTTTCCGCTGTCTTTCAATTGTCTTACCAGCGCGCTCGGCCTCATCGCTAAAACTGAGGCTCTGCGCGGCCAAGTTGGGCTTTAAGGCAACTCCATTCGGCTAAGAGAGGGCAAATGGAAGCGAAAGAAGCCAAGAGAGGCGAAAACAGTGGACAAGACGCACCAGCTCTCAATACCAACGATACTCTGAAGAAAAACATTTTGTTTTTCTCTTCGAGTCTTACGGTACCGTGGGTAAGTTTATGGCTGGACCCGGCCACTCCCCTCAGCAGTTGATGCTACGCCGAGATATTCTTTGCCGCCAGGCCTGGCTTTCGCTACTATTATGAAAGACGGAGGGAGGCTTACTTACTTACTATAATTACTACAGAGCCGGGCCTTTAACAAAGCGATAAACGAAGCCGAGATTTGGAGATCGGTCCGGTTGTGCACGGAGCAGCTACGAAACCACACTGACTTGGACTCCGACTCCAGCACACTTAATTGTTGGCTACCCGAAACTCTGAGCCCAACTAGTCGATTATCATTTCGGACCAAACAAGTATAGACGTCTCCACTCGGAGTAAGCTAATTTTCAGATACTCTGAACGGCCCAGACCGCAAACGGGAAATCTTTTAAGCCTCGTTTCCATCTGTCTTTGTGGTGAACGCTTGGGTCATTATAAGTCAACAATTCTCAGCAATTAAGCCGAGAAAACATAGAAATGGAAAACATCAGCCATTACCACTAAGTGTCACTAATGTACATAGTTGGGAGAAACCAAAAAGAAACTTGGCAAATCAACCAGAGAAATCATTTGTTTAGTCAGATAATCAGCATGGTCTTTGGCACAAATGGTTTTGTTTATACCAATATAAATCATCTGGACCTACTCTTTATAAATATTTTCTGATAAGTTGACCGCTCTTTCAATTGTTAAAGCAAATTTAATTGTTAAAGCAAAGATGATGTGTATATACTGTATAGTATATACCAATTTAAACCGTTGAGATCTACTCTTCCTACATATTTTCTGACAAGTTTCTCCGCGCTAAGATAGTTTGATGTTTACAACAATTAAATTAGTTGGGATTTATTTTTCAGACATATTTTCAAGTCAAATTGTGAAGCTAAGATTAGTATGTTTCCAACAGATTGAACTACCAACTGAGGAACTGATTACGCCTGGCGTTTCAGGGTATATAGGTATAGCATGGCTCTGGCTGCCATGCCATTCACCGATTCTGTTTTCGCAGTCAGTGCGGTTTCTGTTTTCTTTTGATAGTTTGCTTGGCTTTTGGCCTTTCATTTTCATGAGTTACAGTTGAGGTTCTTCGATTTGTATACCTTTAGACAACACTAAACCGGTATGAATTGCATGCATAATGCATAAATGTGTGCCACTTAATGCATTTATGTCTGCACACGTTTCGGGGTCTGCGAATACATACCTGTGGAGTACAGGCTGGGTGCCAGGTCGCCTATCTTACGGATCTATAAGTCAGGCATTTCTAGGTGTGACTTGGCTTTGGAGTGGCGACTCTGCCAACATTTTAAAATTTGATTAGCGAACTGATCTTGTAATCAAATCAATTTGATTTGCTTAGCCAAGTTGGTGGGTGATTCGCCAGTCCAGTGTGTGGCAACTTTGAGAAGGGCAATATGTTCTAAGGGTTCTCCGTATCAAGTTTCCATTGTTTTGGTTTTGGTCTTTTGTTGTCGGTTAGCCCGGTCCGGTTGAATCACCTGCGAAAAAGTGGCGGCATTAAGTGTATCCTGTGAGGCCGCTTGAAAGGCAAACTTAGCCATGCAGTACGTGTATACAAAGCACAATAAAAACAAAAGCGGCGAGGCTACTGATTGGGTATTACGACATCTAGCCTCGCCACCAGCTGGATCTCTCTCCAGCGGGTCGCTCGCCGAAACGCGCTCAAAACAAGTTGTTCAGCTGCCTTCTCTTCTTGGCCGCAAACCGATGCATGACGATGACGACGATCAGTTCAGTTGCTAAACAAACGTCAGCGAGCCCGGTTGAGATCGAGCCAAGTTTACTCGCGCTTAGGGCCAATTGGTGTTTCAATCTGGCCAAAAAACACCTTTGTGTGCGTACAGGTATTCGAGCAGCGATCACTTTTTCAAGTGCGCCCACAATGATCTAGAGAAAACAATTGATCTGTAGTTGAACTAACCAAAAATATATACACTGGGAATACGTAAGTGGATGTAGTCCACACAATGGCATTGAACTGGTTGGCGTCCGCTTTCCACGAGAAAATTACGTCAATTTCCTCTTCGATTTCGGTTTCGGTTCCCCAATGCCCAATCCGCAACATTGTCAACCAAATGCACCGAACTGGCTAGCCTATTATGGCGGTTGCAACTTACGAGTTTGGCCAAGATGTACATACTTGGCTATTGGCCTCCAGAGTTGGGGGCGTGACACGGCGAGATGCTCCACGCGCTGCCTTGCTGCAGATGTTCCGTGCACGCAGCCATCTCTGGGGCCAGGCCAAACTGGTTTTGCTTCCTTTGCCCGTCTAGATGCTACCCACATAAATATGCAAACCATTGGCGGTTGTATGTGAGGGCAGTCGGACGTAGCCAAGTATGACGGATAGGTTGTCATTACCGAGCCAAACCGAACCGAATTGACGCATGCGCGACGGTGCCAAATAATTGCAAACTCGAAAATGACAACTTTCGTTGGCTCTTTCCCAGAAACACGGAGCCGATGAACGCTGCCGCCAAACGGAGCCAAGATGCCGCGCAAGCTGCTTAAATTCCTGATCATCTTCGACAACACCTCCCTGCTGTACTTCCCGGGACAGTTCCTCTCCGGCAGGGTGCTCATCGAACTGCAGGACGAGACTCCGGCTCTGGGACTCCACTTCCATGTGGTCGGCGAGGGCGTGGTGCGCAACGGGCGGCGGCAGGAGCGGACGTACGACAAGGAGAACTACATCGACTTCCGCATGCGGCTCCTGGGGGACGTGGACCAGGGCGGTCCGGCCATACTCTCGCCGGGAATACACAGCTTTCCCTTCAAGCTCGGCTTGCCGCTGGGCCTACCCTCTACATTCCTGGGACGCTACGGCTGGATCCAGTTCTACTGCAAGGCTGCACTGCGCGAGAACAACGGCATTATCCACAAGAACCACCAGGTCTTCATCGTGATGAACCCCATCGACCTGAACCTGGAAAAGCCCATTTTGGCAGTGAGTAATTGTTCGAAACGTTCCCCGGTGAAAATCCTTACCCTTTGGATCTTCCAGCAACCTTTCACCTGCGAAGTGGAGCACAAGCTGGGCGTCGTGTGCGTGGGCGGAGGCCAGATCAAATGCAGGGTGTCCCTGGACCGCGGTGGCTATGTGCCCGGCGAGAATATTCTGGTAACCGCCTTCATCTCCAACTACAGCAATGTGTCCATCAAGCGGACCAAGGCGTCGCTGACTGAGGTGGGTTCCCCTGACCTTCGGCCATCGATCCAAACCTGACCTTGATCCTATTTCCTCCAGACCATCGAGTATTTGGCGCGTGGCAAGGTTGTGCAGACGGAGAAGCGGGAGCTGGCCGTCCTGGTGCGCGGCAAGGTCCGTCCGGGGGGCAAGGACGAGTGGCATAACGAGCTCTATGTGCCGCCCCTGCCGCCGACCAACCTGCACGGCTGCCACCTTATCAAAATTTCATACGACGTGTTCTTCGTCATTGAGCCCAAGTCCATGGAGAAGGAGATCAAGCTGCAGCTGCCAATTGTGCTGGCCACGTACCCGTTCCGACACTCCGGGGATGCGGCGAACGCCAACACCTGGCCGGAGTCGGTGCTCAAGCCGGACACCCACACCCACTATCCGTCCACGTTGCCAATATTCCGGCCCTGGCTGCACGAGAAGCCCAGCGAGGCATAGCCTCTGGTCTCTGGGGTCATAGTTTTGTTAACAACGATTTCAGCCATACACTAATTTAATAGTATTTAACTTGTACGTACCGTTTCTAATGTGTTTACCTTGTGCAACTGTGCGACTTACTTGTTTCTGAAAATAACTTCAAGATTAAACAATGTCAATAATAATTTCTGGTAGTTTCACAATAATGAAATATGGTTCATAAATTTCAGCTTTGACTTTTTTCTAATGAACGATAAATGACAGTTTGCTGAAAATTAATTTAAAAAATATTAACAGCATAAATGTATTTGAAAACTAATAATTTTGAAATCTTGACACATATTTTCCATGCAAAAGTCTTAATTTGTCGTCCAAATTGAATGTGGTGTGTGTCGTTAACTCGTAATAAAATTTCCCATCGATTGTTAATGATTACAAATTTTATAAGTTGCTAATCCCTTTCTAACTTTTGGCCTTTATTGCCTTGAATGATTATTTGGTAGATTGCAAAACAATTAAAACAAAAATTTATGGGAAAATATAAAACCAATTAATAAGTTTAGTTTTATAAAACTTGAAACTAATTTAAAATCCAAAAGTACTGACTTCGTCCAAAAACAATAAGCATTTTGGCTAAAACAACACAAAGATCAATTTCCAATATGGTCACGTTTTGATAAAGTGGTTATCTAGTCTGTCTGTCGTTTGGAAGCTAGTCACTCAGTTTTAAGGCTTTTCTTAATTGCAGGTAATAATAAATAGAAAAATAGAACTTTGTTGTTTCTCAACGTATATGAAAATCGGAAAACGATGTCAAATAGCTGCAGTGTTGTGGTGTCCTAGGTACCTTTTTTGGTACCAAGTATAAGATGCCTTTAATCTAAAATTTATTGACATTGCTTTTTTTATGCCTTCATTCCACACAGTCCATCCGTTGGAAACTGTAGGAATTTTCACCAAATGTGAAACTCCGGTTTCCACAGAGCACATCCACCGTCCACCTTCCGATTTCAGCTGATCTGAGTAGCTGTGGCTCGTCAAAACGTAAACAAAGTCAACAGGTCAACCATCTTTTGAATTAGTGGAATACCCTTCATAAACACGTAAGCAAAGAAGCAAAGAATGAAGATATTTACGCTGACGGAGGAAACGGGCACACTAGCGAAATGAAAATAATTGCATTGTTTATATGGGTAATATTGTGCAATTCCGCCTCCGGCGACTGTGGGTGTCAGGATCTGAACCGGAAGACGACAGCCGATAAGCCTCCACTGCCGGACCAAGTGTGCCAGCAACGGAAGCGGGGCGCCAACAGCCACTATCGGGATTACTATGGCGAGCTGGAGGCGGAACCGGAAATCAAGGACATGTCCCTAATTCCCGGAGGCACCGTCTCTGTGGGCACCGACGAGCCGCACTTCTCGGCCGATCGGGAGGCTCCGGAGCGACAGGTGAAGCTGCACGACTTCTTCCTGGACAAGTACGAAGTGTCCAACGACGCCTTCGCGGAGTTTGTGCTGGCCACCAACTACACCACGGAAGCGGAGCGCTTTGGTGACAGTTTCCTGTTCAAGACCCTGCTGAGTTCCTCGGAGCAGAAGGATTTGGAGGACTACCGCGTCGCGAGTGCCGTTTGGTGGTACAAGGTGGCCGGGGTGAGCTGGCGCCATCCCAATGGGGCGGACAGTAATCTGGACAACCTGGGACGACACCCCGTGGTGCACGTCTCATGGCGCGACGCCGTGGAGTACTGTTCCTGGGCTGGCAAGCGATTGCCAAGCGAGGCAGAGTGGGAGGCGTCCTGTCGCGGCGGCAAGGAGCGCAAACTGTTCCCGTGGGGCAACAAACTGATGCCCAGGGACGAGCACTGGCTGAACATCTGGCAGGGCGACTTCCCCGACGGCAACCTGGCCGAAGACGGCTACGAGTACACCTGTCCGGTGGATGCCTTCCGGCAGAACGTCTACGACCTGCACAACATGGTGGGCAACGTCTGGGAGTGGACGGCGGATCTGTGGGACGCGAACGACGTCAGCCAGAACCCGAATCGGGTGAAGAAGGGTGGTTCGTACTTGTGCCACAAGTCTTACTGTTACCGGTACAGGTGCGCGGCTCGCTCCCAGAACACCGAGGACAGCTCAGCCGGCAACCTGGGCTTTCGGTGCGCCAAGAACGCTTGAAATTTCATTGCAGAAATTGTTATGTATGATGTATGTATTGTATTGAGCAACAAATACATTGGAAGTTATAATATACTCTTTTTTATGTTGGGGTGTATTTCATTGTGGAACAATTATTTTAAATATTCTTATCTGAAAGCAAATTTTAAAAAACTTACAAAAAACTTACAAATTTGAAATTTGGAGGACATGAAGGAAAATGTGATACGTTTCACAAAGAATCAGTCATATACTTAATTTTTATCATTGTATAGAAGACAAATTTAATATCACAAACACAAATAAAAATTACTTCTGCCTTATTGCCTAAAAAAAACAAAGGAGTCGAGATTCTTAAATCGATCGGTGTTCTAATATTTTTGTTGCAGTTGCAGGCAGTTGGTAATGTTTCGAATCGGTAAGGTTACTACAAATGTTTTACATCGTAAGGATTAATACAATAAATTTTATTTAGTATATAGAAGATAAATATTAAAGAAATAAAAAAAAAAAATACTTCTAAAAGACCTATTGCCTATATTTCCCATATTTGGTACATAGCTAGATGTGAAACAGTCGCATATGTACATAGGATATCATGACCAAAGCTATAAAACAAAAGTGTGTAACAATATTACCTTTCACATTGCGAAGTACGATCCTCTTACTGCACTGGCAGTTTCCCTCCTTTTTGTTAAATAGTGCTGCTCATACGCTTCTTGGACCTTCTTCCGCTTGCGACGGGCCGTCAGCCTCGATCTAGCGAGCTGTGCCTCATTTGGCCCTGGGGGGCGGTACGGGAAGGGCAAGGAATTTCCCTCACGCCGCCTAGAAGAGAAACATCGATGGTCTTCAAATATACAGATAATCTCTAGCTATCTACGTACGATGCGGAGTCCTGACCAGCCCCTTCGTGGTGGTATAGATGCAGAGCTTGGGTCTCTGTGCGAGGGGTCATGGGCGCATTTGTGGGCGTTCTTGATTCAGCCGAGACTTGTGATGTGCAACGCAAGCAAAGCGGCTACAACCGGATCTCCCGAGCGGTCACCCCATACACCTGGTCGGCATGGACCTCCTCATTTCCTGGAAGATCACATTCTGGATCCCGTGACTTGATATCAACAGGTCGGTCCCACCGGGGTCCAGAATTTTCCGTGCTGCATGTCCATTACACTGCTTCAGGGGGCTCCGCACTGGATGCACTTCATCGGCGGCGGCTTGTTGCAGCAAAAGCAGTGGAACCCGTAAGCGGCTGCTGCGACGCAATAGGGAAATTTGTTTGGCGAAGCACCCACGCCCCATCCGTGGCAATCAAAACTAGCTTTTAACTTGACGACTGAGAAGAGTGAATAAATCCGTTATGAGCGATCCATGCTTTGTTGTAAGGACAGGTTGGAGTATCGATAGCTATCGATACCAAATAACTACGATGTTATTAAATGTGTAACGATATGCAGCTTGAGTTCAGTTGTTCAACTGTTTACAACTCGTGTTTTGTTACGTTACTTTACTTTATTTATAATAGTTTTACTCAAAATACATAAGCAATAAGTGTGTTCGGCTAAGAGCTTAACTACTTTATACATATTCTGTGTTATTTATAAAAAATAAAAAAAGTTGTGTCCATTAATTTCTTCGAACGTTAAGTGAAAAGTAACAAATATGGAAAAATGTTTACATACTTTATTACAGCTTCGTTCTAAATAATATGAATTAATAGTTGCATCCATTATTTTGTTCGAGTGTTGTTTAAGTTTAAGTTTAAGTTTTTTTTTCATCAAATACAAAAAAATTCTTTTTGGCTCCAAGATAAAATGGTTTATCCAGACTTCTTGTTATTTACTTAAATTAAACGTTGTCCTTTATTTTCTTAGAACGTTAAGTGGGATGAGCACCCTAATGTAATGCTATTAATAATAAAGTAATTTTTTTAATTTTTTCATAAAGAATATTTTTTAGCGTCGTTATTATTTATTTAAATAATATGTTATATCCATTATCTGGTTTAAATTTTGGTTGGCATATGAGAGCTCTAAGTGTTCATTGGTATTTCTGCTATTTAAGGGGCTATGTTTAAAAATAATTCATAAAAATCATAACAAATCCCTGTTCCTTTATCGAACAGGTATGGGTCAAGGCTCCTGCGCACGGCACTTTTACTTACTGAAAAAAAAGCTTTAATCCCTTTTCGAAAGGAGCTCTTGCTCCTGGCGCTTCTTCATACTCCTTCTGTAGGTGCGGCGCCTTTCCATAGCAAGCTCCAACTCATTTGGCCTGGGGGGCGGAGGTGGCATAAAGGTCAAGGGTTTTTCCTGAAGCCGGCTAAAAAAAAAAGTGCAATCAGACTAAAGCAAACGTGAACGTGGTCCGTTTTCTACGTACAAAGTTCGGCAGATGTGACAGGATCCGTTGGTCGGATTGCTGTGCCTCTCCCACAGGAAGTCCTGGATCAATTCATTACAACAGCCCTTTGTGTGTACGTAGATAAAGAATTTTGGTTGGAAACGGCGGTCATGGCTGAGAGAAAACGAAGACGTGCGGAGCACCATTGAAGCATTTCTTGTGCTTCTTGTTGAGATCGGTCAGATTGTGCAAATCGCCTAGGATATTGCACTTGATGCAGCGTCTGGGCGGAGATTTGGAGCAACAAAAGCAATGGAACTCGTAGTCGGAAGCACCAACGCAATAAGGAACACTATTTGGAGCCGCCCCGCATCGGCAACATACAAAATCCATTGCAAAAAAAACAAAAATTGTTGAAAGTTTGAGCGCATTTAGAAACGGCACTTGTTTCTAAAGGAGAGCTTGATGCGTTATCGATACTATCGATGCACGTCAAACAATAGATGCGGTGGCGGTATTTTGAAACGTGTCACGATCATTGGCTTCAGTTACTTCACGACACAAATGCCTATTTGGGCTCGTTAAAGAAAAACTAAATTGATCAATTTAATATGTAAACGCCGAAACGTTTGTGTTTATTGTAATTTTATTCCACGTGAATAGTTTACGCTCGGTCTGGTCTCGTGGCTATAATGTTTTCATATTGTTACATACAGTTTACTTGGTAGTTTATGATTTATGTGTATGTGTGTATTTTCGTATAATGCTGACTATTGTTGCCGCGGCGCAATGCTAAATGTTGAGTGTAAATCTTTCAGATTCTGACTATGCAAGTACTATTTATGCGTGCCTAACTCTAAGAATATGGTTAAGTGGTACAACTAATCCTATATGGTATACAAAACTACGCTGAAATGCTTTACTGATACAACATTGCTTGTGCGCATGGCGGGCAGTAAGGAAATATGCTAATTTACAATAGTGTGGCGATAGGATGAACATGTTATTTACAGAATCGAAACTTAGACTAGGCGACTGACTCTGGTTTCGTCGGGGATCGGGCGATCTAGCGATCTTTGCTGCGGTGCTGTGCATTTTCAGATGTTTTGCTTAAAAATATCACAATGCTAAATATAAAGTCTGCCTGCTGGGGATATGCCAATTTCAGATATATGTCGTACATCTGCCAAAGCGCGGACGAAGCTGGAAGACTTGGCTGCACGCCTCTCAGCTAATACTGGGCATGGGACAGATCGGGCGGATCCAGATCGGTAAGAAAACCTCTTCAAGCGCCAACTCCCGCCGCCGCCGACAGCTGGACCGCCTGCAGCATGACCGCCTTGAGTTCCCGGGCCAGGCTGCTGATGTGGACCACCGAGTTGACCATCTCCTGGACGGCACTGCCGCTGGGAAAGTGCGCGGCCGCCTTTTTCGACTTGGAGACGCAGGTCTTCAGGGCGTCGGAGAGGGCGTTGGTGCAGCGCAGGATCTTCTCGCGCAGCGCCTCCTTCGAGATGTTGCGATGGACGTTGTCGCCGATGGTCACCAGGTTGTGGGCGCTTACCACCACGAACTTGCCATAGGCAATAAAGAACTTGGGCGGCTGGTTCTTCTCCACCGTCTCCAAAAAGGAGTCGATGGCCTGCATCAGGTTGCCCATGTGGGTGGAGATCTGCTGGGCGTAGTAGCGTACCAGTTTCTTGTCCTTGTCGGTCATCTCCGGGGACTTGCAAGGCGTAGTGGGAGTAGTGGGAGCCGTGGGCGTGGTGGGCACCGATCCGGCGGAAGCGCCACCCATGGCCGTGCTCTCGGCCGTGCGGATAACCGTGTCGAACTGCGTCTTCAGACCGACGGGAATAGCCTCACGCAGCGCCTGGTTCTTCCTGGCAGCCGCATCCTTCGACTCAAAGGCCACGTAGTCATAGTCCTCCAGCCACTCGACGCTGCCCCGACTCCCCTCGACAGCTCCACCATTCTGGTTCTCCTCCAATCTCAGTTGGCGCTTGAACAGCAGCGAGGCGTTGCCTTGGATGAAGCTGGTGGTGCAGCGCACGTCCTCAGTGAGCGTCTGGGCACAGGCCATCAGCTGGTCCAGTGCGTCCGGCGGACGGCAGCCGTGCTTGTCGTCGCTCCGGGCCAGTTGGTCCACGGACCAGCCGCCCTGGGCGTCGAGGGATTCGGAGGAGTCGTGGATCAGCTTGTTCGCATCCCGCAGAGCCCTCACCAAGGGGCGCAGCTTGAGGGCCAGGTTGCGGTCCTCAGACCGCGTGGCATTGCCCAAGGCTCCCTCTCCGAACTCGGCCAGGTCGTGCAGGGCTGTTCGCAGGCGCAGGGCGGCCAGCTTCAGCTCCATGATGGCCGGCTCCAGCTGGGCGCGGGTGCGCCAGTTGGGCACCACGAAGCTTAATAGCCGGCTGATGGAGGCGGTTGTCTGTAGCTGCAGCTTGGCCAACGTTTCCAGCGCAGAGCTCAGCTCCAGTGGCAGTTCTTTGGGAGTGGGATTGGCTGGGCCAGGGGCGGGAGTGGGCAGAGTGCGCTGCTCCTGTTCCTGCAGCGGTGGCAGCGGGAAGTCGTAGGCAAGCCCACTCTGCTGGCGGCGCACAGGCAGCGGGTTGCGGCGCGGGATGTCGTAGTCGGGCATGTTGGCCAGCGAGGAGCGGTTCGAGCTGGAGAAGCTCAGAGACAGACTGTCGCTGGTCAGTAGCGAGGAGGCGGAGCTGCTCGGCGTCATCATCTGGTTCATCTGCTGCTGGAGCAGGCTGCCGCCGGAGATCAGAGGTCGTGGCACATCGTAGGACTCCTCCTCGATGGAGGCGGCCACGCTCTTTAGCGACTCGAAGCGGGCGCCCAGGCTGGAGCTGGAGGTGGGCGTCCTTGGCGGACCGCTTCTAGGGCTGTCGTAGTTCAGCGGCACGGGTGTGGCGGGTTTGGGGATGTCGTAGGTCTCGAACTCCGAACTGCCGTTTCCATTTCCGTTTCCGTTCTGCTGGGAACCGGACATCATGGCTAGGTTTTGGTAGATGCTTTGGTTGCTGTAGATCTGCTGTTGCGGCGTGTTCGCCCCAGGTCCAGTCGCTGATCCTGGCGAGCAGTTGAAGATGTAGACATCACCGTGTCTCTGCGGCGTGATTACCTGCGGTGGGAGAAGCGGAGTCTTAAAATTGGACTTCACGATGTTTGGGTGGTGCAGTAATCCAAACACAACTACAACTCCCACCCCCACTTATCGATTTTCCTTGCCTATTTCGTCTGGCCAGCTAACTTATTAAAAAAACCCTCAGGAACCCTAGCCCAATGAATCGATCTGGGCGTGGCTGTTTACCTTCGTCTACCCTATCCACCTTTTCCCCTTCTTATCACATCTTGCAAAAATGCAGTAGTATCAAAAATGGGTTGTAAAACGGAAAATTTCGGCTGGCAAAAACGTCGCCGTCGGAAGATAAAACTAGACTGCGAGTGCAGCCCAATAAGCGTTGAAAAATGTTGAGGAAAAGTAGGGATAACTGGGAAAAGTTGGGAAGTTTTTTCACGCCTGCGCAATCGACGTCTAGGAAATACGGGGACAGTTCAAGGCGGTTCAGTGTCAAGGCAAAGGACCGTGAGTCCCTGAACAGCAGCAAATAGAAGGATATTTAAAAAAAAATGCCTTTGAAGTTAGTTTCAAATGGTTTTGGCACCATATTGATTTGTCTTAATAAAAAAACAGATATTTACTATTACCCATGTCTAAAATTCTACCAACGTGACCAACGTATTTTGCATTCCCTTAGCATGCAACATTTTAAATAATGCAATTTAAGGCCATATGTTGGCATAGACCAATAAAATATTACTGCAACGGCATATGCCAAATTCATCAAATTTTTGAGGGCCAGGCACGCACCGCATCAGAGCCACGCCCCTCAAAATGAATCGATTCCTAATTAAGTAAGCCGTTACGCCAGGAAGTTTCGGTGGAAGAGGATCGTTCCATGGCGACGAACTTCTACCTGAAGTGGACTCTCGCGTTAGAAGGAATTCACCCCAATATCCCAGTTCAGTGGTTGGCGTTTGTTTAGCCCCTGAAGTGCCAATTGACGCGTAACACGAGTCAACAAAGTGCTCTGTAAATGCCAAAATAAAAGCAAACAGCTGCAGCTGCAGATGACGATGACGATGAGGATGGTCCCGAGAGCTGCGGGGAGGAATTCTGGACCCGCCATTATCTAATCAGGGAATCGGGGCAGCTGTGCCGAGTCGGCAAGTCGCATTTGAAGTGCCCTCAGAAAGTCTCGAGAGCAACTAGACCACCTGAAAGTAAGTCAACTCCAAAAACAGCAATCGGTTGTGCAATCCTTAAATGGAACAAGACCCAGCAGGGGTTATCCATAGTCTTTATGGGTTTGGTTTCCGGCGACCGCTCTTCTCCTGGCCATTTCGCGTAACCTTTCTCGCTGGAAATTTCCTCTTTGTTTGTTTGGTTTAAGTGACCCAAATGAACAGCTTTTCCAAGGCATATCAGAGATTTGAATTTTTATGACATATTTGGGGCATTTCATGGGTTGGGCCAGCCAAACGAAGACAGACCATTAAAGTCCGGCCGCCAGGCATTCTGCTTTCCTTCTGTCGTTCAGTTTGCTCAATTATAATTGCCTTTTGATAGCCGGCAGTTTGAATTCCCTCCACAAGCTATGAGTAATTCCAGATTCTGAAAGTGTAAAAATCTTACACGGAAAAGAGTCATGTTTTATGTTCTCGTTTAAATTCCAAACCCGAAACAGTAGCAAACACAAGATAATAATCTTTCGAGTTTTGCAGCTCGTTTCTTGCATTTTAATGTTCCTTCAACACATTCTGAGCTGATCATCCGATCAGTGTCAATGAAAGAAAGAACCCTGTTTGGGGTTGTGGGCTGATCAAAATTTCAGCATTTTCTCACGTCCGAACCGAAACAAAAAATCAACATTTTTATGAAAAATGTTAATTAGGCAGCGGCGGCATCATTCTCCGAAGGGATCTGCTACGGAAAACTCCATTGCAAAGAAAAGTCGCATATGACTTATATGAGATGACCTTGTGTGGAGCCCGGCCGGTGGAGATGTTTTCACCGCTTTCGCAGCGAATCCGCATGCCGGAGCAAAAGGAGGAATCCCACAGTCTTCCCGACTTTGGTCACGCACAAATCTCTGCAGAATCCGAAATAAAAAAGAGTTATTGTGCCTGGTTGGTTGCATTTATAACCATTTTTGGGCAGTAAAATAAAAATGACATGTTTGGCTCAAACACAAAGTCTCTTTCTGGCTCGTTTTGGAATTGGCCATAAATCTTTATTGGCCATTGGCCAGGCCAGTTGCATTTGGCCACCTGACTTGGCTTGGTTTGGCTTTATGGCTGGTGCGTGACGGAGATGGAAGGAGTGGATGGAGCTGCGAAGCTGTCTGTATGTGGGCTCGAGGAACTCGAAATTGTCACACAGTCTGGCTGTGGCTGCCGTCTAACGGTGGAGGCGAGTTTCCTCGCCATCTACAAACCATAGCCATGTGGGATGCCCGACGTACTTGTATCTGGCCACCAGTGCCCAACGATTGGGCAACTTCAGCCGCGAGACATTTCCGTTCTCAATTAGCTGGAGGAATGTCACTGCTGAGGTAATGGTTCGAAATTACCTTTAAGTTAAATTTCCTCACTGTACGCATTCCTCATGTTTACCCTCATATACTGATGTTGGAATATATCTGAATTGCTGGCTAGCCATCAACACCATTCCCAGGAAGCCCACTGGGAAACTGGGTCAACGATGCTCCACTCCGAAAATAGGGAACCTCTTCCACTCGATGCCGCCGGATGATGGGTCAAGTGTATGTTCGAAGGCATTCCCCACATGGCTTTGACACACTCAAGGGGCAGCCTTTTTCCAAGTCAATAAAATCGAACCCGAACAAAGACAGCATTTAGTGTTGAGCTTTTATGGCCAAAAGGTTTCTCCAAACTCTCCCCACACAGTGGGGCGGTCAAATTGCTGGCTCTCCTTCAGTCCAAATTTGAATTTATGGTTTCACTTGCCTCCAGTTAAGATTGATAGCTGCCGATAATGCGAGGAAATGTTTACGACTCTGTAATTTGGGTTTCATTTTATTTGATTTGCCTGCGAGTCAGTCAGTCAGCGAACGAGCTGCCTGGGAAAGCGAAAGTCACTACCATCATCATGACAACGTCCCATCATCCATGGATGTGGGCGTCTAATTGGTTTGCCAAAGGTCAGCGGCTCTCGAGATGCTAATGGTCACGCCGGTCAACTTATTTGAACTGTTTGATGACCAACCTAAGTCCCAAATCCTAGTTTGATAAACAATCACTTCCTCTTTGAATCTTAGCCCATCTCTACAATCTTTTTCTATTGATCTTGCAATCGTGCTCTTCCGATGCCAAATTGTTCGTTTCCTTTAATTTGCAAATCAAATCGCATCAAAGTGAAAGAAATGCAAATAAAACGCATGTCCAGCTGACAAATTGGCAAATTACGAGCCGTATGCAAAGGGGAAACCAGTTGGACAGCTGCAGACCCAAGAGGCTATGCTATCCCCATGAACCGAGGATCGGCTCTCGCAACTCTTATTAATTGCACAATTACGACACGCAGTTGACGTGGAAAAGGCATCGCATGGATGAGTGATGGACCCCTGATGATGGAGCGTAATGATGCAGCGACGAAACGAACCAAATCGAACCGCAGGAGCCGAGAAATTACTTTCTTTCACTTTCCCGACAAATAACATAATTCAGTAGCCGCAAGAGGATGTAAAATTGGCCAAGAAACGGAATCAACTAAAATGCACTTCCTCCCGAATCCCTGCTCCCTGCTGACTGCTCCACCTTACTTGCAGAGGCAGTCGGAGCGGAAAATTAAGAAATTGACAAGTCATCCGGGACGAGGACGAGGACGAGTACGAGAACGAGCAGCTTACCTTGTTCGGCGAGACGTGCCAAGATCTTCTCGTGCTGCGGCAGGCCGACGATGAATCCGTTCCCGCTCCCGGACCACTGGTCACAACGCCCGAGTTCGAGTTGGAGTTTGAGTTGGAGGACGAGAAAGCACTGACGATGGAACCATTTTCGTAGATCTCCGCCGAGCAGATGGAGCTGTTCAGTGTGGCGGTACTGGCCGCCAGCGACGGAATCGGGGAACTGGCCGGCGATGGCGAGAAGCATCCCGAGTCGTACGAGTTCAAAACGCGCAACCGGTTGCCCGGGCAAAGACCCTGAAATATACATAGAGTTACGAGATATATAGTTGGTAAGTAGATTTTAAATGCAATATTATTTAGTGGACTAGAAGCAATTAATACAATGGGATGGTTTAATAAATCCTTATTATTCGTCATTGAAGATATGTGGCATTTTATATGGAAGGATCACAAATATTTTTATATTTTTGTTTTACACTTCTTGGCTCAAAAGATATTTTTATACAATTTTGCATTATAAGCTCACAAACAAAATGGTTTCTAGCCATACACCAACTTAAAATTATACAATACTATACATTTTTCTATATAAATGACCAAACGGCTCATTGATCTCAATTGATTTTGATTGGCTTTTAATCAACTCAGCGTTATATGAATTATTAATGAAAACACATGAAAAATATATCTCACAAGCGTGCAAAAAAAATTGTTATGTTACTTTTGCAATTAAAAGACACATTTCTTGACGTTTTCGACCGACTGGCATGCTCAATGCAAGTTTTGACAAAGATTCGTGCGATTCTCCAAAAATATATGCCACATCAAAGTCGACGGAAAATCTTGTCAACATGTGTTTCAGCTAAAAATGTATGCCGAAAGTTGATTTCGTTTTTTTGTCACCGTTATTTATGTTGCTGTTAATATTTATGACACACGTTGTTGCTCTTGTCGGCACTCAATTGACCGTTTTTGGGTTAATTGTTTCCATTAAAAAGCTGGGGCTACTTTTTAATTAGCGACAATTGCCCGACATAGACCGTTGGTATCGCCATGTCGTTTAGGTGGTATCCATATCGCTTGGTACTTTTGATTTCCACTTTGATGTATGTTTTGACACCATCATCATCAGCGACCGCCCCACCATCGAGGTTGATTTTGTTACTGCGGCGTCAATTGAGTTGTTAATTAAAAATTGCTGCCAGACGACGTGCAGAAATTTTGAAATTTGGCTCAGTTTTGAAAAGTTGTTTAATCTCAGGCTCGGCTTTCTTGGGGGTAGTGCGGGTGCTGGGTGGGGGGGGGGGAGGTCAATCACTCCCCGAGGGGAGAGTTCAAGGCTGCCTGCGGCGAGTGATCGCGCCAAGATAATTAGCAAAATCAAAATTGAGGCCAAAGTCTTGTAGAGGTGCGATTGATAAATGAGATTTAGATTAGAAAGTTTGTGAGCGCTTAAGGTAATGATAGAGTTTTCCCAAGATTCAACCATTTTCTGGTAAATTTTCTAACACGTTTTTTAGCGGTAAATCAAATCTACATTTTTAAAATTGTTTGTATTATCCAATCTATTTCCAGGTACTAAATCTCATCATTATCTTCACACTGGATACATGACTAACACAAATTCGTTGAACACTTGATATTTTAAATCAGCGGAGATCATAATGTGGTATCTCAGCTGATTCAAAGTTTCACTTCGACTTCAGTTTGTTTGGAGCAAACAGCTTCGACCTCTTTAACCATGCTCAACTCAACGCCCGACCAAAAGGCCAGATAAAGTTGTATGCACTTTTGTAATCGTCTGGTAATGTTCATGCCCCTTTCGCATTCAGGCTATAATCTTGAAGATGATTGTAATTGCGCACACTTAAAGTGCCAAAAAATATTTAATTTTTTCCCGCATGCAGCGCCTTCAATTGGGCCACGTGCCGAAACAAACATTTGGAAAAATTAAATTAAAAATGTAAATTAGTTTTTTCTAGCCTCCGCGACGCAATGAAATGGGAAAACGTAGGCAAATGCTACGATTGCTTAATTACGAATGCAGACAGACTCCAGACGCAATCAGAGGGAGAAACTAAGAACCTAAACAAGAAATGCAGGCAAAGGAACGAGAAACAAAAAGCCAACCAAATGGAAGACGTTTCCCAATAAGGTAAGATGGGTCCATATCCACGGCGAAAATAAGATTTTTTCTTTAAGATCCTTTAACCTTTATAAAACTCTGCTCTTAGAAAAATTGAATGGAATAGGATTTTAATATTACGAAATCTAAGGTTATACGATCGATCAGGTTGGTAAATCATATTCATAAGAATTTTAATCATTGGTAAGCATCTAAAAAAAAGCCTGAATTCCTTTTCAACCACTAATGTTACTTTTTTCATCGCAAAAACATTCTAATGTGATATCCAGATTACTTTCTGTATACTTTATCCAACTAAGGCGCTCAGTGCAGGGTTGTGCCTTGATTTGAGTTTTTACTTTTCTTTTGTCGATCCGCCAATCAGAGGACCCAACTCACCTGTCGGTTGCGCAGGGAGCAGAGCCACCATCCCTGGATGCCCTCCGTATCCTGTTCAATGACGGTGAGGATGTCGCCCTTCTTGAAGGCAAGCTCGTCCGGCGTGTCTGCATAATTATCATAAATGGCCTTGGCGTACAGTTTCTGCAAATAAATCAGAGAAAAACGAAATAATTAAAAAAAGGGTATTCATACTAGCACAATTCTTTTGTTTTATGTTCTGCGTGTTATCAAAATAAGGCGGTTTTATATTGTTTTTTTCATTTCAGGTCTGCCCTTTTTGCGCTTCTAAGAAGCCGCAGGGCAAACAATTTCAATGGAATTTCAAAGATGATTCGGGGTTTGACCAGCAGCCACTGACCCTCCTTTCCGCAAACCAAGCTTTGACTCTTGCTTTCATCATTCATAAGAATCGCGTTTACTGATCCCTGTTTTCAGCTGGATCTTCATGTTTCTTATGGTAGCAAATTTGCAAATCTTTTACAGCTTCCACATTTAAAAAGAATGCCAAAAAGTGCAGGGAACTCGAAAAAAGGAAGTTAGGGAACAATGCGATTTGTTTCTTTTGTTTTAGCTCATGCCGCGCTCACTTCATTAGTGTAGCTGGAATTTCAGGTCATTTTGGGTAAGTTCTCTTTTATCCGATTTCGGGTTTCTTTTTTTGTTAGAGAGCAGGCAGATCAACAGTCGGGGTTAGTTTTTTAGAACCAAGCACATGAGATGGAGAAGTTTGAGCCATTGAGGTCGGAGAAATCTTAAGCTACTTTAGAAAAATTAGGACTAACATCCTGCAAGCTTATTGAATTTCTTGAATATTTTGCTCTAAATAGCACTTCTTCCATTCGGCATTTGCTTATAATTCGCTGAACACGACCGTAGCTTTTAAGGCAAACTTTTACCTCAATGAATGTGTAATTGTCCTAGTGTGAGTGTCTATCTGTGTCCGTTGCTGGTTAAGCGTGGTGGTTTTAATTTCGCCACCGCAGCGTAAAAAATCCAAAACTAACGATTTGAACTGTGCAATAAAAGCAACGATAACAAAGAAGCCGTGACTGACTGCCCCTTACTCCTAACCTTTCCAACCCAAAACACTCCCCCTAGCCATGCACAAAAAAGATATTTCTGTTTTTTTTTTCAAAATCTATTGGATTTTTCATTTTAATATATTTTTGATTTTAATTGAAAAAGTTTTGAAGGTTATTGATGTTTTGTCATCCAATGCTAGAGGATATTTAATATTCGTAATCAAATTTAATTTTTAACCAAGATTTTCCTAAGTTTGGTCTCAAATATTCAATTTTTGCACTTAAACAATCTGAATTTTTTAAGGTGTAGCAGTGAAAGAGGGCTAGGGAGCCAGCGATTACAATATCGAGCGTTCAATCGCTGCTGAACTTTCAACCCGCTGCTCAGGTCTGATATGTCTGTATGTACGGGCACTACTCATGTACACGTAGTTAGGTAGTTTCAAAACCCGTTTCACCAGGCGACGGCCGCTATTCTACTTTTCAGTTTCGAAAGCGCGATGGAATCGTTCAAATGTCAAAAGGAAAATGAGCGCACTTGAAGTTCAGTGCCGTCGCAGTGACACTGGACCGCGATATGTTGCCCAAACAAAATTAAAACCAGCTCCAATGTTTGCTGAGTTGAGGCTTGTCAGCTCTACAGATCCATAGCTCCATAGCTCCAGAGTCGCTGCTTTCTTCGCTGCCATCTCCCCTTTTGACACAGCGCTAATTGAAGAGGCAAATATTTAAAGTTGAGAATTGGAAGATTGAAGTTCCGCCTGCCAGCAAATAAAAACCAATTCCTGTTGTATGACTCGTGTGCCACAAAAATTAGGGGTCGTTTTTACAGTTGTCTGTCTGTTTGCCCGAACGACTTTAATTGGTTTGTTTAGGGCATTCTCTTCCCGAAATCCGGCAACGGAACTGAAAGAGTTCCCACCTCCTAGCCGAATCACCGCCACTCAATCTCTGCCGTAAATCACCGAAAAAGGTTTACATGTTCGAGTGATTTTAATAAAAGTAATCAAAGCCTCTGGGCAACGTTTCTGCCTTCGTTTCGGGCCGCAGAAGTGAAAGACTTGCCCGACCATTTATTGTTTTTAATGCTTACATATGACGAACCATTGCCAGAAGCAACATCTCAGACTTAATTCCCTGCCTCGGAGAGTAAGAAATATTTTTGGCAAAACAAACTTAAGTTTCGCTATTTATGTCTTCCAGAAGTAGCTCCGCTCCATGCCCGAGACCACTCAATTACTCAAACCCAGCCGACATTTGCAAATTTTTTTGTGGCTCAGGTAGCTGAGATTAAAAAGCGAAGAAGCCGCCAACAAACAGCTTAATGAGCACTCAAAAACCTACAAAACTTAGCCCGCTTTACAAACGGGATGACATTTTGTTTTTAATTCCACACTCTGAAGAGACCATTAACCACACTAGTGGGCAATGTGACTGTGCATTACTATATACACTATAGCATATATAGACGAAAAGAGTCGCCAATCAATGGAAATGGCTTGGCAATATTTTCAATAGAAACGCGAGCTTGTTTTCGGCATTCAACTGATAACCCAGCCCCCAAAAAGCTGATAAAGTGGCAATAGTCTAAAGTCAAGCACTGGCTCGCGTGACAGATAATATTTTTGTCAATTTTAATTAACAGAATGCGATGAGATTGGAATGGGAAAGGGAGGGGGTCCTAAGGACAACCCTGAATTCGTTTAAGGTGAAAGCTTTGCCAGGTTGGGAATTTTTATATCTTTAAAAAGCAAACATATAGACACATATATCTTTTGACGTGACAAATTTTTCATTGGGTTTATTCCGCTATCTGTGCGATATTTGGAGCCCCACATTTGCGTTTTTACCTGACCAGTTATCTATTTTGTAGTCCCCCAATGCGTCACTTTCCAAGCATTGAAGAACGAGCATTGGACTTTTACTGGTATATGGTTTCCTGAGAAATATAGGAATATAAAATATTTTGGTTAGACTGTAATAAAACGCCATATGTCGAGTTGAACTGGTTTCCGTTTGCGAAAATAAACAAAATGTTTACTGCTCTCGCGGCGGCCTTTTCGACACATTTCGTCAACAAGTTGTGCGCAAAAAACATAAAAAAAAAAATATTAAGCAAAGTAAAGAAAAAAAAATCCGTATAAAATGCGGTGTGACAATAAAACTTCGAGCCGGGCCAACTTGGGCAGGGAAACACGTTCCGAATGGAGACTGGGTCGATGTCGGAGTGCCATTGACGGTGACTTGGAATGACAAGTGCACGACAGAGAGTCGACTCCAGCCACACGTCACTCCAGGTCAGCGATTCGCCTAGGATGGACCCAGTGAGCCGGGAGCAAGTCAATGACAGAGCAATTGGTCCCCTTGGTGGCACCAGCTCCGCCCATTAACAATAGATTGAAAAGTCAATTGCAGTTCGCATTCCAAGTGTATTTCATTCAATTTGCATAGCCTCCACAGCTCGGGCAAATCGCTCTCAGACTTTAATGGCGGGTAGAAATATGTAATATAACGTAAGGGCTAATTCAATTCAGCAAATACAAGATTAACGAAAGCACAATAAAGTACACACTTGGGTTTTGTAATTCTAAAACAAAATAACCACATTAACCACGGAATTAAATTGCAAGACATGGCCAATTCGAGGGAAGTGACTCACAAAGCAAACGTCAAAGCAAACATACATTGCCAATTCAATTAGCTTAAGTAACTTCTGAACGAAAAATTAAAGCCAAAAAATATAAAGAAACCAAATAACAAAGGAAAATAACTGAAAACGAGATGCGAACGGTTGACTTTAAATATTAAAGAACAAATAAAGCGAAGTCTACACAAAAGTATTGTCGACCTTCGCAGCAATTTCAAGTGAAATACGCAAAAACGTTGCAAATTTACTTCCCCAAGGAAAGGGAGAAAACCCAAGCAGTTTAAAATTCAATTGTGGGAAATGAATCAGCCGAGCAAACGAACAAAAATCAATTTTTAAGCGTGTCTAGCGTTTTGCTATTGTAGTTTCTCATACATTTGTTTTACTGGCTCAGAATGTGTTTATAATGAAACACTCGAAAAATAGCACAAACAAAACCACCGACGACCAGAACTTAGCTATAAAAACTTTAAAAGAAAATAAACAAAAAGATCAATCATTTGATAAAATCAAAACATGCTCAAAAAATACAAATTATCATAAGGCAAAGCATAAACAGGCAAAGGAAATGTACCCGCGGCAATGCAAGCCATTTAAAATATTGAAAACTAACCACTAAACAAAGAAGACCCGAAAAAAAATAAGAAAACACATACAATTTATAAAACACAGTTTAAAATGGCAAAAGAGTCCATTCACTCGTTCGTTCATTCAATTTAATTTGCGTAGCTTTTCGAGTATCTTACAAGATTTATTTTACGAACACCCCCCGCTCCCCACGTTGAAGTCATTAAGCTCCATTGACTGACATTGAGATTAGGTCGGAGGAATACCCCGGACGTGACTCATGCCCGTGGAATTACCTCCAATGGCTGGCGGCCTTTGTTAAACTCTTCTTTTCTTCTAACCAGTTTGCTGGAGAGGATCCCCTCGGCTTCGAGAGTTGACTTTTCGGTCTTTTATCTTTCGTTAGCCGACTTATGATGGATTACGGTCTGGACCCCTTTTACGCCTTCTACAGCGGATGTGGCCCACGAAAACTATTGATCGAAAGTGAGATGACAAGGCCTTAGATGGAAGAGATTCGTAATCAAATGAGGTTTTCCAAGTAGTGGTAAGTGAAAAGCTGAGTGGGAAAAACAACTCGAAATAAAACCAGTCAACAGTTTTGTAACCCATAGATAAGTAGTTCCTGTTACAATGGTTGACAGTAATTGTGTATACTATTAACTACTCTTCTAGAACTTCAGAACTCTTGGCCACCGGACAACTCCAGTAGCCCAACTCCGTTTCGGTGTAAATGGGCCCATTAAGTGGCTGATGTGAGCGATCGTCAGTGCTCGAATCGCTGCACTGCTGATGGCCTAGCCCACTTACGGGTTGCATGTAGCTTTTATTGCTCCGTTACGACCAGTTTGCAGTCCTTATCTGGAGATGAGACCAAGACCCTTCTTCCCCTGCTTCGTAATTTT